AAAAATGCGCGTTTTATAACAACATAAAATTTCTGTTTTCAAAATAGAGATTCGTTTGAAAACGACACAAAATTTATCCCTTCCGGGCGGCCGGCGGAGAACAGTGAGTGGCAAAGGACGGTGGCCGCCGCCGGCGGAGGACGGCGGCCAGCGATGGGAGGCAGCTGACGACGGAGGACGATGGCCAGTGGCAAGAGGCTATCGACGGTGGCCGCCGGCACCGAGCGGCGAAGGACGATGGCCGGTAGCAAGAGGTGGCCGACAGCGAAGGACGGCGGCAAGAGGCGGCCGGCAGCGGAGGACAGTGGCCGGCGGTGGACGGCACCAGGCAGTGGAGCACGGCGACCGGCGGCGTCTGGTGGCCGCCAGTGTTAGGTGGCAGAGGACGGTGGCCAGCGACAAGAGGCAGCCGGCGGTGGAGCACAGCGGCCAGCGGCGGAGGACAGTGGCTAGCAATGGACAGCCGCGGCCTGTGCCGAGCGGTGGAGTATGGCGGCCGGCGGCAACTGGCCGCCAGCGTTGGGCGGCGGAGGACGGTGGCCGGCGGCAAGAGACGGTTGGTGGTGGACGACGGCCAGCAGGTGGTAATGAAGGACGGCAGGAGGCGGCGGGCAAGTGGCGCTCGGCGTTAGGCGGCAATGAACGGCGGAGGATGGCGGCGAGAGGAAGCGGTCAGCGAAGGACGGCGATAGGAGGCGGCTGGCAGTGGCGGGAGGCGACCAGCGACAATAGCGAGCAGCGAGTGGGTAGCCGGCTAATAGCGAGGGTGAGCGATGAGAAGAGTTTTTATTTATCATTTTTGTTCTAGAAATAGAAAAGTATTTTTTTTTACTTCTGATTTATGTTACAAACATATTTCTATAATAGAAATTTGTTCCAGAAATAGAAAAATGAAATTGCGTTACCAACCGGATTTCTGTTCCAAATCTGTTTCGAGGAATAAAAAACTAGAAAAATAGAGAAACAGAACGGTTATCATTCACGTCCTAAGTAATTATGGACATGATTTTATCACTTAACAATCTAGATGCAAAGAGAAAAGAGGCTATGCATCATGAGAATACATAATACAAACCTCTAACGGCATAGCATGTGTCATGAGGACACTTTCCCACTCAGGAATTTTGCCACGTGTTATAACGATACGGGCTAGCATCAAACCCATTGAAAAGGATTAAGGGATTAGATTACGTCTTACTGGATCTAGTTGGGCTCCTCTTCAATGGACTGAAATGCACATCACGGGCAAAGAAGCATCCTGAATTTGACCTCAGGATTAGGGGTGATCGGTTTTTAATACGGTCCGATTCCATCTAAGAACCGGAAATCGGATCAAGAGGACCGGTTTCCAATTTCTAGGACCGGGGACCAGATCCGCTGGTCTTGGAACTGGGAACCGGCCCCGATCCCGGTCAAATCCAATGGAACTGGTCAATGTAGAAATTGAGTCGAAAATGATGAAATTAAAATATTAGGAATTGTAAAAAGGAGATGTAAGTTTCAACAAAAAAATGATCCTCATGCAGAGAATGAAGCTAACCAACCTCACAAAACAATGGGGACACAATCTGAGAAGAAAAGAATTACATCAGCATTTCTTCGAGACTGGCAGAATCTTACAAACCGGTCAAGCATGAACAGGAAAATTCCTCCTGCTACTTTGCTGACACACATGTCACCAACGTGCAGAGCGAAGAGGATTACGAGCAGTATGTAGAGTTGATGAGTGTAGAAGAAGAGCTCAAAAAATCTCTTTCTTACTAGATGAAACGTGGTCACCCACATTGTAAATCCAAAACAATAGCAAAGGGAAGGTAAAGGCGGGCGAGCCACAAGCGTAAGGGAAGGGAAAGGTGAGCGGATTAGGATATTCTAAGAAACTAAAAAAATACATATATAGTCGGTCCAGTCAATCTAGTTCCCACACTAGAATCGGGAACTAGATCGACCGGACACCGGTTCCAAAAATAGGAATTAGGAATCGGACCGACACCTTTGAAATCGCCTAGAACTGGTCGGTTTGAACAGTTCCCGGTTCGATTTGTCCGTCTTGCATACCCTTACTCAGGAAGACTCTCATAAGACTTTGAGTTAAGGAAAAAAAAACACTCGACATAAACGAGAAGCATCCTGAATTTTAGGACCAGTCTCGTTAACATAAGTTTGGAGTACCTAATAATTTTTCATTTATACGGGTATAATGCTCACAATTTGAACTCCAATAATAGTTCGAGGTTCACTCCGTGGGTTGACTCGAGCCCCTTCAAGGAGGGCCTTGTGGAGCCTGTGCCGAAAAAGCAGCATTGAGGCCCGTGGCCGAGAGTGTTTGCCCACATCAAATCCTTTTATTTCCGATTATCTACGTCAAAATTAGGGGTGTGCAGAGGAATCGGAAACCGCCCAGAACTGGACCAGATCGGCTCGTAACCGGCGGTTCCCGTGAAGACCGGTCCGATTCCCAGTTCTAATTTACTAGAATCGGTGAGTACCGGTCCGATTCTCGATTCTAGGGTGGAACTGCTCACCCAGACCGGACCGATTATATATATATAATTTTTAAGAAAAAATTCAACCAAAAAAAAAAAGAAAACATTTTTAGAAAAATAAAAATCATAAAATCCTTAATTTGAAGCTCGACTTTCAACTTCCATCAATTCACGGCCGTGGCTCTAGCCATTCATTGCCTCCCTCTCTCACTCTCGGTCACCTCCATTTGCATGAAACTTGGTGGGACCAGTTCCATGGATTCACCCGGGAATCAGACTGGATCGGTGATCCGATTTTTGGGTGGATTTATGGAACCAACGGGCGGTTCCTAGTTTCAATTTCTCTGAACCGGTCCTTAGTGGGCTGTTCCTGATTTCAATTTCTCATAACCGGTTCTTAGTGGGCGGTTCCCGGTTGCATGTTGGGAATCGTCCGCTCGGACCATGCTCACTCTTAATCAAAACTACTAGCAAAAAAAGTGATTCTCACAATAAATAATTTCAATTTTGTTGCACATTATGAGTGTAAAATCGTCGTCGATCATTTTTAGAAATATATTTTCCAAATAATTCATTTTCCTCGAAATAAACAAAGCCTAAGTGATGACATATTTGTATTGTTTACAAAGGGGGATATTGTCCAAAATGTCCTAAACATATTATCTTTGCCAATTCAATCATAAACATTTTAATAGTCAATTAAGTCCTAAACATTTTTACGTTTTGCTAATTGAGTTCATCCGATCAATTTTAGTCAGAATTTGCTGACGTGAATGACAATCATCTTATGTGGCATGACCAGCATTGACATAAATAATTTTTAATAATATTTTAATATTTTTTCCAACTTTTTTATTAATCTTTTTTTTCTTTTATTTTCTTCTCCTTCTTTACTTTTTTCTTCTTTTTTTTCCTTTTCCCTGCTTTTCTTTTTTTATATTATTTTTTATTTTTCCCTTTTTCCCTTATTAAGAAAAAAGTAAAGAAGGAAAAGAGAAAAGAACAAGGAAAAGGAAAAATAAAAAAATTCGAAAAAACTTTAAAATATTATTAAAATTTATTCACATAAACGCCAACCGTGCCACGTAAGATGGCTGGCATCCACATTAGCGATTTCCGATCAAAATTGATCAAATGGACTCAATCAGCAAAATATGAAAATGTTTAGGACTTAATTGGCACAATTAAAGGTTTATGACTGGATTGGCATAAGTGTGATAAGTTTAGAAATTTTTGGACAATTTTTCCTATTACAAAGTATAACATGTTACGGCATGTTACCATCCTAGAGAATTAGTTCCCGTGGGATCATAAAGCTTCCCATAATTCTTTTATCCATCGTCTAGTTGCTAAAATCAGACATGTATGCGAAATTTCCCCAAACAATCTTTTTACTTTCGAGTCTCTAGAGTGAACCCCACCATATTGCATTTAGTAACCTGAATCAATTTACTTCCGATGATATATATGTTTGGATATTTCCTTTCGACCCACTTCCGATGGAAAATTTTCTCGAGAATTTCCTACGTATTAGCATTATAAATATCAGTAATCGGAGATAAGTTTCGATACATAGATGAAAACTCATGGAATGATTTGCACAATACATAATGGACCAGTTGTAGGACCAATAACAGGAAAAATGGTGAACAAGCAACCCAAATTTTATCCAAAACTCATCCCCATCTAGCTAATCACATTGAACTTCCTTCGAAATTTTAGAACAAAAATAAAATTCCCATTTCCACGTATTTCTTTCGGCATGTCAGCTATCGGACAAGTTCAAACGATCCGATAATTTTTTGACCTAACGGGAGACACGAAAGAGAAGGACGACCCCTTGTTTAAACGATGGGATCTCTTCCAACGGTCCGATGCCTAACGCTCTTTTCAATTTTCGAGGATTAATAAACGAATTGATTCCAATCTTACAGCCCATGTTAAGAGTATTGTTTCCACACCATTTATTTGTCGAAGCGCCATGTCGGAGGCTCGGCATCCGACTAATTCCCATCGGATATGGCAGTCCTCTCGTCCCGTACGTATTGAGAGATTAGGGGAAATAGAGTAGTTTGTGATCCTAAGTTAGTTGATGCACATATTTGGAGATTTGAATTCATGCCTCAAGCGAGAAAAGACGAACACGTTGAGCAATCCTTTACAAGGCGCATTTATCGTTCACGAGTGAGGGTTTGTTTACTTGTGGTTTGATTAGAATTCAACTCGTAAAGGGAATTCATTTACAAGATAAAAATTAGCGTAACGAAATATGCAAGTTGCATGTAATTTCACAGATTGCATGCAAATCGTCCTAGATTAAGGCGACCCGTTCATGCCAAGAGCCCGGATTTGATCGATTTATGAGATAAAAGTTTCGGGTAATCGGGTCTCTATGCTCGCGACATCCGGTGGATTAAAGACAAAAGAGATAATGAAAAATGTACATTCAAAGTCACTATCGAGTGGCTTCTATTATTCCACAAAAAGCCAAACCACCACCCACCCTTTTAATACGATTCCACCATCCACCCAACTTTTTCTTCTTGCATCCACATTACACACACCACCCTTTCTTAGATCTGCAAATTCCTCCCCTCACTAGTCACTCACAAGGGCAGACCACAGCCATGGATGCCCTCTTCGCCCAATTCACCTTCCTCTCCGACCAATCCCTCCACGACAAGAGCTTCGACCCGGCCACGATCGAGGACCTCATGAGGCTCTTCGAGCTCGAGGCCTACAATTCGTGGGCGGCCGCGGAGCTCAGTCACCTAGCCGAGGCCGAGGCAGCCGAGGCCGAGCTGGACCGGGCCGAGGCCTACCTCGGCTCGGTCATGGAGGACGCGATGGAGGAGTTCCGGCGGTTCGAGGAGGAGATGGACCGGATGGCGAAGGAGGAGATGGAGGGCTTGGTGGAGACGGCAGAGAAGGCCAGGAGGATGGGGAGCTTGATGGAGAAGGCTGCGACCGTGGCATCGAAGAAGTACATCGAGGCTGCGGTCAACTCGGCCACTGCTTCCATGAAGAATGCTTGGAAGGGGCTTTCATCTCACAAGGTTCATCCTTCTTGAGAAAAAGAGAGCGAGTGAGAGATTGATCTTGTTGTGCTGTGTCTGTGGTGGTGGATGATTCAATTGTCCATGGTGGGTCTACCGCTTCTTGTGTCAATTGTACTTTTGCTAGGCCTTAAGGCCAATTTGAAATAATGTATGATCAATTGCTGGTATCTTCAAGTGAATTTGCACCTTCACCATGTTCAAGAAAATAGGGTATCTTTGCGAAAGATTTGCCAAAGCTTTTTGGAAAGTTCATTTTGGAGAATAAACTGTCGTGGGGGGCACTTCTACGGATCTTTAAGTATCCGATCCTTGGAATCGATAACCGTCGGATCACGAAAGAACAAACCAATGAAAGCTTTACTCACCTAACTTTCGGCACTGCAGATTTTCAAAACACGTATCATTAAATCCAAAAAATCATAATACTCCACAGCATGACGCAGCTATAATATAGCCATCATAGATAGAAGCGTGCGAGGAAAAAGAATCACCTTTGCTTTCTTCTTTCAACTCAAATTATTCGTTCCAATGACAAAAGAGGTGATCATTGAGCGTGCTCAGGCCGAGTTGGGTTCGCAAGTTGGGGCTAATGTGTTGTCCGAGCCCACCGATCACGTACAATTTTATGTAGTGGAATCGGGCCGGGCGAGACCAAAGATGGGCGGCAGGTGGAGCATTCTTATGTGAGGACATTGCCCAAGTCCACCCATTTACCCCTCAAGCTTGGGAAGGTTGAGCGAGCCGCCTGCATACCAATCGCCCATAAATAGAACACTATCCAACCGCGACCATTTCACAACTTGCGATATTGTGATCGACATAAGAACATGAGAAAGGCAAAGCAATAGTTACTTTTGGTTCTAAAAGAATCAAACGAGATTTGACAAAATAAAAGTTCATGCGTGATTATGCGCAGTTGTGATACCGTTTTCATTATAATCATGGTGAAAGGAGATGTTTTGAAATTTTAATACAAACTGAAACTCATGATGGCAACGATCACCAATTTAGTAGGTTGACATTCGTTTATTCTTCCATTCGATAACAATTACCAAATGAAAATTGGAGATATATTTGAACCTGCAAACTATTTTAGAACCCAAAATGGTTACTTTCCTAGGAACGATTTTCCTTAACCAGATTTCTACGCATTTTTCCTATCCAAAGGGTTTTCCTTATAGAAGAGGTGAGACTAAATCGTTTATGGTCGATCTCTCTTATCTTTCATACGCAGTATAAACTCTATATAGACTTCAAACCTTAGACCAATAAGTGTCTATCACGTCTAAAAAGTTAGAATAGCAAAAAAAAAAGAAAAACGCGCATACACATACAAAAACTGGCTAGGGTTGCATTTCGTGGTCGTGCCTAGGTAAGGTCGTGACCCTTGCCGGTCGCAACTGCACGAAAGGTACTTTCTCTCGACCCAACATAGTGACAAAAGCAGAGATCTAGCTCATATGGATCTTGAAATCAAGTTTGCATTACCTAACATTAGATTGAAATTTATTAAAGTGTAGAATGTTTAAGAGATTGTACTATGTTTTCGATGAAAATCGCATTGAACGTCGAGCAGCCATGGAAGCGTGGGCGGAGAGGAGAGGCACAGCCCCAACTCGCGCCCGCGGTCCATCACTAGCCACGGATGTATGTAACGACGTGAGTCATGGACCGGTGCGATAGGTTCATGAGGACGAGGGGACATCATTGAAGATGGCATGTTTTGGAGACTCGTGGTGTGACAACGTTAAAGGCATCAGAGATGGCGATGCTTTGAACTTTTGGGTTTGAGGAACAAATGGATAATTAGTGAGATGTAGACAGGATGGAAACATCGTCGCTCGAGCATGGGGAGGGTTCAGCCACGCTCGTTGGCGACTGAGCCGCATGTAGGATGCCGATGCAATGTCGGCTAAGATAATAAGAAAACATACAGTTCAAGAATCCAATTGAGAAAAGTTTAGGGATAATATGGAATAATTTGTCAAAGCTTACTTAAGGACCAGTTTGAAAAACAAAACACTTAGTTGAAGGATCCAAACGAGAAAAGTTCAAGGATGATATGAGACGATTTTCAAAAGTTCAGATGACATTTGTTTTTTTATGAATAAGTTGTAGAGAGTAACACTGCACGAAAAATATGATTACAAAGTGGGGCGAATGATATTGCTGACTATTGTGGACATTATAATATAGTCTCCACATTCAGTCACAAAATATCTAGCTTGTGGATTTATCACGTCCGACGTTACATCAACCCCAACAAAACAAGGTATGGATCGCCCTGTCACCGTGACCTTTACCAAAACATCAACTAGATAAGAGTAATGCAGGTTGGCTCAAATAAGCAGATCTGACCTTATGAAATGAAATAATTTGAGGGGAAGGTCTTATCCAGCTAAGCTATCAATTAATGGCAGTTATCTATTAACAATTGATCATAAAATTTCAATCTGTTGCTTCTTATGTAAAACTTCTCCTTTCTTAATATAATTTTTAGGTAATTGGGTGAGGATAGTTGTCATCATTCACACACCAAACAAACTATGCACTTCTATTTTTTGCACCCAATTAGTTTTATCAAACTCTAGTAGAAAAATTGCTGATTAAAATAAAAATAGAACGGGATAATGACAATAGAAGTCCTAAATTTGTGCCGAACCAACACTTGAATCCTAAACTTTTTCGGGTTCGACATTTGAATCCTTCCATTAGCTATATCAATTTCAAGCGGACGAGAAATCTATGCGGCATTTTTTTAATGAATTTTTCTTTGTTTTCGTGAACATTTAGAAAAACATAGAAAGACAAAAGAGAGAGGGGTCTTGAGAGAGGGACTGTGCTCAAGGAACGCTGCCGTGGCCGACCTCTTTGCGTTGAGGAGGTCCAACAACCTCTCATCCAGGTCGGGGCGGGAATGGCCGGCCCTCACCAGGTCACTAACGAACGCATCCCTCGGTAGATCTATGTGAGGGCATGCGCCCACGATTGAGCGGCGGTGATACCACCCCTCACTACCACAGAGAGAGTATCAGCAAGCCCTCTCGAGGGGCTGCCGACCCCCGCTTCGTGGTGGCAACTAGCAAGGGGTGGTCCCATCACCATTGGAGCGAGAGCGATTGCACTTGTCACAGTCTCAGATAGAGGTTGCCGCCCTCCCCAGTGTGTGAGGGGTAGTCATGGCCACGGTTCGGAACCGGCCGGTTCAGAACCGTGGCCATGTATGAACCGGAACCGCCCCTGGCGGTTCCGGTTCCGGTTATCTTTTTATTTTTTTATTTTTTTTTTTGCCCGTTGCCAAGGCAGCCTGCAAAGGTTGCCCCGGCAACGAGCTGCAGCAGGGCCTGCAGACGTGCATGCCCTGCTACAGGTTTTTGTTTTTTTTTTAAATTTATTTATTTAAATTTTTTAATTTTTTTTTTTGGAACCGGGCTCGTAGGTCACGGGCCGGTTCCAGTTCCGAACCGCGGGCCCGGTCAACGGGCCGGGGCCCGGGTTTGACCGGGCCGAAACCAACCCGTGGCCATGACTAGTGAGGGGCCTGTGTACCCCAACACTTGCGATTATCTTTAGCTTGTAAGCCTTTTTTGTCTTTTTTTTTTTTTTAACTTTCAATCCTTTTTTGAATTTAAATCTTTTCTAAATTTTTCAACTTTTTTTACGTGGCACTATTTAAACAAGGGTTAATACCACCAAAAACTCCAAATTGATACACTTGTGATAATTTTACCTAAAATTAATTTTTTGACCACAAAAAACCCAAAACTAATACACCTGTGACAATTTTACCCCAAACTAATATTTTGACCACTAAAAACCCCAAATTGATATATTTGTGACAAATTTACCCTTCGTCAGTTTCCATTAAATTAGATTTATACTACAAAAAATCACAAATTAGTATACCTGTGACAAATAGAGGGTAAAACATAAAACCGGTACATCAATCAACTACCATGTGTCATTTAACAAAGTAATTCGACAGTAAAATTTAACGAAAACAAACTGAGGGTAAATTTGTCACAAGTGTACCAGTTTGGAGTTTTTGGTGATCAAAAATTAGTTTGGGGTTTTTGGTGATCAAAAATTAGTTTGGGGTAAAATTATCACAGGTGTACTAGTTTGAGGTTTTTCATGGTATTAACACCCTTTAAACAACGTCATTTCATGTTTGAGTAGCCTCCATCATCGTGTTGATAGCCCCGTGAGATAAAAAAAAAAATTCGTGTGGGATCTTCCATTCACAAAAATTTGACGAACTTAAAGAAAGTCCTAAAATGCATAAGTGCACAAGTTTTAGGATTTAAATACATGAAAAAAGAAGCTAGAACTAAAGGCTATGTTTGGTGACTAGGATAAGGCCGACTAAAAGAGGAATACAACGCGGATGAAAAAATCTATGTGAGAATGAGATAAAGGTGGATAGGATTCCTTATTTTCATGATATAAAAGCTATTTTCTCAAAAACCCTACCCTCATTTCTCCTCCATACCTCTAATTCACCACACCAGCGCAGTCATGTCAAAGGTTCGCGAAAGCGGCGAGAGAGTTCAAGGGCAAAGGTGAATGATCATGTTTTCTCTCTCATGCTAGATCCGGTATTCTTTGGCTGGTTTATGTTGTTGATGTCGCTGTAGCCAGTTTACCTTTCTTGTTGTAGTCGATTTTATGGTTTGGAATGCTGCAATGAACTCTTTTGCCTTTTAAGGTTTAGATTGTACAACTTAGGTTGTATTGGGAGTTCCTTCTCTTTGGATTGAGAGAGGTGACAAAGATTCGGCAATAATCATGAATTGATTGCTAGAAATTATTTGTGCATTTTCGGGTTTTTTAGCAGTGAATCAAGAAAGATTTTTACCATTTCCGTTGTGCATTTTCTAGTTCTTTAGTAGTGAATTGTGAGAAAAGGTTGGCAATACTTTTCATTTATGCATTTTCGGCGAAAAGAATGAATTAATTTAGTGTGAATTTGTGAGATTCTTCCCATTTCAATTCTAGGCTCGCATTATTATATTTTCAATTAGCTCTGTTGATTTGAAAAGGATATATAGTGGGGCTTTGAATGATTTTGCCATTATCTAAACCTAGCAGTCTATATTTGCCTAATGTTTTTGTTTTTTGTTTTTTTTTATCTCATAGATATGGATCATGATAAAAACAAAGAAATTCTTAACATTCTGATGTTATAGGAGATGAAACTACATGAAATTCATGATTATGGTGTACCCTGCTACTGAAAGGCACTACCATAAGCATATATTGAAGGATAAACCAAGCTCGTATAACCACTAGGGGTTGCCCTAGTGGCCACGGGAGGTGGGGAGTTCGATTGCCCACCTTTTCAAGGGGTTGAGGATGGGGACGTTTAGTTTCAGGTGTGAAGTTCGACTCCAACACTTTGCAAAGAAGTAGAGTAAAAGTCTGAAAGTAAGATGTGAATTAAAATATGACAGATAAAAAAAAAAATCCCATTAACAACACTGACTTAAATTGTGTGGAACAACTTAGGATGTATAGACGTACATTGGCTCTATTATGTGAGTTGAAAAGCATAATGATTTTTTAGCTTTGGTTAATGGTGCCCGTAAATATTAGGCCTGTTGTGTAGTCCCTTTATTGTTTTATGACATTGAACAACATCGAACAATGTTCTTTTCTACAAAGTTGCGAATTACATAGATGCGCACTCTTTTATTAATTGAATGCTGACATATTATAACATTGTTACATTGTAAAAGGTGATTTTGTGTTAGTGTTTTTGTCTCAAGAAAGAGGGAGTATGTCTAGTGCATATGCAAACTCTATGTCACAAGCAAGAGCTATTTCTTCAGTTTAATTGCTTTAATGGTGGTTTAGATGTCTTAGAGAATGAAAGAGATGATGGGGCTAAAGAAATGTTGTTACCCTGCAACTTCCAGTAGAGACCCAATTGATTAGCTTTTTGACTTAACGATTAATATGCAAATTCGAAAATTAGTCCAATTTTCGAAGGTCTGTTTTTTGTGCTTATCCTTATAGGATTTGGGAGGTACTGATGCTAAGAACGATGTCTTTTCATGGACAGGATATAAGGACATATTCATCATTTACACTGATTTGCAGTTTCTAAAACAAAAAATCCGAATTTATTACCCCAAACATGTCGGAACAATGCGATAAAATCCCTAAATTTCATATCTCGATCCTAATCAAAATCGAGACGGCCCGGTTCAAAAACCGATGGATTAACCCGGTTCAGTTAGTGGACCGGTCCGATCAAAGGATTTCACAGCCCCCTTCCGGGGGTCAGCCTGTGACCTCCCAAAAAAGCCCCCAAACTCTCTCTCTCTCTCTTCCCCTCCCGGCATTGCATGCTCCGACTCTGTGTAGGTGAATCCGTTTTCCCTCTGTAGCTCTTCTCTCTCTGGGATTCTCCATGAGAAGATCGCCGTTGCTCGATCTTTCTTGTTGTCCTGACTGGTAAATCGCTAGGTCGAATTCGGCTTCTGGGTTGGTGCTGTCTCTTGCAATCGCGGACAATGACCTCGATGGCCGTGTTGTACGATGATCGTGTTTTGCCGTGCTGTGTCGTTTAACTTTGATTTTGTTGTTTTTAGATTGATCTTGGGTTGTGTGAATTGTGTTGATTGGTTGTCCAATTTGCTAAAAGTCTCCCCCTTTTGGAGTGCCGGGGAGGTGCACGAATTGTCTTTCATGGTGCTGGTTTTGGGATTTGGGTAGGGTAGGTTTTGAGGTGGGATACTGATCAGATGCCGATTAGAACTGTTTGAGCTTTTATGGGTGTTTTCCGTGAACCAAAAGATATTTGGAGGAGAGTGATTGTGTTTGTTTTTATTTTCTTCCTCAGTTGTTTGCTACATGGTTTTGTATGGTGGGAGCCAAATTAGCTCCTTCCATGCCCTGATACGTGCGCAAGATGATGTTCTAGCATGGATTTACGAGTGCCATTAAACACTTTCGGATGGTTTCTTGTCACCCGCTAGTTAAAATTGGAAAGGTTTTGGAGTCACCTGCACTTTTGTTGTTGCTGATGACAAATAGGCTGGAACCTGTATATTAGTCTTGTGGATTCACATCTCGGTGAAGCAAACTATTCACCTACTGAATTGAACTGTGTTGACATTTATAGTCTTTGATAAGTAAATTTCAAGTGCTTTGACATTGCAGGAGAGAGCTGTTTCTTTATTGAGCTTTAATAAAGGAAATTGCATATTGGGCTGATTTATTGTGAAGCTAAGATTGCTGGAGATGCCTCGCGATATATCGAGGTCTCGTTCACCTTCATATAGACGAAGGCGTTCACCTTCTCCTTTGGGGCATAGGTATAGCCGCAGGAGTCGAAGAGACAGAAGCCGCTCTCCCTATTCATCTTATTCTTATAGCAGGTGATCCCGTTTATATCTTTGGCGTAATTTATTTTTAACAGTTGTAAGAAAGAAAGCGGCTTTCGTGTAACTCTTGCTGAAATGAAATGCAAAGACGTCGATTTGGCCTGCGCGAGGCGCATCCTTCCTCTATGGATGTTGCTGCTTCACCCATATTTCTGCTGAATGTGGTTTATCTCCGAATCTGAAGGATACTTGGTACTACAGGATGTTAAAGTAGATGTTATATGAGTATTGTTTTATTATCAGAAGTAAGCTGAGGCATTGCAGTGTGATAAATTTGATGCGAATCATCAGGTAACAGTCCTTACATGACTCGATGTTCTAGTGAAAACGTGAAAAAGGTTTGATATGAAGATGCAGTTCTTAGAAATTTTTGGCATGTAACTCACTACATGGTTGAGTTTATGCCACTTGATTATGCAATTTGGTGGGCATAGTTTTTGAGCAGATGCAAACTTGATATTCAAGTTTTGCTTGATTATTAAATTTTGGCTGCTGGGGTTTAAGTTGCAACTTCTCTCTGTATGGGCTTCGAAACTCTACCCGGTCTGTACCTACTTCCCGATGACCAAGCTGATGCTTTAAAGAGTACAAAAGAATTTGGTGAATATTCATGATCTGGCTAATGGGTATTTGGTTTTGGGAGCTTCTACACAGAAAATCAAAAGGAAGCTTAGATAGACATCAGGGCTTCGATAGACAGTGTAATGAAAACAAGATGAGGCATAGCATTACTCATGATATTAAGGAAATTCAATTTGTTCCTATCTTGTGGGAGGTCAGCAGGTTATGAATGCTGGTCAGTGTGCTTTTGTTGCTCGATTCTGACTTTAGCTTCATGTGATAAAAGATGGAGCTTCTTAACAGTATTTGAGGTAACTGTAAACGTTTCCTGCTTATTGTCTCTTGGTGCTGACTTGATATGCATGAGAATATGTAATGTGTTATCTTGTAATACCTGCTGAATATTTCTATTGCAATATACAGACGGAAAAGCCGTTCTATATCTCCAAGGCGACGCAAGAGTCGTTCTCCAACAGTGAGGCGTCGCAAAAGCCGCTCCCCTACCCCAAAGCGCTATAGAAGGCAAAAGAGTAGAAGTTCCTCATTGGTTCCTACTCATAGTTCTTCTAGTCCAAGCCTTGGGTCTGTGGAGCGCAAAAGTGCCAATGAGAAATTGAGAAAGGAAGAAGAAGAGAGGAAAAGGTAGGTCTGAGTCAAATTATGTTCTCTACCTGTGTTCTAATTCTGATTTTTTTTCCTTCCGTTTCTTTCTTTTCTTTTTGCTGGGTTTTTTTCCCTTACGATCATTTTCAATTGAAGGGTTTGTTTTTTAGAATATGCTTTTTCTTGGGTTAGCTTTATATATCATTTCCTAATCATGCAGTAATGGAAGAATGGCTTGGACTTGTTATTTTCTATTTCTTACTTATATGAGCTGTGTTTAGAACGAATGTTTTTCGATTTATTGGGAATTTGTTATGGTCATCTCTCATCGATGGATCTGTTTTACTTTAACTTTTACCAATGGAATTGTTTGAGGATTTAAATTTATGGAAATTTGTCTGTGAAGAACAAGAAGCACAACAACTAGAGTTATTTGCATCTGTACATTGCTAAGAAAGTATCTTGAGTTTCACTTTTCATTGGAATGCTGTTGACTGCCAGCTCATCCAATATTGAGTAATTTTACATAATTTAAGAGTTGATAATATATTCTTGAGTTGGCGTTGATCATGCCTTGGTTCATTGTCACTTGTCAGCATTCAAATTTGAGAGACGTCGAGAAAGTGCATTCTAAAGTATTATTATTGCGACAAGACATTCTTTATGGGGACAAAACATCATGTACATTAAAGAATAACCAAACTTTTCTCTCTCCTTAATTAGATATTTAGCGGTACTATGACCAAGCCTTAGGGCATGACTTCTTGCATAAGAAAGGAGTGGAAAGCATGATCAACACATTGACTATGAGCTGGTGACAATTATGAGTTTATTTTCAGGGATTCTATAATTGATCTCCGAAGCATTATATGCTTGATATGCATTGTGGACACTTTATCTTGCAATATGGATTTTTGAGATAAATGTTAATTCACAACAATATACGCTTGATATGCTCAACACTCTCTCTTGAGCAATTATGTCTATTTCTCCTGTTTGTTCCTTGATTAATGTTTGATGTATACACATCCAAGTTACATGTTTTCTTGTACAAGTGTCAGCATACAATGTTAAGATCTATGGTATATACATTGTGGATGCATTTTCTGACAGCTTAAGCTGGTGAGGAAAAAGGGTCAATTCACATGTAATGCACATGGCACTAATGCTTGCTTTAGTGAAGCTCTTTGTTGTGGAGTTCATATTCTTAGGGTAAATGGGGAGATTTCAAAGGGCATTAACAGCAATTGCGATCTGAAAATAGAAAATGATGTTCATGCACTAGGTTTACACAATTTACTATCATCGAATCATTTAGTCCTATAAAGACAGTAGGGGTTTGTTAATCAGAAAAGGGTAGTTAATAAGGCCCAGCTGCTTGATTGTTAAATTGCAGTCAGGATCTCGAGTATTTTTGTCCTTGTCACTCTATCCCATCATGTTTCCTTGACTTATTGTCTGTTTAACTTGACATAAATTGTGTGCATATGATTGTTAAAGAAAGTTTCGTTCAGTTATTCTACTTTGTGGTGGTCGTCCTATCATTTGGGCAGCAGTCTGCTATATGATCTGTTTAGCATGTGATTAACTATTGAGTTGATGATTTGACAAGATCTTGATTTGGATCTCTTACTGTTTTCATACTGACTTAATGAAATGACTTGTTGATTATCGTTACATTTATCTGTTTAAAGCAATTTAGCTTTCATAGCATAGTTCTCCATTGCTGTACCTATCGAGCATTGGATGCTCAATGGGAGCCAAAAACAAATAGCAAAAGCGTAGACTGAGAATGGAGTACATGAACATTCGTCACATATGCTTTGCTTCATCAGGATTGTTTTCTTGGTCAGTCATAAGATGGTTTCTAATTCAGTCATCTTGCCTGTCATGTTTCTGCTGTGTTGTAATGGAACTTAGGATTTTCCCTAACGGTTCTTTTCACCATGGAGTTGCAAATATCTTGCCATCTATATTTTGGTGCCTTTGGTGGCAAAGCAGAAAAATGTGTCGATGTAGGACTCCGCAGATCTTTCCTCTAAAATGTATTTTAGTGCAGGTTCCGAAGAATTTCACTGAGTAAGATTAAAACTGCAGCATGTTACTTGACATTCTTCTCCACAGGCTTTTCTGGAGGAAGATACTGCTATTAAGTCAAGTACTTAGTATTTGATGGGTGCTTCGTTTATCTACTGTTCCAGTTTTGAATCTCATTTGTTTGGATCTGGAATCAATTAGAGGTATGCTTTAAAACATAAGTACGTGTTGTTGTGCCTTTGCCGTCATAAAGGTTAGCTTGCAATTCTATTGCAGATTGTAAATAGTTGAGTTAATAAAATGAGGAAAGAAGTGTGGAATGTTGGAAAGCCAATTTGGTTATATTTTCCTCGTTTGAGCTTTTCAGCACATCATTCTGCTCTTGGTGGGTGGTCATATTTCCTGGTTGACTTTTCTTTTCTTTATAGGCGTCAGCGTGAGGCAGAATTGAAAATAATCGAAGAGGAAACTGCTAAGAGGGTAGAGGAAGCTATCCAGAAGAAAGTGGAAGAGAGCTTGAACTCTGCTGAGATCCAACTAGAGGTACAAAGAAGGTTGGAGGAAGGCCGGAGAAGGCTTCATGATGAAGTTACAGCACAGCTTGAGAAAGAAAAGGAAATTACCCTTGTTCAGGCCAGACAAAAGGAGGTAGAGTTCACTGCACTTGTCTTTTGTATTTCACCGAGCCTGTCTCTAGGATCATTTAAGGATGAATTACTGCCATCACTTAGTCGAAATGTACCAATAACTTGCACTGTCTAACAGAAGTGTATCATGACTCATCAGATTTGTATTCATTTATACAAGCTTTGTTGTTCTTGCAGTTATGTCCACTCTTATGTTTTTCAGAAGCTTCTTCCTTTGATAGACGACATTTTCAAGATATGCTAACATGATCTCCTGAAACCTCATCAGATTTGTATTCATTTATACAAGCTTTGTTGTTCTTGCTGTTATGTCCACTCTTATGTTTTTCAGAAGCTTCTTCCTTTGATAGACTACATTTTCAAGATATGCTAACATGATCTCCTGAAATCTCTCTGCTGGATTTTGAGCTAAAACTGTAGTTATTGCATAAATAGCAAAGGAACTGTGGCCGGAAGGATAATTCGGAAATCCAAGCTGTTCCGCTTCATTTCCTTTGGAGGGCCTAGTCTGAGAGTAACTGTGTTGATCTTATTATCCTATTGCTTTTCTTGGAGCTTAAACAATCTCCCGGTTGCAGGAGCAAGCGCGAAGGGAGAAAGAGGAACTAGAAAGGATGCTGGAGGAGAACAGGAGAAGAGTAGAAGAATCTCAGAGAAAGGAAGCTTTAGAGCAGCAGAGGAGGGAAGAGGAACGGTATTGGGAGCTGGAGGAGCTCCAGAGGAAGAAAGAGGAGGCTCTGCGGAGGAAGAAACAGGAAGAGGACGAGCAACGGTTAAATCAGATGAAAGTGTTGGGCAAGAACAAATTGCGGCCCAAGTTGTCATTCGCTCTTGGCTCAAAATGAAATTGTTGATGGTAGTTTTTGTTCCATATGTGCACTTGGCTTTTTTTTTCTCATCTTTGCGTCTGGATTATGGGGAAATACATGGATAGATACAATTGTAGTGGTATCAGTTCTTCTCTGATGACCAGCTTGTATGATTCTTTTTCCCCTTTATATTATGGAAGTATGGTCTTTTGGTAGTTGCAGTTGCTGATTACCCAGCAAATGAATGAATCATGAGATTTTGCTTCTTGTTCATCTGCCTTCATCTTTCAGTCGTTTGATGAATGGGCAACTTTAAGGATGTTAGGGCAGGGCAATAGGCAAAATTGGGGAATTTCGATCCGGCATTGAAATCGGTTATCGAAATCCCAGACTGATTATCTGAGAATGGAAAAATCTCAATGTCCGATAGCAATATGAGATCGGTCGGTTACGTGTTAATAAGTTGTCATTATCAACTTAGATTCGACTATACCGATGCAGGCCGATTGGTAAGTTGACGATGTACATTTGGACTTTTATCAATAGCTATAGAGATGTTACCGAGTTTTTTCAATTGAATGCTATTGCAGCGGCGATACGCATAAAAAGGATTTTTTTTATTTTATAAGAACACTATAAAGAGTTCGTCGTGTTGAACTCGCTCTTTTTAAGAAGGGAAATGCTACTGAGGCGATTTGAATAGGACCAAAATATCGTGTTCTAACATCTACATCTGTTGTACATGTTGAAAGTGAAATGATAATTCATTAACGATTTGTGCAGTATTGCTTCCTTTCTTTATGATGATGAGCTCCATCTGAATTAAGGAATTTAGGGTTTATGAAATATTTTCGAGCCTTATTAATCAGGTAAGACACGAGTCGGAATTTCGTGAAAAAACCAAACACGAGTTGTTCGTCGTTGTAGCCAGAGAGATCTGAAGATTTGTGCATCTATACTGCTCATGTCCGTTCTTTAATTACCAAGCCAATTCCAAGAGATTAACAATGGGGTGCAATGAAAGTAGTAGTTGTCATCCCATCATTTTTCTCTTTTAGGACAGCGAATACTCGTGATGATAGTTTTCTAAAAAGTCAATGTAAAATTCATTTTTCTTCCTATGTGTTACACTTAAGTCAAACCCCTTTATCAAGCACCCTTTTTAACTTGAAGTTGCTTCAAATTCAGATCACAACTTTTCTTTACATTTGGTTTTGACCATGGTAGATTTAATTCTGCATAAGCGTGGCAGCTTTCACTGAAAATTGACTGACCATGTGTGAACTATCCAGTCAATTCAAGCTAAATGTAGACATGTTTCTCATCATGATAGCATGATCCAGAATAGGACTTCTCCACCCAAATTGTCAAGAAAATCAGCATGCTGAAAGGACAGCGCGGTCATTAAGAGCCTCCGGTTAGCTACTGATTTTTCATGCACCAAGCATTTTCTCACACTAGCTTTGGGACAATTTAGGGTTCATGAATCTGAATGCAGAACTGTCTTAGAAGACAGTTTCTAAAGAAACCGCTTTCGAGGCATGAACGACTTAGCGCTCAAGAGACGGACATAGGAAAAGTTTTGGTGCACAACACAAAATACATCGATTGATCTCCGACCCACATCATCAGCTACGAAAGTGATCTCATCCGCGGATCATCCGTCCAAGCATCGATTCGCATCTTATCCGATAGGAAAGTGAAAATACATTTCATTAGTTGGTTTACTGATTCAAAGAGTGCCATCATGTCAGATAAAACTAGAAATCATTAAGGTTGGACTCGTCTGTGTATATGTTCACACACTGGCAAAAAGCTTCCACTTATGCATGACTTTTGAAGTTTTTTATGGCTTAATCCTCAGTGGGAATACATATGAAGTGTAGAGAAATTCCAGGTTAAGAAGGAACTCTTCCTTGCGAATCTGTGGGCAGACCAAAGCGGCAGATCAGTAGTTGCACAGCAATCATGCGCAGTGAAGATTGTTATCTGAAGGAGTACAGCTTCAAGCTTTCATATGAGCGATTGATTCAAGCACAGACAATTTAGTAGCACAAATAGGCAAAACTTGTACCGTGTACCATGAATTACTTGCTCTCAGGAGTGCATTTTCATCTGTTTCCATAAATTAGGACACAAACATAGTGGCTCGGCAAGGAGGCCTGTGGGAAACCTGCAAGACCCGTGAACTCATTAAACTTAGCCTCTTGACATGTCCAGGTGACCCGACAAAGAGCAATTAACGCGCACAACTGGTGAGATTTGAACGGGCGACCTTCAATGTCCGAGCTCAAAATCCTCTGGCGTTGTCCAACCTAGAGGGTTGAGTGCACTAATTTTATTACCTGCAATTTCATTTTTTTTTTTGGAGGGATTAATCTCTGATGGCTAATTTATAAGCCCACACCTCATTTGTACTATAATAGAAAAAGTAAAATTCAATGCATAAGTAATATACTTTGTTGGGATAATTATTCAATTAGTTCTAAACATATCATACGGTTGCCGATTTAGTCGGGAAAATTATCTAAAAAGTGCTAAACCTATGGTGCTTTGGCCAATTCACTCCTAAACCTTTCAATTTTGCTAATTGAGACATAAATCTTGTCACGTTTGCTAATTGAGTCCATCCGATCAATTTTAGTCGGAAATCGCTAACGGGGACGTTGGTAGCGCTACATAGGACAGTAGGCGCTAACGTAGATAAATTTTTTTATTTCTTTTCTTTTCTTTCTTTCTTTTCCTTTTCTTTTCTACCAAATCCTGCAAGGGCCGGCTGACCCTCAACAATCACAGGCGAGGGCTAGTGACCCTTACCGGGCTTGAAAGGCAAAAAAAAAAAAGAAAAAGAAAGAAAGAAAAAAAAATTAAAAAATTCCGAAATTTTAAAAAATTATAAAAATTGTTCACGTCAGCGCCAGTCGTGCCACATAGAATAGCTGGCATCTACGTCAGTGTTTTCCGGCTAAAATTGGCTAGATAGACTCAGTTGGCAAAACATGAAAATATTGAGAGCTTAATTGACAAAATTGAAAGGTTTAGGACTAAATTAGCAAAAGTATCATAAGTTTAAGACTTTAATTCAGTCCTAAAACTTTTTATTTTGTCAATTTAGTCCTCAAATATTACACGAAATTTCAATATAATCTTTTCAATCAATTGCTGACGTGGTGTCCAATTATCACCGGCAGTTGAAATAGAATTAATTCCGACCAACGGGGTTAACAAGAAGTCCAAACTGGCGGCTGCCCCATGATTATTAATTGGCCACTTGGTGGCATAAAGAGTCGGCAGTAAAGGAGGATTCCTATGCAACTTTCCAGAAATAGTGGATCCCTGCATCACGGTCACATAAGACTGCGGTCAGCTCAAATACATTTTGGTAATTTTCTTGAAGTACTCTCTTTAATAAGAAACATAATTTCACCTCTATCAGAATATCATGTGGTTCGACTATAATCTAAAGATGATGAATGTTGTGGTTATAGAGGATTTTCAAGTAGAAATTTCCTAATTTCGATGCGAGAGGCCTACCGCAAGTATTATTAGCCTCGAAATAGAACAACCCATTCGTTACTCTGGCATATATAGAATACAATTTAATCGGGGTGACGAGATGAACGAATCATGAAGAAAGAATTTCGTTATACCAAAGTTCTTTGACTATAGTTACGAGAAAGCAAAAAGATTTGGCAGGAAATTAGGCCGTGAGCGACCGGATCAATTACAGCGAACAATCTCGTGGGCTCAGTTTTCGTGGAACTCCAATTGATTCTTCTCCTTCGACCGAAATCATTGCCTAGATATGGTTAATACATTGTAGGTTAATACCATAATGACTGAATTAAGCTGTCCATATAGATGCCAAGCACATAAGCACCATCACTCACTCAGCTCATGCAATTTTATTCGACTTATATATCTTGGCAAAAATTGTCCAAAAAATCCTAAACTTATTTTATGACGACCAACCCAGTCCTATTTAATTTGACCAATTTAATCCAAAACATTGTTTGACAATTTGTCAATGTAGTCATTTGGCTAGAAAATTGCTAACGTGAACGTTAGCCATCCTACATAGCGTTCACGTCGGCAACGACGACGATTTTGTAAAAAAATTAAAAAAAATTTCTGATTTTTTTTTCCTTTTTTCTCCGTTTGCCATCACCGAGGCCCCAGACTGACGAAGGAAAATAAGAAAAAAAAAAAGAAAAAGGAAAATGAAAAGGAAAAAAAATAGAAAATGCCAATAGTATCATGTAAGACAGCTGTCATTCACATTAGATATTTTTAGCTAAGTTTTGCTGGAAGGACTACACTGACAAAATCGTCAAGAGGTCAAAAACTAAATTGGCTTAATTGATAAGTTTAAGAAAGAATTGATTGTCATATAATAAATTTAAGTTGTTTCGGGACAATTATTCCTATCATCTCGTGACGAGACCCGTAACAAAAGAGTACTTACAACTTACCAACGTGGGAAAACAGAATATAAGGATGTGTTCGTTTGCGAAAAAATATTTTTTCGGAAAATATTTTCCGCGTTTTCTGGTGTTCGGGGGCGGAAAATGTAGGAAAACATTTTCCAAACGTGGGAAAAGTAAAATTATTTCTCTCCTGTCCAAAATATTTTCAAAAGAATATTTTTGCCAAACAAACTAAGTGATCTCTCTCCTGTCGTATCTTACTTAAGTCACACATCATTATTGAATGATGATGCGCTTGACTCTTAATTACATCTATCCACTCCAACTCCCCGAATGGTCTGTATGAACATGACCCCCCGGCCAAGTCATTCCCTGTTCAAGTCCAATCATTCGAGTTGAGTGATTCGTTCCTCCCTAAACAGACAGACAGAGCCCTTCGCGCTGCGTGCCAAACGTCATAGCCAAGAACTTTATTCACTTGGGTGCAAATCTCACCTGAATTTGAAGAGGTGGATGATTGATTCTCTCTATTCGCAAGACCACGTATGGATGATCTCGTGGTGATGCAACTAGAGCACAGCAGCCGTGGGGGGTTGGGAGATGATAACGATCGTTTAGTGGTGGGCAAGATCATAATTGAGAATCCTCACATAATTTCATAAAATAACGTTCCCACTTGTTTATATGTTTATAGTGTTTCCAATCATGCATACACATGTGCTCTAGTGTCAATACGACGTAAGGGGCAATTATAACCATAAGGGAGGAAAATAATTCTTTGGCCCTTCTTTTGCTTATTCTCTGACTCGAGATATGATGAGTACCATTCCATGAGTAAACTTCAAATGTCATCTGGGGCTCCATGTTGCTTATGACTGAGGGAAAGCGTTACATTAATATACGTTTCGCTAAAAAATTAAATTGATTATTTTTCGAGAAAGAGAACTGTTGATTTTCGAAAACTCTCGAAAACTTCCTTTTTTTTTTATTGATCTAATAGGCGAAGTAGTCGCTGCACGAAAATACCTCATCGATTGTGCTTGTATGTAGTAAGGAAAAAAAATCCCAATAGAAGGAAGACAAGATTAAATGCTAGATGGAAAGCGTATTTTTAATGAATCCGATGAGTACAGTGGACTTGATGAAGTAATGCAAATCTAAACTTCATTTTTGATGCATAGAGTCGATGTGAGCCTCGAGCATGATAAACATTAGATCATGCGGATCTCAAACGGAGCTCTCATGATTCAAGGATTGTGATAAATTGGGTACTCACCCAGCCAAGAAAAAAAACAAAGAAAAGAACGCGTTGGCAACAATTATTCAAAACTCCATTGAACCTTTGGCACCATTGTGCAATGAGTCCTCGAATTTCAAGGCTCTGTAATTTCTCGCTTTTGCTGCAAAATAGCCTCCGAACTTTGAAAAGTTACATATCATCCCCTTTGAATTTTGATTTTTTGCTGTAATAACCTGTTTTTCTAATCTTCCATACTGACTGAAAGTGGACCAAGTCAGTTTTCTTTGTGCAAAATAAACTAATGTGTCGTGGTGCCAAAAAGGTGGGGATTCGGAGCAACTATTTGTAATTAATTGGAGCTTTCTCTTTGTCCATCCGTTTGATCGAGGATTTGATATGAGGGGAAAAGAAGATTCACAGCATCTCTCTCCTTTGAGGTTTGTCTTCTTGTTCTCTATATATTCGTCCCTCCATTCGTCACTTCACCCGCACGAACTACATCGTACAAAGACCACTCTGTAATCTACGCACAGAGAGAGAGAGAGAGAGTTCTGTTGGGTCTTGTTCTTTTTGGGTGGTGGTGGTGGATTTAAATGCCTTTCAGTTGCCCAAGAATTGGTGGAAACCTCCCACAAGTTGTGCTGCGACAGAGGAGATGTGTTGAGTCCACGTCCAACCATGTAGCCAGATTCATCTCCTCCTTCTCTCAAAGCCACGACCCACGATTCTACTCACCCAAGAACAGGTCACATGTGCTTAAGATTGCTTCTCCATCCAATTTCAGCACGAGCCCATCACACCCTTTGATGGAGGACCCCGAAAGGTTGAGTCTTGCCTCTTTAGATGGCGAAGCAGGGGGGGAGAGGTACTCCAGAGAGCTGGATGTTGCTGTGAGGGCCGTGCAGATAGCGTGTTGGATTTGCCAGAAAGTGCAAGACACTCTAGTCTTTAAGACCAACGACAACAACAGTAGTGGCAGCAATGATAAGCAAGTTCACTCCAAGGATGATAATTCTCCGGTCACTATTGCTGGTAAAAGAAAAGCCAACTACTACTGTTTACTTTTTGTTGGATTATATAGTTCTTGGATTGGGCAAGTTGGGTGTTCGTCGTGAATCCTGTTTGTTTGGTTTTTTTTGAGTGATTTTATGGGTTGGTTCCAAGTTTGGTTTATGCCATAAATTAAGGGGCTTTCTGGATTAATTTCTGGGACATAACTTTACTCTTTGTGGTACTTGAATTGTACATTCTCATTTGCAAATAATTTTTACTGTTGAGTAATCTGAGATGGGTACATCTTCCATGACATATTAAATGTTAGCGATAAGAAATGACTGGACAAGAGACCTTTGGTTCCTGACTGTGAAGAGAAATTGGTGGAATGTTTAGTCCTCGAAGCTGCAATTATCTTTAAGTGAAGTCTTTGTTAAAGAAGGGAACCTTTTCCTGTTGGTGCAATTGCAGTAGAATGTATTTGGCTTACTGATGGAGCTTTCTAAAAACCTGTCAAATCTGAGTCTGGAATACAGTTCCCATTCTAGACGAGGCAAACAATGGATTCAATTGTTAAACCCAGCTTAATAGCCTAAGGAAACTGAAATGCCAGTTTATAAATTTTGAGAACCTATTTACTAGCATGCAAGTGAGTCCCTACTTCGGAGGAGGTTCAGTTGTAGTTGTATTTTGAGATTTTATGAGTGCATCTACTGTTTGTTCGAGCAAGGGCTTTATCTCGAGAACCTGGTTCCCAAAAACTTCTCTGCAGGGGGGTCGACTTCTCTGTGGCATCAATAGTAGTTTTCACGTTAATCTGCACTATCGATGCAGCAAGGCAGATTACAGATTTTTATTTTCTCTGAAGCGGGTTAAATTTGCTTTCTGATTTACTTATGTTGTGAAATAACTGCCGGGTTTTCCTTTCTTTTCCCTTGCAATTGCAACTTCAGAATTTTCCCTCCTTGAGTTTAAGTGGTTGAAAGTGCATTATTTTTCAGTTATATATACCAAATGATATACATGTTTAAACCTCTCTCTTTGAAACATAGATTTTTTTTCCCCAAAGACTGTATCTCCAATCTATCATGTATTAATACAATCTGTCTTTTTTCTGCAAAAAAAATGAAAACCTTAAAGCCTAATGAAGTAGAACCTTAGGTTATTTGACTCATCAGCAAATTTAAGCGTTTTGTTCCTTTTCTATGTCCATTTACTTGAAATAAATCTTCAGTATCATGTGTGCTGTTTATAATTTTCCCTATCATACTTCTTTATTTATATAACCAATCTGCTGGTTCTTTGATTATAACTTTCTGTCACTAGATTTAGTCATGAGATTCTTTCCACATGTACCAGTCACATCGTGCTACTTTTGGTGTATAATCTTTATTTATGCTCTATTAGAAGCAAGTGCTTCCCGATTGCTCAGATCCTAGAGAGGCATTTTTTGATGGCCTCAACCAATGTGTACTATTTAACATGTTCAATTACTTCTTCATGTTCATGCTTTATATGATGCAGTTGCATTCTTAACTTAGTAGTTTGGCTAATTCTCTTGATCTTGCATCTAAACAGACTGGAGTGTGCAAGCTACAATAAGTTGGTTGTTATCTGAGTCTTTTGGAATTAGCAATGTCTCGATTGTCGCCGAAGAGGATGTACATGCTCTCTCCAAGGCTGATGGAGCAGGCTTGTTGAAAGCAGTTGTGGAAACAGTCAATGATGCCCTATCTGAGGCACCCCGATTTGGGCTTATGTGTCCTCGAGAGAACCTCAGCCCTAAGGAAGTTCTTGAGGCTATTGGCCGTTGCAACTCCACTGGCAGGCTAAATCGAAAGTTTTGGGCGCTAGACCCTGTTGATGGTACACTGGGGTTTGTGCGTGGTGATCAGTATGCTGTTGCTCTTTCACTGATAGAAGATGGGAAAGTGATCCTTGGAGTTCTTGGCTGCCCCAATTACCCAATGAAGAAGGAGTGGCTAAGCTATCACCATCGCTACCATAGGATTATCACCAAATTGACCCCACCGGCATCAGAATCTTGGGACCGGGGTTGCATACTTTATGCCAGGGAAGGCAGTGGCGAGGCCTGGATGCAGCCATTGCTCCATAAGAATAAGAGGTTAGAGTGGCCAAACGCTGCAGTGCCCGTTCGTGTTTCTTCCATTGATAATCCAGCATTAGCAACTTTCTGCGAACCAGTTGAGAAGGCAAATTCAAGTCATTCCTTCACAGCTGGACTAGCTCATTGCGTCGGGCTTAGGTGCGTATTTGTCTCTTCCCCCCTGTGGTCACCGCTTTCCACTCGAGCATTAGCGAATGATTCATACAGGATGTGTAACTTATAATAATGTGATATAACATATATTCCCTAAATGCTGCAAAACAAAAAAATCATTGAGATTATGACAAACTGCAGACCCTATGATTTAAGGCATACCAAAAACTCATAAGAAATCCCATCCTGGTCATGGGAAAAACAGATGTTCCCCAAGTGCCACGAATACGGGTGTCCAACTAAGACATTTGTGAGAAATTAGAACACACTGGCAAGGGAGCTTACATGCTTGACAATACCTCTGTTTCTGCAGAAAGCAGCCATTACGTGTGTACAGCATGGTCAAATATGCAGCCATAGCTCGTGGAGATGCTGAGATCTTCATGAAGTTCGCAAGGGCAGGTTACAAGGAGAAAATATGGGACCACGCTGCCGGTGTCGTTATAGTACAAGAGGCTGGTGGCGTCGTGACGGACGCAAGGGGACGTCCCCTTGATTTTTCAAAGGGTATTTATTTGGAAGGTCTGGATCGAGGTATAATCGCCTGTTCCGGAGCCAAACTGCATGAAAGGATCATTAAGGCTGTAGATGCTAGTTGGAACTCCTCTTGTCTGTAAAACAAACAGTATGCATATATGGCAATAAGTACAGCTTAATGTTATTCTTGAATCTCCGAAGTGCTGAAGTGAATTCATTCTGTTTTCCCGACCGGGTTTCGAACTTAGGAAAGGATCGGTCTAATTACTGAACGGTATTATCAACGTAACACGAGTAACTCAAGATTTCACATTGCGGGTACTGCGCTTCGGTAACATCACATTGATCGTTTTTGCTTAATTTCCTGTGGAAGCTCATGAAATCTGATCTCTGTCCTTGAACTTGAAGCGCTAACCTTTCAACCGTTGAAGCAGACTCAGCCATTGATTCTATGGGTGTGTGTGTGTGTGTATGGGGCATATAGAAAGCTACTAAGCACTTACAAAAATTTGGAAATAAAATCACAGAATATATAAAATACCTTTACTTAGTTCTTCACATGGTCAGTTTCTTTTTAGTAAATTTTAATATATCAACAGTTTATGACTTTTTACAATTAGTAGTTTTTCCAGTAAAAATGAAACAAATCTATACATAAATTATAAACCATAGCAAGTTTTTAGATCGTAAAGTAAGTACCCCCGGTTTGCTTTAGTTCAAGTAAAAACGAAAAGTGAAATGTATGTATTTTGTGAAAATTTTAAGTTTTTCTGATTTTAAAAAATCAAAGTACTTTTAATTAAATGAATTGTAAAAACTAAAAATCAATCCAAAATCCGTGATTTCAAACTCAATTTAAATCATAAATAAACCTTGAATAGATAAGAAACTATAGAGTTTCTGGTCAATCAATCACAATTAGGGGTGATTCATGACAAGGTGGATTTGTTCTTGGCCTATTCTCGACGTGGAAATGGAAACTACCCTTGTGACCTTCCGATTTCAAAAGCTCATAATCGGGACTAGAACTGTCAATACTTGAATCTAAGCCGGTCGGTTCTAGAACTGTTGATACTTGATTCTATTGATTCCAATCCAATTCCTAGTTCTACCCGAAAATTGCATCAATTTTTATTCCAAGTAAAAATCAAATTCTTGTAAAAGTCACACCATTAATATTTGTTAATCAAGTGTTCATTTTGAAAATCATGGTTCAATTAATTTATGGATGCAAAAGTAATTTTTTTTTCTTGAAAGAGCTTCAAAACCAATTTAGAACGGTTCAACCATTGAGAACCGGGAATCGGGTTGATTTTGGCAACTGGTGTCCTTAGAAGTGGTGTCCTTAGAAGCGGAGTTGACTGGTCGGTTCAGGCTGTTCGAACTTGTTCCTGATTACAATGGACCCCCGTGCTCACTCATAGTCACAATTAATCAGGTTCACTCTTACAAACCAAACAAAAAAATATGGAGATGCTTATTTATAAGCACAAATGGTCCCGGAAATTTTAATTTGTTCAGTGTGATCCCTAAACTTTAACTCGGTATGCAATGCCGTCTCTAAACTTTAAATTTATTCAATATAATCCATAAACTTTTGATACATGTACAATCTAGTCCTTGGATTATATGCAAATGTTTAATATTGTCCTTGAACTTAAATAAATGGAAGGCATTGAACATTTTCATATAGTCAAGAGACTAACTTGAACATGTGCCAAAAGTCTGGAGATCACATCGAACAAATTAAAAGTTCGGGATCATATTACATATTAATTTCAAGTTCGTCGACTATTTGTGTCATTATTCATATATATATATATATTATATAGGGACGAATTACAGAATATATGAAAAATATTTTTTTAGCAATTAGAAAATATGAAGAATGACCAAGAAAAGAGCTCCCACCAATTTTCCGAGGAACGAAACGAAACGCACTCTCTCTGCTTCCGCTTCCATCTTCTTCCTCCGCCTATCCTCTCTCGCTCCTCTTGTCCCGCTTTCCTCCTGAAAACAAGCGGTTCGTACACTTCATCGAGCTCGAGCGAGCTCAAAGAGACGACCCAGCTATGGAGATTTGTTCTTCTGCGCTCGTCCTCTCGCCTCCCAACATCCTCGCCCGCCCGACGTCGCACCCTTTTCGTTCAATCCCTTGTTTACCGTCCCTTCCTCCTCCTTCGAGAACCGCTGCTAGGCCGTCCTCTCGAGTTCTCTCTGCTTCTTCGGCTCCCGCCCTCGTCAAGCCGGGTCGAGACGAGCCGGCCCGTCCTCCGCCGCCCGACGCCGGCCGGAAGCACCACTCCAAGTCTTACTTGGCCAGGCAGGCCGCTGTTCTTGAAATCCAGCAGTCGCCCGACTTGGACTCCTCTCTCGAAAGGTCCTGACTGAGTGGGAAACGCGGTTGCCGCCCCGCCCCGCTATTTCGATGTTGTTGTGAAGTGCCTTGATTGTTTGACTGGCTATGTGGCATGTTTGTTTTGAAGTCAAGATTAAATTTTGAGAATTTAATGGCGCCACTTGAAGGTTCAGGGCTCGATTGTATTCCGTATGCAACATTTTAGGAGGAAACCCAGATGGGATTTTGCGCCTGATTTGGGGAGCCGCTCTTTTCACTTGCTAGACTTATCTTTCATATGTCATAGAGCGTGAATTTTTGTTCAAATGTTTTGAGGACAAAAAGAAAAAAAACTACAGAAATTTCGATGCATATTGGTATCGGGCTTCAGATTTCAACAATCTTGGGAGATTGGATGAAATTATCTTTCACAAGTACATACATTTCCTCTCGACATCTAATGCGATAGAGAGTCTTGAAATCATGCGTCGCGGTTCCTGCTTTCGGTGTAATGATATGTCGTTCGTCATCTTTAATTAGTTCCGTTCTTCTGCTGAATATCTCTTAGGAGGTTGAGGTCTTGTACTTTTGTGTCTGTGCAGGTTTGGTGGCCTACTGAAGGTGCAGGACTTGAATGCCATTTTGAGGTATTTTGGGAAGCTCAACCGGATGCAAGATATTTCCAAGGTTCTGAAACGTCCAAAATTATATTCACTTTATTTGTCGAGTTAGTTTAAGTGTCTCTTCTCATCGTATAAAATTTGCTTGTTCTTGAATGTGGACTAGAATTATGATCGATTAATGAAACTATATGCACAAACCGACTTTTCAACTTACGCTTTGTTCATTTTTAAGCACTCTTTGGTCTTTATTTAATCTTTGATGGGGTCACAACTCTTTTTTTTATTAGCCATGATTATCTGGAACTAGGGAAGAATGAATGTAGCCTTATAGAGTAATAGAGGTAGGATATATAGTCAGCATTTTGATGGATTCTCTTGATGGGTTCGATGATCAACAGTTGTCCAGTGATATGGAATATCTCTTTCAACAAGTTCCTAGTTTTATATCGTCAGTCATTTCATATCAAAACATCAATCTGCAATTTTGCATTGTCTGGACTAGCACATACTGAATGTTATGGATTTAAGGCATTCTCATGTTTTGTTCCATTATGCGTTCGTTTCGATGTGGCTGAATTATGCCTAAACTTCAATTTTGTCAAGAACAAAGAACAGCTCACAAAAATCATTGTATTAATGGTGCTTGGAAATAAATGTTTTAAAAAGTAGTGATGCATCTTTATGAATATCTATAATGACAAAAAAGAATATAAACCGCAATAAGTTTTGAGTGTGTCTGGACTCTTTTACTTATTTTTTTTTTGTTCTTTTAAATCTTGTGGCGCACGCACTTTTACTTTGTTTTTAGACTTAAGCATCTAAAGCTTTCATAATATATAAATGTTGACACGTGGATTCAGACATAATTGATCATAGGTTTTTAAAAGTTGAATATACTTTAGATTTTGGTGGGATATAAAAAATTGCCTTTTGCTTTTCATAAGTCAAAACAAACAGACCCAAAGACTTATCCTTGTAAGTGGGATTGGCGTCTATGCCATGCTCTCCATTTTGAATCAAATGTTGTAAGCTCTAAGTTCTCCAAATCTTTTCGTATTGTCTCTTTCCACATCTTTATCATTATGGATCATATATGAGTATTTGCTAGTGATTGGAGAAAGACGCAACCTAACGGCTCTAACAGTTATGGATTGTAGGACTAATCTAACAAGCTATGAAAACTTATAAGAAATTTGATTCTGCCAAACAGCTCAAATAGATTTTTGGTATTGGTTTTAGCTTCACCCTCATGATTGGAAGCTTAAGATCTTAATTCATTTCCATCTACCTGTTCTCCTGCATTATTCCTCTGTCTCTTGCCCGCCCTCTGTTTGGCAGGCTAAATCGTGGCCAGCAATGGGTCTTCTCACTTAGTAGACAGTTGATCATTTTCTTTCCGTTCCTTTCAATTACCTAATGAAGAGCTGGTATTGATTTTCTGTTGAAATTGTCGCAGCTCTTTCAGTATATGCAGAAACACAAGAAGATTAGTGCTGCAAGTTATAGCAGTTATATAAAGTTCACAGGGACAAGCCACAACCCTTTGGATGCACTGGAAATCTATAACAGTATTCCGGATGCCTCAATGAGAATCAATGTCTTTATAAGTAATGCTGTTCTTAGTTGCCTTGTCAGAAATGGTAAGTTCGGCATCGGCATGAAATGTTTTCAACAGATGAAGCAGGATGGGCTGAAACCGGATATCATTACATATAGCACGGTGCGCAACTCTAAACTCATCTTGGTTAACTTTCTTTAAGCAATTAGATTAGCAACTTGTGGGAAATGGATTTGTGACCAATAAAAAGCTAAATTTTATGTAATATTTATTGTTAAATTATATTGGACTTCTGATATGTGAACTTTGGAATTTTTTTTTTTCTATGTGAAGAGATATGCTATATACATTGTAGGCCTATTCTTGACAACTTAAACTTTTGGGAAAAACGATTATTTAATATGGTAGAGCACGGGTGAGGTGTTCATATCCAAAATACTCCCCTTTTTATTATTTTGTATGTTTCTCTGTCTCCTTCATGCTCTAGTATTCCAGTCTGTGATTGTCTTTAGTTGGTTTTACTATGGTCACATCCCATGTTTCATATGTAAGGCCCCACTTATACAGGAGAGGGATTGTTAAGATATAGTCTCTTTAGAATGTTTGACAACATTATCTGTGGATTAAAATGGACCATATGGTTTCTAGTCTTGAATCGTATAACTTTAACAACATCGAACTTGCTTATTTAGCTCATGCTTATAATATACGGCTTCATTGATCAAAGTTGACAGGAGCCCCTTTCATTATGTTGCAACAAAGTATCGTACTTGTTGCAACAATGATCAATTATGTACAGAGATCTCATGATCAACATTAGAGTTGAAAATTTGATGGGCGCAATGTGGAGTCTTTTGAATGGACAAATTCCTATAATTTTTTGCCAGATTCATTGGGCTCTAATAATGCCCCACTAAGCAAAGATAACCTGTTTCTTCGCTGCTGAACGTATCCAATTTTCATCTTCATCACATGTTTGATTTGGTCTAAGTTTTGAGGAAGTAATAGTCAGAACATTATTGCAGTCTTACTTGGTACTGTCCATAGTTTGAGCAGTAGCAATCCTTACTTTCTTCATTATCCTTAGCTGCTTGCAGGTTGCATGAAGGTCAATGATGGTTACACCAAGGCATTGGGACTGATACAGGAATTGGAGTATGGTGGTCTTGAAATGGACAGTGTAATCTATGGGACTCTTATTGCCGTGTGTGCTTCGAACAATCATTGTGAAGATGCAGAGCGCTTCTTCAAGCAAATGGTTAATGAAGGCCATACACCTAATGAATTCCATTATAGCTCTTTATTAAATGCATACTCTGCTGATGGTAATTACAAGAAGGCTGAAGCCTTGGTGCAGGATATGAAATCTGCAGGCTTAGTTATCAATAAGGTGTGTCTTGAACTTCATCTCTCACTTTTATGTTAGAAGATGCATTTGATTGCATGCATATAATTTTGAAGATGGTATTGTGGATTTGGGATTGAAACTTTTAAAGAGGACATTATTTTTTATGGTAGTTGCCAAATTTTGTGCAACTCCTCCTTCTAAGGTCTAATAGGTCTTTAACTCTTCAAACTATTATTTTGGTTTGTTGCTAAACTTTTCAAACAAAGTGGAAAAAGTGCCACTTCTTTAGGGTTTAAAAACACCTGTGTTCTAATGGGAGAGCATCTTTATGACTAGGGATGGACACAAGAAGTGGTACCCCACAGGGCCCCGACCTGCATGGGGCGATTTTCCTCGCAAAAAATATCTCTTGGAAGAAAAAATATCCCTTAGCTAAATAATCTGAATTTTTTTTTAAATAATCTTAGCAAAAAAATGTACAACTACATTATTTTTTGATTACTTAAAATTATATCAAAACGAGGATATGTTTAAAAAATTTGCTAAAAACCATTGTTGGAATCATTACCTGAGGCAGGGGCCCCTCCTTGTGCCCATCGCTATTTACGACTGATGCCTTATGCTTGAAAGGTGTGGGCCTCGTGGAAAGCCCGTTGCCCTGACATCTTAGAAGCTAGATTCCGTCACTCCATTTAGCTTGAGTGCCTTGGACTACATTGCGCTTGTCTGACTGATGATCCTGATCCCGCCCCATAGTTAAATAGATCTGAGTAGCTCAAAATTTGACGATCGAGCTCTGGCAGTTTGATAAAATTGTATACTAACAAAATAAAAGGAGTACATGTCAATTTCAAGTATTATTCCTACTACTAGAGATTCCTCTTATATCGTTGTGGAGTGGACAGAAGGGTGCCTTCTAAATGCTGCCCACTTTTCATTAACAGTTTTACCCATTTCATGTCTGCTAGCTGCTTCCTTAGTGGCTGATGTCAAAATCCTTTCGCTTGAATTTGTATGTCCTTCACCAGAAATTTTGATTACTTCTTTTTGTAGTACATCTACAGTATGCTTATACTGAGTTGACATCATTCACTAATGCAAGGTTTTCAGGTAATTTTGACTACTCTGCTAAAGGTTTACGTCAGAGGAGGCTTATTTGATAAGTCGAGAGAATTATTAGCTGAACTGGAACTCTTAGGCCATGCCAAAGATGAGGTATATTATTGTACTTTTCTCTCTGCTTTCTAAATGAAGCTATAACAGGCTTGAATTATATCTGACCTGTAACAAATGATATGCATAGTATTCTCATCAGACCTCAGAAGTCAAAAGGACAGAAGCTGTTCAGGAAACTGGGACACAGTTTAGTCTTCAGAATTTGACCTTCGTAGGCTTTCAAAGGATTCTCTGTATTAGATTTTTCACATATTACTTCACGCGTTTGCTGATGTTCCACAATATGAAATCATAAACTCAATAAATGATTCTTTGAATCTTGTTTCTTGCATTTTCTATCTCAATGCTTTGCAGATATCATTATACAGTGTAATTTAAAGTCTTTTATTTTGTGTGAGGATGAAAATGACAAACAAAGCCTTTTTTCCCAAGGAGGGTTGACTATGCGGTCAGCTCTTTTTAGTGGGATATCCTCTAGAAGAGTCATTTTCAAGATCCTGCCTTTTGTGTTTTTGTCATGTCTTCTTCAGCCTCTCCTCCCATATAACACTCTTTTCCTACCATAAGATTGTATTTATACATGCCATATTGAATTATGTTTTCATATTTCAATTCTCTTTTACTGAGTCTCTTGCATCTCATCTTCTTTTGTTGAAAATGGTCATTGTATATATTCTTCTATGATTATCTTTACTACCAAAGTATTCACATCTCTGATCACTCTGATTTTGCTTACCATTGGTACTCATATTGCTAGGCAGTTTATCTCATAAAGCTTCTGATACAACAGCACAGATCATGCTTTGAGAACTAACATCTCTGATCGACATCAAAGTGAAAAGATGAGGGCTCAAAGTTTCACTTTTCATTTTGGCCTTTGTAGTTGAGGATCCCTGCATAACCGCTTCATGGGTCCATACAGAAGTCATAGCTCCATAATGCATGTCTTGCAACTTTTGGACTTTTACTTTTAGAACTCTCCGAAGGACTTTTCAGATGTGTTTTTCATTTTTTTCTGTAGTTTTGAGTTCCATGATTTTGATAATTAGGATTTGAGCGAGGAATCTGCAAAGAAAAGCGTAGAGGCTCCTTTAGTTGATCAATGTTGTTCTTTACTACCCTCAAAGTAAAGAATATTGAAACCATGCTTAATCTTTCTGGCATAGAACCATCATTATTTTTTAATTGTTAAGATGTATATTATGGATGTATAGCATATCTTTAGTACTTGGGCTAACAATGATGTTTTGCATTTTTACGGGATAAGACTTCTGATGGCAGACACTGAGCAACAATCAGGTATAATATACCAGGCATTCTGTAATAATCCAAAAGAGAACTAATAACTTTTGAAATGCATAGTAAGTGTAGGTTGCTAGTTATTGATGTGCAACATTCTCAACCGTTAGCTCAAATATCTGTGTGTACCAATATGAGAGATTTTAAACCTGTAAGCAACATATTTCTCACGCTTAGCTGTGAATAAATTTGTGGATTGATCCTTTCTTCCTTCTGTAATTTGTTCTCATTGATGTTCCATCATTTTATGTATGTTCAGATTTTTGCTAGAAGTTATCATATCTGTAGTTTACCATATGTGTTTAATTTGTAGATGTCGTACTGTCTATTGATGGATGGCCTAGCAAAGGCTGGAAGGACAGATGAAGCTAAATCAGTGTTTGACGAAATGATGGGAAAATCTGTCAAATCTGGTAACTAATCACGACAACAAGTTTCATTTAGTTATCGGGTTATGTTCTCTACATCCTTGTTATATAAAAGCAAAATGACTTCTGTAAAGTTCCCTGATATTCACTTTTGAAAAGGTGAAATGAGTGCAATGAATTCCAATATGCTTCTGTAAACTTTCCAGTTTGTAAATGAGATCTGGGACCAGCATCATTTTATCCTTTGACTTGTATCAGCTTTGATGTCCTTAGCAAAGATGGTTTTCTTTTGGGTTGGTACCTGGTGGCATAAGCTCATTGTGCTCATCTCTTGCTGTAATTGTCTGAATAATTGGTCCGTGCTGTTCCATTTTTTTTATGTAAGACAAGCAACGACTTGGTGTGTGTGTTTGTGTGTGTGTGTGTGTGTGTGTGTGTGTGGGGGGGGGGGGGTGCTTCATATCATTACGATAGTATAATGGCAAAGCTTATGTGTGAATATAATAGTTATGTTTTACTTGCAGATGGCTATGCCCACTGCATCATGATTTCAGCATTTTGCCGGTGTGGGCTTTTACAAGAGGCCAAACTGTTGGCCAAAGACTTTGAAGCCAAATTTAACAGATATGATTTGGTAATATTAAATACAATGCTATGCACCTATTGCAGAGCAGGTGAAATGGAGAGTGTCATGCAAACAATGAAGAAAATGGATGAACTAGCCATTGGTCCTGATTACAAGACCTTTCATATCCTAGTCAAATACTTCTTTAAGGAGAAATTATATCTGCTTGCTTACAGGACTATGGAGGACATGCATAAAAAGGGGCACCGACCAGAGGAGGTATGCTGACTTCTAATATGATATCCTAATGTCTCATAGCCTAAATTAGGTTCATTGCTTTTACATGGAATGCTAATTTCAAAATTTCGAATGCCTATTCCTTTGATGCTTGCGCCTTTGTGATGCTTGATCAATCTACGCTCATTTTGGAACTAGGGATTACATCTTCAAACAAAGAGACAGCACTCTGGCATAAGCATACTATGGCAATTTTTTTTTTTTTTTGAGTATCTTCTTAAGACGCACTCAACGACTCTAATGCGAATATGAAGCCATAACTACAAATATGAGTAGTTGGTTGTGGAGATGGGAGGACTGAGTAGTTTATCTAAAAGAGATTTCCCAGAAGCTGCTGATAATCTCCTAAGATGAGGAGTTTTAATTCTCAAATCAATTAACAGGGTTATGGGTGAAGTTTCTATTCAAATTTGATAAAGCTTGACATGATAAGTGAGACTTAGGGATAATATTGCAAACTATGGTTCATAATTTCATGGCTTAATTCTGAAACAGCTAGGCAGAGATGGATACCAGCCTTATGGCACCGTAAAAGTACAAGGGAAGGGAAGAATTTTTCTAATGCACTACTTTTTGCTAGTTTAGGTAATACAATTACTATCTTGCATAAGAGGTGGTCTGGTAGGCATCTTTTAAGGAGCAATCACCTGATCTTTTCCTTTTATTCTTTGATGAAAAGCCTTTTGAGTCCTTGATCTACCATAATGATGAAAGAAGCATATGGAACATGTCTCTTCAAAGAAACATCAGCAACTATGGGTTGACGGAAATTCTTCACAGCTACCTGCTATTTAGAGTACCAATTTTCCGTGGTACAAGGTCTAGTGAAATGGTGGCTTAACAGAAACAGTCAATTTGTATTGAAATCTTCAAACAAACAGCTTCTTGTGTTTACCTTGGGAGTAGGGAGAGCAAGCTTTCTTTGGCTGCTGATACTGAAACCTGGTGTTCCAACAGTGGACATTTTTTTCTAACCGGAAGTCACCCTCATTAGGAGTACTTCGGCTTTTTTGGATTTTTGAAGGAGAGGATATCTCTGGTTAGAAGGTGCATCATTTGCCACAAATTGGCTGAATATGTTAACCAAATTCTGATTGTTTTTCTTCTTTTAGAAAAATAGGAATACATAGACTATACTCATTGAGGATGAATCAACGCTTATTCTGCTATTCTGTGAAAGCTGTGGTGAAGATCCCTTTTTGTGTCTGTGGTTTGTGTGGAGGAATGAGGGGCAGGAAACCTCACTTGTCAAGGCCAGACTTCTTAATCTTTACTTGCAAAGGAGCAAGCATCCCCTTTATGCCAAACGAATGAAGAGTTTCCTCTTTCTATTCCAAGAAAAAAGAAATATTTTTTGCTGATAATATGGAAAAGCAGTTTTAGTTAAAAGCAAACAGTTTCCTGTCAAAAAATGCTGGAAACAATCAGTTAATGCTATGTGTCAGTAGTATTTGTATCGTCTTTTGTGGGCTCTTTATCTTGTAAATGATTTTGCAAATGGGTTAGCATCCCCTTGGCGCCACTTTATGAATTGCTTTTACTGATAAGAAACTACTAATAATTTTGAAGGATTCTGAAGTATCTGTGTTACTGCAGGGACTTTGCTCCTCCCTAATCTTTCAACTTGGTACAATGAATGCCTACTCAGAAGCTTTTTCTGTTTACAATATGTTGAGGTACAGCAAAAGAAATATGTGTAAGGCTCTCCATGAGAAAATTCTGCACATTCTGATTTCAGGACGGCTTTACAAGGAGGCTTATGTCGTCGTCAAGGTACTTCTTTTATTGGCTTTCTTTGGATGTTCAATGGGTTCATCTTTACTTACATATATATCTTTTTTTCCTTCAATTGCTAGGACAATGTGGGATATATCTCCAAGCAAGCAGTAAAAAAGTTTGCAACTGCATTTATGAAGTCGGGTAATGTCAACCTGATAAATGATGTGTTGAAGGTCATCCATGCCTCTGGCAATAAGATTGATCAGGCAAGCAGTCAGTATTTGTGCTAACTAAACAGACATAAGTACTTTTTTAAGGCCAAATAAAATAAGAAAGCTAAGGCATATGCATCACACTCTTTGCCCCCAGTTATCTTATTGAAGTGAGTTTTTTTTTTGGTCGGACTATTGAAGTGAGTTTATTAATTCGCTTTTGTGGGCTTTCAAATAGTAAAGTAACGGTGGAGATATGGGGTAAAAGGGATAGAGGAAGGCCTAAAAAGACATGCGCAGTATTTTTACAGAGATCTTGATTAACTGGATATTACAAAGCATGTGGTTCAAAATGGATTGCAATGGCATAGGACCCATGAGCTAACGGGAAAACAGCTTAGTTGTTTTGTTTTTGCAAGTGACTGCTTTGATGTCTTTGGTTGTTTATTAAGAATCAGAAAAATCCCTTCTATTAGTTTAAACAATTCATTTTAAGAATTCAGTGCCTCTCTTACGCTTGATCTCTTGTTCTGCGACCGAATTTGCATTCTGTTCTCTGACCCATCTTACGAAAATATGTTTGAGGACCTGCAAGATTGTTAGAGCAACTCCTTTCTGCTCTGGTTATGCATGTTGGGACCTTGACATTTAAAATGCATAAGCTGGTATTCCAATTTCTGAAATAATCTCTCTTGCTTTCATTTCTCTCTTCTCTCTCTCTCTCTCTCTCTCTGGGTGGGATGCTTCAGTTCATAAGAAAAGCATCGCTAATGTAAATTTTGCTCGAAAAAAAGTTCCTGAAAATTTGAAGATTTTAATATCTATATAAGATTTTTGATGATAGTGTTTTCCTTTGCAGAAATTATTTAATATGGCTGTGTCACGATTTATTGTTCTGCCTGAGAAGAAGGAATTACTTCTCCAACTACTGCAGTGGATGTCTGGTCATGGTTATGCTATTGATTTGTCAACAAGAGACCTTATTCTAAAACATTCACGCTTCTTTGGTGATGAGCTTATTAAGGAAACACTGTCCAAGCATCAGTTAAGTTTGAAAGGAGTGAGATCTCATAAGAGGAAGGAGTGAATTTCAGGTAATGTAATTTGAGGTAATTCGGCTATTCTTTTCTTTATGATGGATCAATGACTATTAGTGCTCTAAGTAGAGCATAGTTCTTATCTATTTTTCCAAAAGATACTCTGCAAATGAACTTCTCCAGATATATAATTTTGGATGGCCAATAACACATGCACATGCGCTTATTAGTGTTCTAAATCAAGGTTATCCCAATTAGGAGGCCCCATAAACACAAATTCATGCGTGACTCTTATTAGCATTCTAAATCAATTTCCATGTAGTTCGCTGAGTTGCATGAGTGACTCTTTTCTTTGGGTTACACCTTAGGGAACCCGTTGAAGCTACTCTTGGTCTTCTTTAATGAACAACTGCATGCTGTAGAATCAACATATGCATCTCATTAGTCTGATCATACATGTGATTATGTGCTTATTGTCTGATTGCAAATGTTACTTGGATTCTTTATGAGGTATATAAGACCTTAACACTGATGATATTTGAATGAGAGTATAGCATTTGATGCTCAATGATCCAAAGCTGGATACTTAATTGAAGGAACATCTAAAGTCAACAACATAAATATTTGTTTTTTAAGATAATTTTTTTAAAGTGCGAGCACTTTAGCTAGTGTAAAGGCTAGAGCCTATATATAAGGAAAAAGATTGATGAAATGACTCATCTGTTAAAATGAAAAGTTTGGTGATTTCAAGTTGTCAAGATCATGCTCTTTGTTGTTAAAGATCAACATTTCACTCGAACAACCAAAGTTTTATTAAAGTAGACTTTGCATAGAACAACTATTTTAGATGAAGTACTAACGAAAAATATATTTTACTAGATAAACCTCTGATTAAAGTGGAAGTTTTATTTGATTATCATGAATCTTGAAAAGAATTGTAAAAGGCTACACACAAAGAGAGAGAGAGAGAGAGAGAGAGAGAGAGAGGACCTCAATACAAGAACCGGCCAACACGAGAGCCTCAATGCAAGAACCGGCCAACACGTGTCCTCCCTTGGTGATTGATAGAGAGGTCGACAGTCCTCAATGCAAGACCCGGCCAATGTGTGTCCTTCCTTGGCGATTGACACATGAGAGAGAGCACTCAAGTGCAACTGCATTAAAATCAGTGCCGAGGTTTTTGTTGGTAGAGATCTTAGTGCAATATTAGTTATGTAAAACATTTTTTAAAAAAGAAAGAGACTCGATTGTCTTTTAGAGCTACACACTGCGTAACTTATGAGCCCATATATAAGAAGGGTTTGGAAACCTGGAATCAAATCATTGGGGATGAAAATGAACACTATCTTGGGGTGCTGTGCATTTCTTGCTGTTTTTTTTTTTTTTTTTTTTGGGTAACCGAGGTGTCCGGGCCAGCTTGTGCGCACCTCGACTATTCCTCGGGGGAGACTAGCACAGCAACCCACCGCCATGGCCCCCCACTTAAATCACAAGTGCTCAGCTGGGGAATCGAACCTGGGACCAGTGCGCCTAACCACACAATCCCAAGTACGCCCTAACCAACTGAGCTACCCATGGGTGGGTTCATTTATTGCTGTTTATTGTTGCATATTACACTTTTGCTGATAATTTGAAATTCAACCGATGGAAATCTGTGATGCTTGATTTGTGTGGTGACCTATTTTAATTTTTGGTGACATGAATTCATAGTCATTTGTAACACCTTTTATTTCGAGGTTGATAGCATGACCCTTTTTAGCCTAGTAATGTGACCGTCGATTTTGATGATTTTATCCATAAGAAGTATCCTCAGCGGACTATATGATGCATTTTCCTTACTTTGTTAACCTTTACTGTAGGGACTGGCTCCTCTGCCTTTCGCATATGATTCGTAATTCCTATAGAGCGTGGTAAGTTGTTGGAAACCCATCAAGCTACATGACCTACTGCAGCAATCATCGCCCATAATGGAGGTGCTTGATGTTTTCTGCTGTGTTGAAAACTTCTGCCTCTCATGCATTAACCATTATGCAGAAGCCTTTTGTCAGGTTATCTCCCTTGCTTGGTATGCTGTGCCTGCCCCTGCAGATTATGCAAGGCATCACGATCTCATGGTTGAACTTTGATAATGCAGCTGGTTTATGATGCTGTCAAGAGGTACACGTGCTTATGCTCGGCCAGAGGTTTGATGTAGCAGGAGAATGATTAGAGCAAGCTCCCTGTCTTACCAGTTGAAGTTTGTTCGCCTGAATTTTTGTTATTTGAACTTCCTTGGTTTACGGATTATCTCGGCAATGTACATAGCTCGACGGTTCTTGGTGTAGAGTTTTTCCTCCTTCGGCATATGCCTGTGCGTTTGTTGTACGAAGTAAATTATTCTTTAGTAGAAATTGGAGGGATATGCAAGAGCAGCCATCCTGTGTTGGATCACTATGTCCGTCTCCTAATTGATCAGTCCTGTTTTTAGTCGATGCAGGATCATAGCATTATAATGAGATCCTTTTCTTGCTTTTGGCTGCTGTTCTTCTGCAATGTAGAGCACTGCCTCTTCGAGAATACAACTCAGGTACGGCGAATCGAATACGTTATTTGGGGATGGCGTAGCCGCCAGTCCTTAAGCAGGATGCATTTGCGATATGAGCACTGGGGTACAAATGCATCCTATCTGAACATGCATTCTTAACCTGAGGTTTCACTTCCAAACTGCATTGCTACATAAGCCACTTCCAAAAAAGTCAATTAAAGTTGGTAAAGAATAATTTTAGTTTCTTTTGTCGGAAAAGATTGGTTATTTAAAAAAAAAAATAGATATTGACAATCGACTCAAGTAGAGTTGGTGATGCAAAATTAATTGTTAACTTAATTGAGTAAGAAATTGGTAATCATTCTAATTGAGATCGGTAAATTTTGAAAGACAGTCGGTAAATTTACTCGATCCGGTCCTTTATTTTCTTTTCTTTTTAATTTTATTTCAGTTTTCTAATTTTATTTTGCTTCAGTTTTCTTAAATTTATTAATCATTGGTATAACTGTAATCTTATTTCATCATATCAATATTTTGTCGTACTTAAGGCCAATGGTCATATCTCTCTCTCTTTTATTTTTTAATATGTACGGTGTCTTATCAAGACGTATAGCATTACATGATATATACTGCAAAAATCCTTTTGCGTCGTTTTTTTTATTTTATACAGCATGTTACCGAATCGTACAACATTGTATCGTACTAACCACCAGTTGTTGAAGGCCTTTTTATGATGGTTCTACCAAGTAACACGACATTTAATTGTACTAAGGCCAAAATTCATGCACTTTTTTTTGGTCGAAATCCACTTTACTCCTCCATCCACTTACATCTGCTATACTGCTTTTCTCATTTGTACGCGTTGGTGCCCACACGCTCTACTCTTCCCAATTAGCTTGTATCTTTTTCGAGCCCTGAGCCCGACTCTACTTTCTCTGTGTTTTATGTCCAAGAGATGCCGAGATCCGCACGATGTCTCGGACAAACTTTTTTAATATTATATGATGGTTTTATCAAGTCACACGACATTTAATTGTATTTGAGGCCACAAGTCATGTACTCAATTTTTTGTCAAAATGTTTTTTTTTTTTTGGCTCCTTGATTTTGTACAACTTCTTGCCAAAATGTGTAATGTCCTATCGTACTCAAAGCAACTGTCGTATGCCTTTTTTTTATATATGTTATTCGAAGATTTACCAAGGCACATGCAATCTAGACATACTTAAAAGCCTTCATTTCTAATATAACACGATATTTTGTTAAAAGCATACGACTTTATATCGTATAATTGTAAATTAAGAATTTTCTCCTGTATGAAAATGTACGACAATTTATCATATTCTAGGTCGAAAATGCAAAATGGTCTCAGAACATAAGGATAACGACACAAATGATCCATGAACTTTTGCTTAATGTGCAATATGGTCTGTGAACTTTTAATTTGTTCAATATGGTCCATGAACTGTATCCCATTGCGCAATGTGGTCTTTGAACTTTTCAATTTATTCAATATAATCCTCGAACATTGAACGATATGAAAAAATTTCAATGTTGTCCTTCCATTAATTCAAATTTATGGACAACATCGAATATTTTTCACATCGTTTAAGGACTAAGTTGAACATGTGAAAAAAATTCATATATCATATTAAACAAATTTAAAATTTATGGGCCACATCACATATTGGGCTAAAGTTTAGAGACCGCATTGAACAAACTCTAAGTTTAGGAACCGCACATTTGGCCAAAATTCAATAATCATTTGCGTCATTATCCCTTATAAACAGGTACACTTTCATATCAATCCGTCGTCAATTAGGGACTTTCTTCGTTACTACCGTATCGTGTTTTTGTCGTATTCGAGACCGAAGCCGTACTCGCAGTATACCATTTGCCGATAATTATACGGCTTCATTGCGAATACGGTACGGCGCTAGGGGGGGCATAGCGTATCGTACAAAACAATCTTAGCCACCTAAAACGTACGAAGAAATGCAGGACAACCGGCTATTACCGGTTGCCTTGTCGGTCGTATTGCGCTGTATACCGTAGTCGTAGCGTAGGCAATCCCCCCCTTGCAAGATTGGAAAACACTGAAAAAGAAAAGTTCTGGTTTTTGGGCGGGAAACACCTCTCTCTCTCTCTCTCTCTTTCTCTGAGAGGCCATCTTCCTTCGTGGGTCGTCGCTCCGCTGCTCGCAGGTGTTCGGTCGGCGACCGCTCCGATGTCGAGGTTCGAGTACCCGAGGCTCACCCGGTCGGAGATCCTGTCGTTCCTCGTCGATTCCCAGATCTTCAGCAACGTCTCGGCGCACCACCTCGCCGATCCCACCCCGGATTTCGTCTCCGACCTCTACACCCAGCTCCTGATCTACCTCGACTCCTTCCAAGAGTGAGTTCCCCCATCTTCAGTCCCTCTTTTCACGGAACCCCAGTTGCTCAGAATTCGAAATTTGGGTTTTGGATTCGTGGTATCTCGACCCGGTCTGTTAAAGGTGCGACCTTTTGCGCATTTGTTGTTGTGGGTGTTCGAGTGATTGAGAAATCTGTCTTCCTTTTTTTTTGGGTTTCGCCCTCCGATTGTACAGGGAAGATGGGCAAATGGAGTTCGCGGCGCTCGAGCAGCTCGAGAACCCGGACTTCCACGTGGACTCGGTGCGTAGGATGAACCTGTACAGCAGGGTCAAGGAGGTCGTGGCCTCTCTGCATTGCCCCACCCAGTTCAGCCTGAAGGATCTGGTGAAGCCCGACGCAGGACGGACCGAGATTTTTGTCAGCGCCATTCTCAATTTCTGTTTCCACAAGTGAGTACGGCTCGTCATTTGCAAATTCCGTGCCTTATATTGGATGGTTTCTGCGAGCTGAAACGATGTATGGAGCCTTGATGTTTAAGCTTGAGAGAATTCGAGGGTTAATGATGTTTTCGCGATAGAGGTAGGCCAACCTTCTTTTCTAGATCGTCAAGATCAAGAATCAACACCCCTATAGCACACTCATCTTGGTTTACCCCGGATTATCGTGCGGCTAGTACATGGGCGCTTTTGGTTAAACTGCATATGACATGTAAAATTTTGGCTATCATGTCTGGACAGGCATGAACCAAGTTAGTGCGAAGTATGCAATGTCTTGCAACAGATCATTGAAATTCACTGCTTCCATAAACATGCAGTTCCAATCCACCAAACAAGTCTTCTCCTTCTCAGGTTCTCATCGACCAAATCCGGCAGTAGTTTGCACAAAGGGAGTCTCGCATTATTGGAGCCTTCACTTTGCATATTTGCTTCCCTGGAGTATCACAATGACTGTCACCTGTTGAGATTACATAATAGGACTTTAAGGAAGGGGAGACCTCCTCTGGAAGTCCCATTTTGAAAGTATTAGGCCTATACTCCAGCTTGTTGAAAACAATTTGATCTCCTACTACTCCCGGTCATTTCCCTCCTTTTGTATGATAGATTTTACTGTATGTTTGCTTTGATCATTTGCAAATTTAGGTGCTGCTACGAGATATGGCAAGTGCAGTAGGAAAATCACTTAAAGTTGACAAAGATGGGAATAGAGAAACTAAATCTTTCACCTCAGTGTATTATTTATTTGTACAATACATTCATGTGAAAAATAACTTTTTATTACATGTACTTAAATATAGTCCGTCTCTCTCGGTTTTTTAGATATCTTATATCTGGATAATGACTTTCAAGGGAATTTCATCTTTTTTTTTTTTTTTTTTGGTAAGGAAGGGAATTTCATCTTTTATGCACAGCTAATACATGTTTTTTCCTTTCGTGTTTATATTGGTCTCCAGAGACAACAAAATGAATCTTTTAAAACCGATAGTGGAAGAACTAAACCTCCTTGATGAACAACAGAAGGAATGGGAGACCAAGTTATCCCAGGTACCTGAAAAGCAACCGCAATGAAGCACTTTCCATGCAAGTCGACCATGAATTCATGTAATATCTTTGATACAGCTGAATGCAGAGGTTGCAGAGTTTAATGAAGCCAGAGAGAGGGAATTGCCTCTTGTTCAAGAGGTAGATACAGAACTGAAAGAACTGCGCCAGACCATATCTGAACTTAACAATCATCAGATGTCTTTGAGAACTAATTATCGGAAGTTGAAGGAGAAGAGTGGAGAAATGGATGTCAAGGTGAGCCCACCATGTTGCATGTTTTTCTTACAGTTTTTGTAGGTGTCATATTAACTGTTTCTACACCCCCTTATAAATTTACGTTTTAGATTTAGATGTCTTGACATTACAATGTATACCGGAGATAGAGTACGGTAATTAATTGGAAGAGGGAATGTAGCTTTGAGTTTTTGCATGAAAGTTTTTGGGTTAATGAATCCTCCGGTGCAATTATGATAACTCTGAATTTACTGAAGGGAGATGATCTTGCACCTGCTGCATAACATAGGAATCCCAGGTTGAATGCTGCAATAACAGCCTGTCTTGCCTGTGAGAACGCGTATCATGCTAACAGTAGCAGAGTCTTTTTATTCTGTTTGGGAAAATACTGAAACGAAGTTGACTAGTGCATTTATGTCACAGACTGGTGATATGTTTTGCTTGCATTTGTATACAAATGGAATTCCTGTTTGCTTTTCTCAGTTATGGCCTAATGATTACTTGCAGTAGAAATAGGACTACTCCCCTTTTGACCTGGTGCCGCTTCATACCAATGCCTTGATAACTATTTCTTATTTTTCACACTTTTCAGATCCTTAGTGCGGAGGGTGGGCTTGTGCAAAGCGTTCAAGCCAATGCAGAATTACGCTCGAAAATAGTCCAGTCACCTGATAAACTTCAGGTGTGTTGGGAATCATTTCCAAGTTATATTTTTCATCTAAAATATTTAAGCTTGTTGCTATGCCTTCTGATACCTATGAACTAGTCTCTTTCGTTCACCTTTTTTGAAAGTTTACAAGCACGGTTGGTAAATCATTCTACAGGGAATTTGCCTATATTTCATTAAATAAGAACGGATAATTACAGGCAAGTCTTAAAACTTATAAACCTTGTGCACTCTAGCCATAATACTTTCATTCATTCATTTAAATCCTAAAATTTCTAGCTCCCATCCACTTCAGTCCTTCTGGCAAATCCTCTAATTTCAAGTGGACGGAAATGCACACATAGCCTTTTTCAATCATTTTTTTTATCCTACATGTTTTATTAAAAAAAAATTCAATAGTATAAACAAAACGACGTAAATTTTGTGACGTCACATTAGGAAATTTAAAAGATAAAAATGAAGAAGTGAACACCACCATCATGTGAGGCTGCAAGCCCTCGCTTGCAATTTGCGAGCTTGTCAGCCCTTGGCGCCATTCATACACAACTATTGGAAAAGCGTCATGTTGGATTTTTGGATGCCATGTCAGCAAAATTGGCTGAGCGGTCGCTAGGACTTTATTGTATCAAATTTAAAACGTTTAGGGCTTGATTGTACTTTTCAAATGTTTAAGATTTGACTAACATTTAGGACTGTTTGTGCAATTGAACATTGGTAAATTACTTATAATGTCCGTAACCTACTAATTATACTTGTAGATTTCAAAGAACTTGATAATTTACTAATTTATTGGTGAATTCCTCAATGTTGGTACTTTACAAACAACGATAGTAAAACTTGAAAAAGGTTGGTAGCTTGCTAACTTGTTGGGATCTTGGTAAATTCCTTGTAGGGTTGGCATTTCGCTAAACAGACTTGTAAATTTTAAAGAAGTTGGTAAGTTACCAATTTAGTGGAGTATCAGTAAATCTTTTATAGTTACAGTAAGTTACTAACGACACTTTTAGAATTTCAAAGGAGTTGATAATCCTACTTCATTTGAATGTTAATAATATCATGATAATGTTGATAAAATTCAAAAAAGTTGGTAGTTTCATAATTTATTGGAATACTTGTAAACTTTTTATCTAGTTGGTATTATATAAACTATGCTTGTACAACTTCAAAGTATTTTACTAAATTATTGGGAGGTTTTTAAATTCTTTATTGAGTCGGTATTTTACTAATCAAGCTTGTAATATTTCAAATAATTTCGTATACAAATTTTGTCGAATGTTGGTAAAATCATTTCATTGTGGTAACTTACTAATGGAACTTGTAAAACTACAGAAGAGTTAATAACCTATTAATTTATCTGGAGATTGATAAAATTCTGATGATGTTGTTAATTTTACTAACAGTTGACCTGAAAAACAAGTTACCAGTCATATTGTTCTACTGACAGCATTGGAGAATTATTAGCAAATTCAACGATCTACCAACTTGGAAAATCTCCAGATTTGAAGGGCAAGGGACAGTAGAATTTTGCAATTTGCTGCCCCTTCTTTTGTCGAATTTTATAGGTCATGACCGTATGATTTTTAAGCATGCTTTTTTCTTCTTCTTCTTCTTTTTTCTCATCGCGTGACTCAAGTGGGAGCATCTATAGGGACGAACCTGTGTATGTGATTTTCTTGTCTGAGTGTGTTGCTACAATGTACTATTCTGCTCATAACTTTCTGAAGTAGCAATGTTTACTTTATAGGAACTCATCATACCATGTCCATGTTTTAATTGTTTTCTTTGGCTTTTGTCCTTCTGCCTTATCTTTGCATATATACTATGAGATTCAATTTCTTTGTTGTATTTGCATGAAGGGGTCTTTGGAAGAGAAAAAATTAGTTCGCGAAGAGGCAAGAAATGCTGAAAACTTAGCAAAGCAATCTTTTGAGGACAAGAATGCCGTCATGGAGGTTTACACTAAGGTAATTGATACTCTTTCCATATGTTAATCATTATTTCCCTCATCAGGCTTGCCAGCTGGAGGCTCCAATCTGTATAATTTAAGCTCTCTAGCAGTTTGTTGCATTATGCTAATGTAAAACAACATGATAGTGCATATTCAGGTTTTTCCTAGAAGTCGTCAATGCTCATGCTACAAAGATCAACTTTGGCTTCCTAAGTTTTATGTCCTTAATCTTTATCAGTCTTTTTTCTGTAACTTACGATATATTTAAGGCTTATCAGTTATTCGTACTATTTCTGACAAAGTGGACTTAAATCTGAATGACTAGTCACTGCTGAAAAAAAGCATTTCACATCTAGTCCTTTCAGTAGGTTTTCTGATTTGTTCGTATGCATCCTGACATGTTTTGAATCCTAGCAATGTATCGACCTTGTCCTCTGCAATGCAATAAGCTAATTTATTAGAAAGGTTCCTTGGTGTACTGACCTAAGTCTGATAGGTTAATAGCAAAGGGAGAATCATGAAAATTTTATAGAGTGAATGTATGTGTGCCTATGTCTGTGTTTATGAACAGTTGGCCCAAGTACCAATGTGACAGTGAAACCATTTACTTTTGCTACATACATGAAAGACAGTTTACACCCTAAAAACTCCATGCTCATCCACTTGTTTCATGTGTCCACAGTTAGACAGAAGATTTTACTGGAAAGGTCCAATTGTTGCCAGTTTCCTTATCTTCTCTCCGAGATTCAAAGAATTTGCATAAGAGTTGGGCTCCTATATGATGCATTCATCATAAGAGATATTAGATGTCACTATATGGCTAAATGAGAAAGAATAGAAACCTATTACACTACTGCACTTCCTACTTACACAGGCCTTAAAATCATTCTCTTGAAAATTGATTTGCAAAACAGGGCGGCCTATAGACTCACAGACATTATGTGTTTTTTCCATATTTAAATAGCCGCCATCGTGCTTGTCATAATTGGCAACAGCTGCAACCACTTGGTTTCTACTGGATTGTTCCTCCCTTGTTCCATTTGCATTATATTTGACAATTTTACATAAATTTCTCATAGCCACCTCTCTACAAGAGCGTTTTTTTGATACCCTATAATTTGTTAATGGCAGAGGGAGGGATGCCACTAAATCGAGCTGTCATACTTGAGCCTCAGCGGTTCTTCCTTTTATACTTTTTCAACCTGAATTTGAAATATATCCTTGTTTTGCTTCTCAAATATGTAAGTACTCGGAGATCACATAGACACTCTTTCAAATGTGACCGCTAGCTATGGTTAGCTAAGGTAGAGTTGGTGGTAGTGTACAGTTTGAAAAAGTACATGAAGAATTCTTACTGGAAATCTATAATGAAGGATCGCCGCAAGAAGATTAAACCTTATCCAACAATTAATGCAAACTTGGTTGGAGGTTAAGTGCATCTCTCCTGCAGAGTTTTGGGGGTCACATTGTTTTATTATTCGTTAGGTATTTCGTGCTTTAGTGTGGTCAAATAATAAACGCTGGTAAGCACTATTTCATCTATTTTCAAATAATTCAAGTTTTATGCAATTTGGAGTCTTCTAGAGGAAGTTATGCCCAAAATACTAAGAGGTGGTAAGGAACTCCGAGATTGGGTCTTTTAGTATCTCTAAGTGTTTGTTGGATCCTATGCATTGTTTTATTATTTCTGGAGTCATGTCAAGAGTCAGTGTTAGTGTTTTTATGTCTTGTTTAGGGATTGTTAGTCTTCGTCTTGAAAAATAAAGTGTCGATGTTTTTATGCCTTTAGGGATATGCCTATTCTTGGAAGGTTTTTTCAAGTTAAGTCTACATAAACCACCCTAAGGATTCCTATGTGTTATAGTCATTTGAATATTGGATTTTCATCTATGAACTCGTGGATTAGAGTTTCACTTTAACTTTATATCTCTTTGGTGGATTCCATTAAGTGATGAGACACATGACCTGAATCCTAAGGTGGATTTCTTAGAGGGTGAATATTTATCCTATCATATGCCCTGAATCATTAGGGGTATTCCTTAGGTGTTGAGCATTTCTGTTATCGCATTTTTATTACTTTCTAAATCTCTGATCCCTCCTGTATAAGTTGAGGAAATCAACTTATGAATGATCGCTAGTTTTGCAGAGGCTATCTGGATATTTTTCCTTTAGTTTTCTTAGCATTAGCAATCAATCTTAGGGAATAACCTCGTGTTTCCACTTTATAAAGCTAGTGACTACTATCCACAATATATTTTGCTCTTTACTCTGTGCTTATTGAGTTCTCTTCTCCTCCAAGTGATCGGAGGGAGGAGAGGAATTTTGTGAGCATATCTTAAGAAATTGTTAAGGATTCCAGCTTTCAAGTTCTTCCTTGACTTAGATAAAGGGCTGTTAACATTCCTTCACATGACCTGGTTTCGCTCCTTACTTGCTAACAAATCGTCTCCAAAGAAATCTCTTTACTATCTCTATTTCATTGGTAAATTTTAGTATCTTAAAGATAATAGTGAAGCTTCAGCACCGGTGTATTGTTCCACTTTTGCTTATCTTTTATTTTTTCTTTTCAGGTGTTTAAAAAATTGTCCAAGCACTTAGCGGTGATGCAAAAGATACAGGAACAGGTGATATCAGGCCTAGTGATTAAAATATTTTCATGCATTGGTGATTGTGATTTTATAGTATGAGAAATATGATGCTCCTTCCTGGTTTTCTCTGAGAGTCACCATTTATGTAGGCTTTTTAACTGGGGTTCGTGATATTGTTCTTTTTGGTAGGTTAACTCTGCCAAAGCTATCGATAAAGATGTCAAAGCACTAAAGTCTAAGCTAAGTGATGATGGAATTTTGGATAAATCACTTGATGCCAAGCTTGTTGAACTGCAGGGAAGAGGTGCTTCTGTTGCTTCTTTTTTGTTCGACAATATTTTAATTTTTGCCACACACCTTGAGCTGAAATGTGTGTTCTGCCAGAGGAACAATTGGATGAACTGAGAAAGCAGGTAGAAAAGGAAAGTCATACCAATTGTGAGAAAGCTACTAGAGAAGTCAATAATGTGAAAATGGAAATGGAATCTCGGAAACATGAATTGGAGGCAAGACAAAGGAAGGTCGAAAGTGTGGTTGGAGAGGTATAGCACAAATATCGAAACTCTTCTTTTATGTTGCAAAACTACTCAACTGAAATTGATAATTCTGGCTGATTTTGCCTCATAGATTATTTCAAAGTGGTGATTATGTGTTTCCCTCATTCTGAGTTCTTAGGTGGATTCCATTACCTCAAGGACAAATTTGATAAAGGAATCCTGTGCAGCTGAACAACAAGAGCTATTACGTAGATGCGAAGATATTATGAAAGAGGTGCATGAGTACTTTATCCTTATGACTCTACACTACATGGGTCTACCACATCTTGAAAATTCATTGGTGAACATGTGCCATCTTGAAAATTTATTGATGTCTATAGTGCCATTTACTCACTGGAAGTCATTCCTAACTTTTCCCCTTGTAAACAGACATAGTCTTAACTTTGTTGTGTAAAATCTCTCTCTCTCTCTCTCTCTCTCTCTCTCTCTCTCTCTCTCTCTCTCTCGGTGCACGCACATTGCACAAAACATTAAGCAATTCTTATAATAGAATCATGTCATCACTGTTATAATTTTCCAACTACTAATCTGATAAGCTTAGATGCCACCCATTTTATTTACCCTGGAGAGGCTTAATACTTTGGATGGGTTTTTGCAGTTTCACCGATACCTGCACTCTATTGGAGTCGTTCTTCCAATAGCCTAGTGGATATGTGGAGATCAATGGAGGAGTCGTGTGGTTACTAACCCAAGGGATTGGAACATTCCTTCGGTGCAACTAGCATGTTGGACGGGAAAATGCTTCTACTCTCCCTTCGCTTTCATCTACATATTTGTTTTTCTAGCTTAAACTTGTGATGGTTCTGATGTAAGTAAAATCTACTGCTAATCATGTTTATTGGAACTACAACTGTGGAAAGATTGCAAATCTTCCATTTCATCCATATGACCACTTTATTGAACGAAACCAAATACATTAAGGTGGTTTTGTCCCTATACATCAGAAGTTAATGGTGCAGACAGAGGAAGTGGGGGATAACCAGCCCAAGAAACATTGGACGTTTGCTTTATGAAATGCCCAGCTGACCAGTTAGTACAATTTTCGTCTTTTCTGCTACTCAAACGAAACTTGGTGCTTCTGAAATCCTTCACTAACTGCAGGACTTAAGTGACTAAGGGCCTGGCATCCCAAATTTCCTTCTGATGAACGACTTGTGAGGCTTTGAATTTGGGGTGAGCAGCATCAGTTTTCACACATGTTCTACAGTTTCGGCTTTGCCACAAAATGTGCATTCTGTTTGACTTACAAAAGGCTACAAATGAATTGGGATTTCGATCCGTAGAAGTTGACAGCACTCGATTTGTCGTGGTCAGACTCAAAAAGCTTCCAAGTTTGACTCTCTATTAAGCGAGATGCAACTGTGTACTTCTCGACTCTATTAATCATGTCTATACACCCTGCAGTGTGTTCAGTAAAATTCCGACTTAGTACAACAGCACAGTTTGTTGCATCATACAAGAATGCAAGTAGAATCTTAACACGAACCACATCGTCGATAGAGAAAACAGAGTGAAGAAGAAAACGGTGAAAACACCGGATACAACGTATTCCCGTGACATGTATGGGTGGGTTCGCATTCTCAATGTCCGAGAGAAGGCGCATATGCACTTCCCATTTGTGCTTCTTCTTTGTTGGCTTTGATCTTATGACAACTTATAACGAGCTAGTATGGCCTCGAGTGCTATTTTACTCGTTTCTAGTCTCTCTAGCTCTAGCTCCAGTTCGAGTGACCGTTGTTCCTTTCGTAGGTCATCGTAGTCCTCAGCCTTTGCAAAGACATTGCTCGGATTCACTTGCTTCTTGAATTTCATTATCAAAGCGGGGTGCGACGGTTCTCGACGGTTGCAATGATTAATAGAATTTCAGGACTGTTACGACATATGTGGACTAAGAAGGACCAGACTGACGCAGAATCAATCATAGAAAGCAGCAATTGTTCAGAAATTCCAAAATTTGTTAAAAAGAATACGTTGGTATCCAACACGTAAAAATATTATATTTCTCGATAAAACGGACCGACAAAATAAAAGTATAGGATACCTTAAAAATCACCCAACGAATTGTACTTTCGAGATTTGTTAGAGGCCGTGATATATTCAGAGTTCATCAGACTAGGACACTCATTGAATCAATTCGATTCATGTCCTCGAAAAACTGCTGATAAAATAATTCAGCAAGCAAGGTAGATTCCTTTGATTGCTGCTAATTCATGGAAATATTACTGAAGTCACTTCATTCTGCAGAATTTGGTTGAGTCCCCTGTTTCTCCATTGAGTGGAAAACAGAGCAGCATCGCCATGGATTTACATCACGAGAATCGTTTGCCCAACCGGCCAACCAGTCAGGCACAAACATTCCCTTCCCCATACGTACGAACTACACTGTAATTTGTCTGAAAGAATTGAGCGAGTTCATGTATCATTCGGGCTGTGTGCTCCGACCTCCTGGCTTCAGAAGTTACACTCATTTGAACCCACTTGAAAGACGAGCTTTGTCATGCTCCGAGAAATTCAGCAGCAAAATTCAAAGTTGGAACTCGGAGTCATCCCACTGAAGAACGGCGGACTCAGGATTCTGCTCTCGCTTGAGCTTGTCCTTCAAGAACCAGTCGCACACCCTCCCCGCGTTGAGCTCCTCGATGGAGCAACCCTCTTGCTCCGCCACCACCCTCAGCAGATTCAACGACGATACCTGCATTTCAACATCGCCGCTCACTCATCGATTTCTCGAACGACCCACGAATGAAATTCCTCAACAAGCGGAAAAAAAAAAACCAAGATTTCGCTATACGGCGATGAAAGGAAGAAAATTTGCGAAACGTTACGCACCGTCAAGCGACAGAGGAAGCGCTCGTGAGTGCTCAAGCCGGAGATCTCGACGAGGCCGGCCTCCTCGAGCGTCAAGAAGCTCCGCCTCTCCGCCGCCGCCGTCCTCGCCGTCCCCTCGGCCTCGCTCTCTCCCGGGTCATCGCCGCCGCCGCAGCCTCTCACCACGAGCCTCCTCGTTCGGCCAACCGACCGGCACGGAGCGAAACGGGTCGTCGCCCTGGACGGTCGCCGGCGACTCGCGGTGGCGGCGGAGAGGGACGGCGAGCGGTGGCAATGGATGGAGATCATGCTGCAGGAAGACGAAGGAGAGGAGGCGAGGCTCATCATTCTTTCTTTCTTTCTGTGGACCAGACAGGAAGTTTTATCTGCATGAAGATTGTGTTTTTTTCATTAAACCATTTTTCATTTTTCCATTTCGAATTTTAGAGACAAATATTTATAAATTTAATGAAAATGGTAAATAACTTTACATATAATTATTTGAATATTGAAGAAATTCTAATATCGCACGTGTAATAAGTATGCAAAGGCAAAAGGCGAAATATGGTAATCGTAATTGTACTTTTCATTTCGAAGCTCTCGCGGCAATATTGTATTTTTTTTTTCTTTTTTATGATGTGTATACAACCTCATAATAATGCTTCCGCATATAAAACAAGTCGGGTGCAATTTATTAAAAACAAGGTTTTAGAGACTAATCTTACGATTCCCTTTTTACAAATTTACAAATGTGATTGTTTAAATTACAAACTCAAAAACCACAGTGAATAAATTAACGCGTGGCTAGGAGAAAAATAATCGCGTTACTTACGCAATTCTTATCCCTGTGAAATCTACACCTGATGAAATCTGAGATGGACGCACTAATTGCCAAAATTATATAAACATGCGGATAGTAGATTAACAAACGAATATAGTATAATCTATCATATATATATATATATATATATATATATATATACTTTCAATGTTGTTTTATTTTTCATCATAACCTATTTTACATTTGGGTTTTTGAATTCTCTTTGATATAATTTATTTGTTAATTGACATTTAATGGATTGGTTGGTATTGCCACGTCCCCACGAAGTAAGTCCAAAGCTCGAATTTTGCACTTTCACCTACTTTCTTTCTTTGGGAATCTTTCTTTCTTCTTCTTCTTCTTCTTCTTCTTCGCTGAGCGAGTTCGCTTCGCTCGAACCCGGAAACGATGTCGTCGTCGTCGCCGGTCGCGTTTCGTTTTCCTCCATGCGCGATCCCACGTCCTTCCTCCGCCGGGAGCACGGCGGCCCTCGCTCCCGTCCTCCGCCCATGGCGCCGGAGCAGGGCACTGAGGAAGGGACGTCTCTCTCCGGTTGCGGCGAATCCTTTCGACCTGTCTCCGCCGCCCATCGACCACGACCTCGCGGTGAGGCTCCGCCCGTTGTGTGGTGGAGGGAGTTGGGTTCTGCTTATTCGTTGTTGGGTCTTCGCTGTTTGACGGTTCTGTTTTATCTGTTGTGTGAATGGACGTTTCTTGGGTATGTGAGCTGATGCGTTGGGGACGGTTTGCAGGACTCCATGATGGCGGTTGGGGGGAAGGTCTCGCTCGATGGGGCTGTGGAGACTTACGACAACGATGATGAAGCGTTGGATGCAGCTGATAACGGCCTTGCGGTATGTGGCTAGTCTCTTTTACTTTCTCTTGTCCCCCGTGCTTCTTGTTCATGTCATTTCCTTTTTCGTTTTGCTAGTATGCCTCGCATTTTTGTCCACCCGTGCCTATGTGTTGGACCCTTTGGTTGCCCATCTGGTTAACTGGACTTATATAAGGCTGTGCCGACTGTGGTGGGATGAAAGAGAGCGTTACTTTTAGCTAATCCATCCTATTGTGTTAATCCAACAAGTTCAAGCTTATGTCCAGGAAATGCGATTATCTCTACCGTCCGACCGTTGCTTGCTTTTTGTTTCTGGGCTTTTAGGGAAAAGGAGGAGGGAGGGTGCCGGTGGGGAGTGGGGGGAGGAGTAGAATAAGAAACTTGGAGAGGTGGTGTATCCTCATTGAGAACAGATGAGAAATTTTTGTTTTAACATTGGTTGAACATGTTATACTTAGACATTGACTTCAAGATTGCTCTAGTGAGGACTGTTTTGCATTTCATACCTATTAAGCAGGACTTTAATTTTGCAGTGACTCTTTGGTCATTTGATTTATGATGGTGTGACACGAGACCAGTCTAGACTATAAGCTAGAGATCTTGCTTAGTTGGGTCTTTAATTTATTCTTGAGCTGAACATATGAGCAGCCACTTATTTCCTCTTCATTTTGTGTAATTGGCATTTTTTGTCTCTGTTAGATTTGATTCATTGATACATACACATGATGCTCTAGGTTGTGGATTTGTCGCATTTTGGACGAATAAGAGGTATGGATCTCTTCCTGTGGGAGATCATTTCACTGATTGCATGATAATATATTCTGATGGGAATTTCAGTAACAAGGGTGCCTGTGCTATCTGTCAAACAATTTAAATGTCTCATTAAGGTTATCTTTTTGAACCCCTATTTATAATAATTGATAGGTATATTCTGACCGAACAAATCAGTCCTGTCGTTCTTCTTATAGAAATAGTTTCCTCCAAAATGATGTGCCTGCTGAAAATTAGGTTGTGATGTCGCTGCAGCATTTGTTGTCTTAAAACATCACTACTCTATTTATCTCCTTCATGCTCCCTTCATTGGTTTGAACTTGTGGTGCTCTTGAATAAGGATGTGGTGCTGGGCTGTTGCCCAAATCTTCTAGGGCTTCTAAATTGTCGAGTACATTGTATCTTATGCTTGTTGAACTTTCATCTAATTTGTTACTCTGTGCTTTCATCCTTGTTTTTGTCAATGCATTTCACACGAAGTCAGTGGAGAAGACCGTGCCTCATTTCTTCATAATCAGACCACAGCAAATTTTGAATGCCTTCATGAAGGAGAGGTAGGACATACACACATGATATGCTCATCTTTTCCACCAAGCTCTCTGTACTCTCGTGTTTCCTGGTCTCATAAAGTACTCACTTTGCTAACGGAATGTCTACCGTGAATCTGTAGGGATGTGACACAGTTTTTGTGACACCAACAGCACGGACAATCGATATTGGCTACGCATGGATCATGGTACAACTCAATGCTTTGCTTGCTTCTCGTTCCTTAATATATTTTCTTCCTCCTGCTGCAGTTAAGATCATTTTTTTACTGTAGTCATGACTGCTCTATCAAATGTAACAGAAAAATGCTGTCACTTTGGTGGTCTCTCCAGTCACCTGTCAAAGCATAACGGAAATGCTCACAAAGTATGTTCTTTTTTCATGGACTCACTTTTGACTGGTATAGTGGTTCATAGATTCAAATACTGCTTGCTCTGTTGTTCATTCCCATTCAAGCTCGAGCCTCTGGCACGATCATGGAATTGATAGATGAAGTTTGCCTTTAACTAAGTAGTTTGATGTATTTCAATGGATTTTTTTCATTAATCGGGTATTATCTAACCTTTTGAATTTTGTTTAGGTACATATTTTTTGCTGACAAGGTAGAGATCACAGATATCACCAAGCAGACAAGCTTCTTAGTCCTTTTGGGACCTAAGAGCGGTCAAGTAATTGTGCTATCCGATGAGCTTAGACATGATGTTCAAACTTTCGGCAGGTTCATATTTATGATTCTGTCGGTTATGTTTTGACTTTTTAACAGGTTATGGAGCATCTGAATTTGAAGGATCTGGATGGACAACCATATGGCTCACATAAACATTACAGTGTAATGTTTGTTTGATCTAGTGATATTAAATCCTTTTGGTTGTTGATTTAGAGGGCATAGCATTTGATTGCATATAATTCAATTGACATTCCTATGAATTCGGGCATATTAAATTTGTAGCAGCTTCCTTCCCTTAGCTGTTATTTGAAAAGAAGTATAGTGATGCGGCAAAGAAGTGCACAAGTATTGCCACCTATAGTCTTTTGTTGCAATGTGCCCTTTAGGATATTGTGTATCAAGGCTGCTAGCAGGAACACGGCAACTCTATGTTCCATGTCCAGCAGTTATTGGCAATAAAGAGATTTGACATAATTTTGTTGACATCATATCCTGCAAGTTCGTGATCTCTGTCTCTGATGATCAAAAAGTGTGAGGACAGTCGAGGTCATATAACCTGGACATGCAATTGAAAGATTGTTCTGAATTTGCAGATAAATGGAATGCCAGTAACGGTAGGAGTTGGAAATCTTGTTTCTGAAGAAGGTTATTCTATGTTGACGTCGCCTGCTGCTGCCACAACTGTCTGGGATATCCTCTTATCTCATGGTGCCATCCCAATGGGAGCTAATGCATGGGAAAGGCTAAGGATTCTGCGAGGTCAATTTCTCTTGCCTTAAATTTATTACTTTTCATGTAAAGTATCGCTTAAATGATTTTAGCATATGCATACCGTCATCTGTTTGGACTTTTTTCCTAATTTCTCGATAATACTGGGGATGAATTTATGTAGTAGTTAGAGATTTAGCGTGAGTGAATATGAACTATGGTTTCAAGGCATTATTTCTAGCGGTGGACATGTATGTTTTGGTTTTTGTTTGGACGTTTTCTAGGATGGCACCCACTAAGCAGACTGCTTTGACCCTCTGCTATGGTCATATATATGGGGATCAGGATCCAGATGAGGGAATGCATTTATTGATGCACTTTTCTAAACAGTGGAGTTTGCTTTGAGGTGTTATGTATAAGCTTCCATAAACTACTTGTGGTTTTTTTGGTCACTAGAGCTTCTTTTCGGTATTGCTGATCGTGAGCTAATGCATGCTTAACTTTTAAGACCATCTAATCAACCTTGGTGCTATAGTTGGCTGTGTTTTATGTTTCACTGGGAGGTGTCATCTGATTTGGATTCTCTTCTTTGCGAATTGTATGTTTTTGCAGGATCTCCTGTTGTTCAATGATAGGAACTTTTTTAACAAGAGATTTATCAATTTACTTTTCATTAAGGTCATTGCTCATCAAAGTATACTGGCGTTTGATGTGATGACATCCTAAAAAGGGAAAGTTAATCTTGTTGAGAGTATTTTGGTTGTTGCACAGACTTGTCTTGGTTACTGTATATATGCATGGTCTGATGTGCATGGTGTGGTTGTCACCAATGACGTTTTTGAGACATCGCTGTCAAGGAGGACACTGTCTGTCAGTCTCTTCTAATCACATTCTTCAGATTTCGATCCCATTAGTCAAACATGGTTGTTTGCAGGAAGACCGGCACCTGGGAAGGAGCTTACCAAAGAGTTCAACATTTTAGAAGCTGGTCTTTGGAACTCAATATCACTAGATAAGGGTATCTCCTTACGAGAAAACATCTGTTTTTAAACAAATCTAGATGATTTACACTGTCTTGACTTCTCAGGATGTTATAAGGGGCAAGAGACGATATCTAGACTAATAACTTATGATGGAGTCAAACAGAGCCTATGGGGTGTTCATCTATCTGCACCAGCAAAACCTGAAAGCCCCATCCTTGTTGAGGGGAAAAAGGTACAGTCTGTGTTTTGTATATAGTGACGTAATGCTGAAAAAATATTGACAAAAGAAGCTATATTTATAAACAAAGATATGCCTAAGTTTTTCAATATACAGAAAAATCCCTGGGAACTATGTTGAGGCCGTTATCTCCTATCTTTCTAATTGACTGGAAATTTACTTTTGCAGCGAAAAAAATTTGTTGCTTATGGATTTTCTGGCGCGTAACAAATCAATTGCAATGTCTTGCCTCTGAATTTTCTGCTGACATGCTTAGACAGTAGCTTGGCATATATTGTGGATTTTTTTTTTATAGTAATCTGAATTTACTTCCATTTTACCTCGTATTTGACACAGACAACTTTTATAGTCTATACAAGTTTGAGAATCAGAAAATTTTGGTACTGGATTGACCCTGTAGGTTGGAAAGCTGACAAGTTGCACATCGACAAGGGAACTTGGGCATTTTGGCCTGGGATACATTAAAAGACAAGCTGCTTCAGAAGGAAGCACCGTTCTTGTTGGAGATGACATTGTTGGGAGAGTAGTGAATCTTCCCTATCTTGCTAAGCAACGTCCACTGGGGAAGAAATCAGGTTCCTGAGGTAATACGGTTATATTAATCTCTATAGACCTATGTGCAGATCATTTCGAATGAGGATGACTTTGATTTACTGGAGAAAGATGGGCTGGTGGTTGTGTATAAATACTCACTAGGAAGATGCAGCTGGATTTTGAAAATGTGGTCATGAGTAAATTGAGGAAGTGTATATTGTCTGTTTATTCATGGAATAAGATTTTCTTTTCTGAATCATTGTTAAGCAGCTTACTGCCTAATGGGTGCATTTGAATTGGTTTCAAATGAAATCTTTGAGCTGTTTTTTTTTTTTAAATGATAAATTCTCAGAGACTGTGCATTGGTTAAACTATTGGAACATGCCCTGCTCTCGAGGTTCATGTTTCCCATTTGAGTTTGGAGACCCTAAGCTTTTTTTTCTTTGTTCAGTTACAAAAGAAATCATCCAAATGCAATTCATGTTGTTTGAATATAAGTTCTCAATATTGTTGTTTGTCTGCAAACAGATAGCAACACATCTTCTATGATTCTTGGCAGCACAGAGTCTGAGGAATTGCATTCGTATGATTCTGCTGACACATGTGTTATGGTCCAATTAGCTCTCTTTGTTTCCAAGGTAACTAGGTGCTCATGTCTAGACCTTTTCTGAACATGTTCCTGTGGATTGGTGAGTAAATTACATTGTGGTGGCATGTAACCATCAACACCTTAAATTGTCGAGTCAAGAAGATGTAGCAACTTTGTCGTACTTATTTGTGAAGGTGGGAAGGAAATGTAAATGTAGTCGGGGCTATTGTGCAGGTTGGACTGATGCGGATGTGATACTGATGTAGCTTTTTTACATCTACTTCAAATGCATTTTGTGAGTGGCAAATGGTGAGATAATATTGGACGAGAGATACGCTGTACGAATGTACGCTGACAAACTCATGTGAACGTCAAATTGTAACTGTCGGATTATGTAGGAAGCGTCGTTTTCGTGAGTTTTATTCTCGCTGGTTGAATTGCTTTCCCAGTTACCGGTTGGCTTGAAGCTGCATTATTTGGTTAAGAACTTACGGAGCTTTTGATGTGAAGAAGCATCATCAGAAAGGCTGAGACTATGGAGGTTATGATGGGTGTTCTCGAGCATCGTATTGCGGTACTAATCTTGCTTTGTAGCGATTAAATGGCGTGAACTACGACTTTTAAAGTTCATCCACCCGCGTTATATGTTAATTTAATACCAATCCACTTTGATATGGACTTCTCAAGAGATGAGATTTAATTCATTCCAGCTTTTGCATATATGTACTTTTGCCTTTTCCTGTAACAAGAAGACTCAAACTCGATCAATGCATATACAGATACTTAAGGTGAGTGAACAATTCCTAAAGTGTTGGCCGGGTCGGACCATAGAAATACCATAATCTGTTGCCTCGAGATGCGAAGGCCGAAATCCGGCACCTCCTAAACGATGCTTAGTAATATGTTGAAGGGTTTGTGGTTTTGGATTGGTCATTGCGGCTGGCTTCCATACGTACATATTGAGATAACACGGATGTTTACGCACTAGAGAACTTAACCATACCTTGTTACTTTTGTGCAACAAACCCTTGCTCGTGCTTCGAGCAGCAGTTTGCAATAGATATGATCATTGGATGAGCCCCGATTGATATGATTAGTGGCCTGCCTTTGTTACTCAAACCCTCTCACGACGAAGAATTTGTGGACTGGCCGGGCTCGTGTTAATGGGAAAACTTTTGCCGAGGACTATCATTTACTCATGGTGTCTCGAAAGTAAACCTATCAAAATAGATGATAAATCTATCTCTTAATTTATATTTGATGAATTGAGTTGTTGTATGAGTTATTTATATTCATTAAATGGGTCATGAATGGGTATAAGATGATAATACCCAAAATAATATGTGTTAAATGGGTTCACGATTTATTTAGACCCAATACACACCTTTACAACTCTCTCTCCACTCTTTTTCGTCTTCACTTGATCTTGCGCTTGCTATTTTGCGCTCTCACCTCACTTTGAGTATGAATTTTTCTAAATTTAGTTAAATATTAAAGTATTTTAACAATATTGATCGGGTCGGATATATGTGGGATATGAGTTGGGTTAAATATGGGTCAGTAGATTCGTATTGCGCAGAAATGGGTCAAAATGAATTAAATGAGTCAATTTAGGTTGGACCATTTTCGACTTGTCCAAATCCAACCTGACTCACTCATTTGACGGGTCTACTTGAAAGTCATGACAATTGTTCGGCTTACGGTCACCTCTAGCCTACAATCCTGCTTGAGTGTTGACAAAGGGGCGACAATTAAGCCTCACATAAGTATTGGCAATCAAAGATTGGCCACCTCAGCTATGCCACATTAGTTCCACATTATGCAATTAAGCATAGTAGTAGTTGAAGACAATGATTGATAGGATTTAGATAGACATATGAGTTCCATGAACAAAATTTAGACTAAACCATGAAATTAAGATGTTTCGCCTGAAAGATCCATGAGTTGTAATTTCAATGCCAGATTTTTAGTTTATGTCATATTACCTATTTATCATCTGCGAAAGATTGATCGAGTGGTAAATGATTGGGATGTTGTGCCCCAAGAAGTCTAAGATCTCAGTGACCGACCAATCACGTGTTTACCCATGTGATATACTCGTCCTCTTATGTGACGCTTAAATTTTGGAATCACTTATTCTTTATATATATCATTGCCATGTGATATAACCATCGCGTAGCATATCCTCGTATGAAATATCATTTTGCAAAAGCTGGCCTAGGATTCCATTTTCATCCAAAAGACTTCCTTACCATAAGTCGTCTTCTGCTACCATGTTTTCAGAATGTGTAGTTGCGTACTGTTAGCATCTTTTCTGCATTTGTGTCGCGCTAATGCCCAAAACAAGTGGTTTGGATTAATTTAGGAAATAAAATTAAATTGTTACATTAAAAGAAAGATTAAATTAGAATTAGAATCTATGTAGTAAGTGTCAATCTTTTTTAGATGATCATTCATTTTGTCGAGTGCTTATCAAATTGCACTTATTATTCATCTTATAACATGAATGAGTTTTGTTGGAGTATTTTGATAAAAACAAATATTGAGATGGAGAGGATTCTTTGAGTTTATACTATAAAAATCTAGATAATTGCACGGAGCAGAAAGCTAACATTTCACATTAATTCTTTTTTTTTTCGAAATTAATTAAATCTCACTATCTCTTCATTTAAAATTTACAAAATAAAAAATAAAAAATTCTCGAGGAAAAGAAAGAATTCAAAAATAAAAAAAGGAAATTCCTCATTTTCTTCGGGGCGGTTTTGCGGGTTGTTCAATGGGTCGGTTTTGATCCGGAGGCGTTTCTCTCTCCTCCCCTCGATCACCACCGGAACCTCCCGGCGATCTCGTCTCTGTCCCGCTCTCTTCCAGCGCAAGCGATCGATCCTCTATCGTCGACGTTCGTCCATGATCGAAGGTGAGTTGGCTACGGCCTTTCTTGTTCAGAGGGCTTTGAGATGTTCCTTTCAGATCGATTTCCTTTCATTCGAGCTGCTAGAGCCCGAGAATGGCGAAGTGGGTCTGTTCGAGGAGTCAAATTGCGGTCATGGGTTGTGAAAAGCTTGTGAATTTAGCGTTTCTTTTCATCTGGGTCAAATGGGTTCGTGTTGATTCGTTTGATGTCTCCATTTTTTTACCCTTTTTGAGCTAATTGTCTGGGGGGGTGAAAGAATTGTTTGTAGGATGGACAAGGTGGTGGAGGCTGTTGAGGGAGTGAAGAAGGAATGGGGCGAGGCGTATGGCAAAACCCAAGAGCATGTGAAGGCGATTGAGGAGTATGGAAAGTCGAGGGAGGAGAAGAATTCGCTCCCGAGGTTGAACGGCCTGGCGCAGGACGGGTTGGCTCTGTTGAATTCGCTGCAGTTCAAGCTCGATCTTCTAGCCCCGCAGCTGCCCGCCATTGATTCGGTCGAATCTGCCAAGTCGATGCTCGAGTCGTGGAAGACCCAGAGCCAAAAGTAAGTTCTTGATTCTTAAATGGTTGGGCCTGAAACTCGATTTGCGGAATTTTGTGAACTCTGGAAGATGACTGCTTCTTGTATACATGTGCTCATTAGCTTCTTGCTAATGACAGTTTTTGTTTTTGGAATTTCTGGTGTCGAGGGTCTCCTGTCGCTTGAAAGAAATGGTTGGCCCAGGCATGTTAGGACTTGGTTAACTCAAATTGTTAGGGTTTCCCCCAAGATTGCATACTTGTGAGTTGAGAAGAGATTTGGGGTCTTATTGGTTCAATCTCGATGTAGTTTGCTTGTTAACTCTCTGACAATTCATGTAAATGATTGACATCCAATGCTCGTGCATTTTTTTTAACAATCTGAATGGAAATATTTTTACATGACCAAACTAGTTGTGCATACACCAACATGTAGAAGATTCTGAAAGATCATCTCTGTAATCAGCTTGCGAATGAGGTTGAGGAATGCTAATTTGCAAGCAAGGGCTAATCTGAAAAAGGCTGCGCAAGCAGAGGTGTGTACAGTCTCCTCAATGGGATGCTTTGTCATTGCTTTGCTCAATCAATGACTTTTCTATGTGATGAGTTCCAAATGTGGGCTCAGGAAGATGAACTCTTTTATTTTCATGCATTTTAGAGAGAACTGCTTCTTGGCGGCGGAGAAGAATCAACAATTCGGAGACGCAATTTACAGTATGTTTCACTTCATTTACTTTTTTATTTAACTCTGCAATATTTTATTATTCCAAGATGGTGTGGCTTTCAATATCTAGAATTCCAGACATCTATGTGGTTAATCTCTGTGCCTCTTGTTATACAACCTACAAGTAGTTGATTTATCGCTAATTGTTAGGACAAAGGCTGGAATGACATCTGCTGCAGAAAGTATCACAGACAGCCTTCGCCGCACTCGTCAACTGATGGTCCAGGTGAGTAGCCAGCTCGCTGTGCATCCTTTTCCCGCACTTTTTTAGGTGTCTGTATCATGGATGTTTAATGTTGTTCCAAGTTCCCAACTCTGAATTATACGAAGAAGAAAATCATTGTAACACTAAGGTCACTTTTCAGGAGGTGGAACGAAGTGCAAGCACACTCATGACTGTTGGTAACTATTTTTCGCTCCTATGAAGAGGTTTTGAAGCAAACACATGTCGTCATGCTTGCACTGCTAAGCTCCCGATTTTTTCTCATCATTACTTTTTCGTCACAAATGTTTCTGGGTTGGCCTTTCTCTATCTGTTAAATGCATGAGCTGTGACCTGAGTTTCCTTTCACTATGGAAATGTGCTCCCCTAGCTAAGATTAGTAATGGAAAGAGGGGTATAGTCTCAAAGCAACCTTCCACTTTTCTATCATATGAAGCACTTGGTTAAGATCTTGGATTTTGATGTGTTTTCCTTCTAGGCTATTAAATCTTTTATCTTTTCTGCAAATAGGAAGAGGGACATTATGAGACAAGGGCTAGTTAAGTGATATGTAAGGCTAGCAGTTCGTGCTTCCTTGTCGTAATCATGTAGTATCAATCATAAAATTAAGATAATTATGTGACTTGTCCTACTTTGAATATGTTTATTAATTTTTTCATATTTTTAAGGCCCTTGCTGTTAGATCGGTACGCGATCCTTGTTTGGTAGTTGGTACTCATGTATAAACATGTCATAACAGGAAAGAAGGTAGAATTGCGATCATGACAAAATTAACTGAAAGTCTAATCAAACTACATTAGCTGTCTTTAATGGAGTTGAAGTTATCATAATGTAAAACCTTCATTAGGCATATAACCATAAACTCTTTGGGCTAGAGATTCCTGAGATTGTCTAGTAAGCCTTTTTGTGTCCAATATTGAAACAGAAATTTTATTCTTATTTTTATAATTAATTCTGCTTTTGTACTTCATGCATCAAAGTGAAATTTCACTCACAGACAGTTTGTTGTGGCAGAACCGTGAGCAACAGAAAATGGCTAAGTTTTATTCCTGGATTGTCAGTAAGAATATGGGAAAGTAATGATTGAAGCATGCAAAGCAACATCTTGTACATTAACTGGACTAGACCAATTTAACTCGAGGAAACTATAAACTCCACTTCTGGGGTTGGAAGCTTGTAGGAAGTGAAGTTTCAAGACTAACAGCTTTCACAGCTATAGTACTTGGTAGTATTATCCATCATATGCGCAACATCTATCTATAGTGACACTCATTTGCTAATAGTGCCTGCATCTTAGTAAAACCCTTTTTTTTTTTTGGTGTTCTGTCTCTACAGATAGATAAATATGACTCTTTAAGAAACTCGAATGTATGATTTTTATTGTGGATTTTGCAGATGAATCGACTGGAGTCCTAAGGAAGGCTGAAAGTGAGTACAAGGGCCACCGTTCATTGTTGATGCGCACCCGAGGCCTACTTTCTACAATGCGACGTCAAGATGTGATTGACAGGTCTGGATTTGGACAATTTTTCTTTTTTCTCTATTCAGATGTTGTATGTACCTGGAATTGCCTTGAGCTGATACCCTGCTCTGATTTACAGGATAATAATTGCTGTTGGATTTATCTTGTTCTCGTGTGCTGTTCTATATGTCGTTTCGAAACGCATTGGGCTACTGAAATTGCAGAGGAAGGTCACAGCTGCTCTGAAGGCTGGTATGGCAGGACAAGCAGAGATGGGACTTAGAGGCAACCAAGAGGGCATCAATATCCCCCATATCGTTGATAATGTAATTCCCAATTTGAATCCTCCGTTGGATAGACCTATGCACGACGAACTTTGAGTTTCTCTCTCGGTGCTTTCTAGAGTACAATTTGTCAACTGGGTTCTTCTAACTTGGGGAAAATTCGCTTTCATGGATAAGGAAGATGGAGTGACATACCAAACTTTCTGTCACAATTGTTATGCTTAGGTTTAGGGACTGACTTTGTTGTGTCTTAGTTACAGCGTACATTGTGCCTCACCCCTAGCCCGCATTTTAGGTTTCTCACTCAATGTGGATTAACTTTGCAAAGTTTGCCCCTCTTTTGGCCCAATATTTGTGCGTAACACGGTCTCTGTTACTCGCATAGCCTGTGACTATATGGTTAATAGATCAATGCTATTTTTTCTAAAAGAAAATTTCGACATATTATTACAGATGTAAGTGAGCCATTTTGGTTGAGGTACTGCATCCGTATCAAATTCTTTGTCTGTCTTTGCTTTTGATTTTCTGTTAACTTCAAAACATAACAAGCATTGGCTTCTGCGCGTTTCATCTGCTCATCTTATTTTTATCTTACCCTATCAAGTCCGTGTGCGGATCCGTGTGCGCAGGATAATTCTTATACAGAAAGACAATCTACATCTAAAATACTACCTCTCTTCATTGCTAACTTGTATGTACCACAGTTTCCTTCACAGCTGGTAAATTTACCTTTGTTTTATGGGTCATGCGTGAACACATACATTTATACCTAAGTTTGCGTATGCGAATGCAACGAGAGATGGATACAAACTCATGCTAGAAGCATGTCTGAATTCATCCCGAGCTTTAGTAAGCTACAAAAGATGAAGTCTCCCTTTACAATGACTCAACTGTATAGTAGAGTATTAAATGTCACAAAACCAAAGTACCATACATGACATGAATCCTTCGAAACATGGCATTCCAGATTTGAAACTTAGGCACTAGTTCAAGTGTCCTGCTGGATTCCTATTCCATGATAGGTAAGATGGATCTCCAAGAGGCCTGCCAAATCATCAAACAAAAAAAAAAACAAGACAAAAGGAAAGAAGAAACATATCAAAATCAAATGGTCAAAATTCCCAAGGCTAATCTTCTCAAACACCTTATTGCAACAATCATGTTTTGAACGATTGAGACTCACCTTGGCTTGAGCACATAGACAATTATGAAGGCTATTGCCAAGAACAAGCAAATCCCTCCAACAGCCAAATATGCCACTCCCAGGAAGTCATTCTTCCCACCCATCCAACTGGTGGTCGATAGCACCAAGTGCTTCTTGCCCCCGAAATCGTAGGTGTTGTAATTATTCTGTATCGTGACCGTGATCTTGTTATCTGCTTCGAGGTTGGACTCTATCCTTCCATATAGTTTTCTAAAAGTCGGCAATGCTGCCGTGCGCATCCACACGATCAGATCCTCCTGTTCACTCAACTGTTGAATGCAAAATGCAATCAGTTAATCATCAAAAAGAAAACGAGAACGTGGCTCCACAAACCATTGAATGGAACAGATGAGTGCAATCCATCGCTTACAGGGACGCTTGAATCAAGTTTTGCACCGCCGATTAGACGTCCGCTTTGGAAATTCTTCGGGTAGACGTCAGATCCGAACTTATGCTTTCGGTCGCTATCCCATGCTATGTTACTCTTGTTGACGTCCAGCGGCTCATCGTTCACCGTAAACTTGTAAGTGTCATTGAACAAGCTCCATGCAATGAGGCCACAAGGAACGATTGGCTGATCCTCTCCCACTAATGCTTCGGGCTCACAATTGGTTGTTTTCCGCTCACTTCTGTTGCTTCGCAATTGTTCATCGCTCCTACTCTTGACATATCTAGAAAAGACCGTGCAAAAAAAATTACCATCAATGTTTGTGCATAATAATAGGAAAGATTGGAATTCAAACTAGCCATGAATACGAGTACCGGCGATGATTCTGATAGAAGTTAGACAGCTGATAGTAGACGTAAATGGGGCTTTTCATTTGCTTTGGGACCTGCAACAATGGAGCAATTGATTCTTTTAGAACACACACAAAGATGGAGACAAGCATCAACAAAAGAAAACTTCCGCAATAAGCAGAATGATCTCACAATTAGACTCCTCGAGCAAGTCTTATTAGTTGTAACGTCTTGAATGTAGCCGAGAGCTTTGTCCTTGAAACTTGGAGGAATGCAATCTTTGTCATATCGATCCACGATTTCTACAACCTACATCCAGATGAATATCAAGTGTTTGACAATCCAAGAACAAGAAAAACAATTTTAGAACAAAATATCATGAAATGAGAAAGTTGAAACATTACTCTTTGAGAGGCAAACAAAGAGGCGAGACCAACTGGGATGAAGACCACACCGACGAGAATAAGAGTTGTAATAACCTGAAAATGATGAAGTGTTTCTGAGAAGCCACAGATGGTTTTGTTACAATAATATATTGTGATTTCACAATATAAAGGAACTAATAATGCTAATTGTAGATTGTACCCAACCGGGAGTCAAAATTGGTTTGCAAGCGGGAAGTTCCTGTTGGGTGAACCTAGAATCTGTAAAAACGAAAACAAGGACAAACGTATCAAAGCTGATAATACAAACCCCAATAAGTATAAACCCTTTGGTGTATCAAGCTAAATCAATAGGACTTACCCAAGTTGTTTGGCTATCAAGCACACGCAACAGATGATGGAATATGACAGGAAAAAACTTCTAATTGTCATAAAACTAAAACATATTTGCCCCTATCAACATCGCTTGATTAGGATGCCTAAAAACATCTCAAATGCTTTAGCATCAACCACTAAATTATCAAAAGAAAAGAAGCAAACCAATTCCTCAGATAAGATCGATTATAGAGCACATAGACGACCTAAAGATGTTTCCAAGTACGATATCACTTAATTTTGAGTCGAGGCACACCGCGAAAATGTCTTGTTATATTTTATAGCAATGTAATTCTGCATGTTGAGATACATTGTTAAGATCAAAAGCACTTCACCATCTTTTTCTTGTTGGCTAAATAAGCACTTTAACATCTATCCATACTTGCCCCTCCCCCAAAACCTCAAATGAAACAGAAGAAAAGGAACGTCAACCTCCCGGCCTATTTATCCAAGAACGTATTCCTTCAAAAGCTAAAGCAGATTTTCATGTTTGGATGAAACTTCAACTATTGAAAAAGTATAAAGTGTCGTTCTTACACATTCCGTGCAATCACCTCCTCTCTATGATCAATGGGCCAAGGGCACGAATTGATGTCACATGAGGACACAGTTCTTTTTTGTTTTGTTTATATATAAACAACCCAACTCAGTATATATGACTATAAGCCGAAATTCACTCAAAACACATGTATATGATCATTGAGCCAAGGACACGAATTGATGAACAAGAGGGACATGAGACATACACAAATTCGACGAAAAAATTCTGATAATTAAGAACGATCATATCATAGCATTGAGAATTGTCTGAAAGGGTTTGTGCCCAACAACAAAGAAGTCAAGGATTGAGAGATTTTCCATCAAGAGAGATCAAGAAAAAAACAAGAAAAAACAAGGGTTACACGATCAACAAAAGGGACATAATACATAAACAAATTCGACGAACAAATTCTGAGAATTGAGAACGATCATAAATAACAGCATTGAGAATTGTCTGAAGGGTTCGTACCCAACGACAAAGAAAGTCAAGGATCGAGAGATTTTCCGTCATGAGAGATCAAGAAAAAACAAGATGAAACAAGGGTTACACGATCAACCAGAGGGACATCAGACATACAAAAATTCGACGAACAAATTCTGAGAATTGAGAACGATCATATAACAGCAGTGAGAATTGTCCGAAGGGTTTGTACCCAACGACAAAGAAAGTCGAGGATCGACAGATTTTCCGTCACGAGAGATCAAGAAAAAACATGATGAAACAAGGCTTAACGATCAGAACCTTGAGAAGGAGTAGAAGGAGAGGTTTACATTTGGGTCTTCTGGAGATCTTCTTGGTCGACGTGAATGGATCCTGCGTCTCATCGCTCCCTCCCGTCGAGCTCGTCTCTCCTCTTTCCGCCATCTTTTTTTTGGTTCTTCCGCCCTTCCTCCTTTCGTCGTTCTCTCCTCGTTTTCTCTCTCTATATCTCGCTCTCTCCCTCCCTCCCTCCCTCCTCCCACCCAACTTCTCCTTCCGCGTTCTCTCCCTCTCCGTTTCCTTTTTTGGCGGAGTAGGAAAGGATCCCACGCACGAATCAATGCAAAAGAGCATTTGGCATTTCCCAAAGATTTGAACCGCGTCGTATTTATAGCGCTTAACGTACGTGTGTGACTAACCCTATCATGCTGACTCTATTAAAGAGAAAGGTAAACTTTCTTGAGAATTATTATTCCATCTGGGGTGGTTGGGACTTGTTAGATTTTGTAATTAGCTTGTTGAGTCGTGATTTTGATAATCCAAATATGCTCAACTTTTTGGTTGCCGTCGAAGGGCGGACCGCTGGCATGGAAGATGTGCGGGACTGTTTCGTAGATCTCATGCCCATTGCCACTCGGTATCACCACATCGGCGATTTTCCCGGAATCGGCCTATTCCCACGAAAAGGCATCGAGAGATTGAAAATCTTTACATTGATGACTAAGATTGGAATTCCGTAGCATGATCGTGGGAACTTTAGATAGAGGAGTGTTTTGGCGGAAAATATCTTACTACTCTTCTTGTGTTGGGTTTGTGGGTTGACACAAACGTGAGAGGGGATCGGTATTTACATATGAGCCATTATAATTACAACCATAGATATCTCCTTAATTACGACATATATTCAATCTCTTTGTTTACCAATAACCCCATTAATTATAGAGCCGTCCAAAATGTAAGTACTTAATCTCCATAATACCCTCGAGAACTTTCTAGAGTACTCATGAAATTTTAGATCCCTACAAGTTGCAAGGCATACCCAATCATCTTGGCCGCCTTCTCGGCTTATTGTGCTTTGAAAACCTCCGGTCCACGACAATCAAAGGAGATCGGAAAATGGAGAAATTTGCGAGAAAACTTGGGTTTTTTCTGCACTAAGTCCCGGTTTTTGTGTTTTTTCTTTTTGCTAGAACTACTGCGAGTCGCGTAAGAAAGGCGGGGGACATTGTCTAGGGACAAAATTAGGATTTGCACTAATTAATTGTGATTTAGAGACGAATAGGTGTAAGTCCGATGCTATAGAGTAATTAAAGTTTGCAGCAACAAAATGTTCTTTCATTTGCTAAATCTAACTTTCGGGTGGGATTGGACGTGCTAGTTCGTTTTGTGAGAACCGAGTTCATTTCGTCGTCAATGAGATTATTTTCAAAATTTCTCGCTTCTTTGGAAGGTAGCATGGACATCAATGTGGCTCAAAGAGTCTTAACTCATCGATCGGTCCAATGAAATTACAGCATTGCATGTCGCAACTTTAATTCGTCACTTAGTTACAAGTTCACGTTGTTGAGTTCTGCAATTTCACCTACATAGTTTACTTTTTGTAAGTAGAAATACCTAATAATCTTGATGCACAGAATCACTAAACGTCCATCTTTTGAATTCGCAGTAATTGGAACAAGTTACTCATATAAAACATAGGTCATCTGATGCATAACCTAACTATCTACATTCCCAGCAAAATAAGTGACCCCAATATATTAAACAAGCGCATCACCATTCCCATTTAATTGTAGATCAAGAATCTTAATCCTATTATGAAATTTAGAGAAAGAGAAACAACCCTAGTTGTAAGGATCACGTATAACAACAACCCTCAAGAATGCTACGAATTTCAGACCTTTGTTCATCATCCAACTCGTACGGAAACTCGACGAAGAACTTGAGCCGGAGATCGCCCCGCTTGCTGTTTACCTTCGGGTTCGGCATGCCTTGGCCTGGGATGGCCTTCTCGTACCCTGGGAATATGATCTCGTCGAACGGAACCCGCATTTCCTCGCCCCCTAATAGGGGGACGGAGAGCGTGCATCCGGTCAGGGCTTGCACCAGCGGGATCTCAACCGCTATCTCCAGGTCGTCCCCTCGTCTCTTGAACAGAGGATGCCTCTTTTCTTCGATCGAGAAGATGATGTCGGCCGGTAGATACCCCGGTCGCTGGTCGCCTTTCCCTTCGAACGATATCTTCGTCCCTTTCTTCCATCCCGGTTTCACGTTGATCTTCAACATCTCCTCTTCTTGGATGATCCTGTGTGATGGAGAATCAATAGTTACTAAACGTCAATGCTTTAGATGAGTTATTTCGACTGTGATTATTGAGATATATCCATGATAATCACGTTTAACCCATGAAATTACTCGAGCAAAGTTCAAATAACCATTTCAATGATTAATACTATATCATGCTAATTAGGGAGGATACGATAGAGATGATGATTTGAGGGGAAAGGTGATTACCCCGTGTCAGTAATCACATCTCGTTTGATTTGAACTTTCTTGACAGATCCTCGACACAGCTCTTCCAACGTGCACTCCAGCTTTTTGTCTATTGGCGCGGGCTTTCGCCGGGCTGCCGTCTGCGAGAACAAGATCGGGGTGCTTCCTTTCCGGCTCATATTCCTTGACATGGTGGCCGGAGCCTCGGTTTCGGATCCCGCCTTTCTGCTCATGCTCCGTGAGAGAGGACTAAAATCCGACGAGGACGGGTTGATCCGGCTAGTCGTCCTTGACAACGACGACGGGGTCGGCGTGTGGCTCCTCCTACTCGAACTCTTTGACAGGAACGAACGGCGAAAGAAGAGGCTGTCATCGACGCTGCGGTTGTGATGTGACGAGCCATCCGACGTCGTCGCATCGTCGCTGCTCATGACTCTTTCGTCGTTCTTCTTCCCATTGAAAACCTGAAACAACTCGAAAACATCAATCAAGAATGAAAATCTTGCTCCAGCAATGGCCAATGTCGGCACACACGACGAACTCAGCCTCGTTACCTTATCGGCCTCGGCCTCGGTTTTATTCGACGGGCTCTTATCGGTGTGCCATTTCAGGTGAAGGAACTTGTACGCCTTCGAGATGTCGAACATGCTCGTCGAGCCCTTGTTGCTGAGTCCAAGCAAAGTGGAGAGATCGGTAGTCGTTGGTGAGCGAGGATCCGCCATGGGAGTATAGAAGAAGAGGATGATGTCGATGATGATGAATTGCAGTGATACAGAGAGAGAGAGAGAGAGAGAGAGAGAGAGAGAGAGAGAGGTTGCTGCAAACCCTAGGAAGAACTGGGAAAAAGATAAAATGGACGGTTAATTTTGTTCTATAAAGACAGCGATTTAGAGCCGAACATTTGTCCATCTTTTTAGGTTCCTTTAAATAGATTTGTATCCGTCCACACCCAAAAATAAATAAATATCACGAGCGACAAAAACAAAATTTTCTCTTTATATTATTGTATAGAAACATTGGTGCATTTTACATGAAATTATACATATAATTATTTTCTCATTCTCGTAGATTAATCTCATTACCTATTACTACTAAATAGATTTAATATCCATAACTATATTAATATTTTGAAAAAATTAAAAATATTGTCTTGTTCTAATATGGTCATTTGTCATCATGTATTCTAAATTTTATACTTTTTTTCTTGGCAAAGAAGTTTTAAGCTTATTTTATTTGTATCAATTCGATCGTAAACTTTTTAATTATGCCAATTAATTTCTAAACATTTTCACATTTTGCCAATTGAATCCATTTGGCCAATATTAGCCAGAAATCACTGACTTGAAAATTTTTAATAATATTTTAAATTTTTTCTTTTCTTTTCTTTACTTTTTTTTTGGGGGAAGGGGGGATTAAGGGTTGGCCAACCATTGTCGGCCAAAGGTGAGGGCATTCCCGAGAATGGTGAGGGCGTCGCGGCCCTCGTCGGCCATAGTGTTGGCTTCGCCCTTAGCCTAAAAAATTAAGAAAAGAAACAAAAATTAAATATTAAAAATATTAATTTTTTAAAAAAAAAATCCACATAAGCTCGGATTATGCCACGTAGAACAGCTAGCGTTCACGTCAGCAATTCAGGCCAAAATTGTTCAGATTGACTCAATTGATAAAATGTGAAAATATTTATGACTCAATTGGAAAAATTTGAAGGTTTATAACTCAATTGACATAATAGATTTAAGATTTTTTGGTAATTGTTCTCTTGATTTCTGCCCCTTGACGAGTTACATATCGATCCCGCATACTCATGTTATAGACCTCCCCATACCTAGACTTTTAATACATGTTCAATTTAATCCCTGAACTATACAAAAATATTTAATATTGTCACTGAATTTAAATTAATGGAAAGACAGTATTGAACATTTTCATATAATTCAGGGACTAAGTTGAACACGTACCAAAAGTCCAGGGACCACATTGAACAAAATAAAAGTTCAGGGACCGCATCGCACACTAGGCGAAAGTTGAGGGATCTCATTGAACAAATTAAAAGCTCACGGACCACACTGCACATCGAACAAAAGTTTAGGGACCATTTGTGCCGTTATCCCGAAATGTTTTTATTTTTTTGGTTTTACTTTTTTGTAATTTCGAATAGCCGAAAATTGGTCTTTGCCGCTGTGTAGCCGAACGAAACGAAGCGAAATCCCGCCATCTTCCCCTCCACTCTCTCCCCCTCTCTCTCTCTCTCCCTGCACATTTCTCTCTCCCCGCAGCTGCAGCAGATGCTCGAGAAGAGAACCAGCTCGAATCCCTTCGCCTCTTCAAGATCCGTCGCAGCGGTCTCGAATCCGTCATTTCCGAGCGTCGTGCCTGCCTACGAACCGTTCATTTCCGATTAGGAACCCGGGGGAAACGTCCGATTCGCGGCTCAAATCCGTGCCTTGCTTTCGATTTCTGCCGTCGGATGCGTGTTTACTAGCCAAGTTAGGGATTCTGCTCTCGATTCTCCCGCTTCTCCGTGAAATGAACCCCGCGCGGGGGGCAGGTGATGGGTTCTGGGTTTTTGTGGGCAGCTTCGCTTCGCAATGCGTGCTGGGAGTAGGGGAGTGACGCGGGTTTGATGACCGATGAGATGCAAACGGGGTGAGAGTCGCTTCGCTTTAACTGATGTTTCTGTCTGTTTTTACTGTTTTCCCTGGGTGGTTCCTCTTTTTTTCTTTTTTTTAAAATTGTGTTTTATTGTTTGGGTTTCTTTTGTTTCCAGTCGAAGAGAAGCGGGTGATGATGTGCTTCCGAAAGTAAATTGGTCGCAGCATGCGAGTGCCCACGAGAATTTTTCCGACCAATCTAAGTTTTTGAGCTCGAATTTCCTCTACTCAATACCAAACCAGAAGCCTCCCCTTGAAGAATCAATGGGCTCGAGGTAGTTACTTATCATAGTTCGGTTTGCGTCTGACTGAAACATTTGCATGGTCTTTTTGTCAAGAAATTATCGGGACATTAACATGTCCTCGTCTGCTGGTTGACACAGACTTAGTCCTCTTTTGTGGTTGTGGTGACTCGGTAAAAAACGAAGCCTTTTTGCTGCTGATGTCACGGCTATTCAAAGTTAAGCTGTCCTACTTAACACAATAATCTGAAGTCGACAAATTACTATTCTTTCTGACATTATACAAAGATAGAGGACGATACTGTCCTTCCATACTCTTTATCGAGAATGGAATATTGACAGACAGGATTGCAGATTCTTAACGTTGTTGTTTTGCTGCTCCAAGTAACAGAAATTTACCCTCTTTTAGGTCTTTTGGTGGCTGTGGTATCTTGAGCTAGAAAAATACTAGCTCAAATCCCAGCTGCTTAGGACGGTTTGCAATGTTTTAATTTGTTGTGCTCTGCACAAACTTTTCTGGAGACAGTTCATATAGTTTAGCATTATCAACTTCGTTCTTTAGCATAGTGTATCTTTATGTGAAAGATAAATATTGGAATCCACATCTCGGGTTGTCACAGACATTGTTGTTTAGCTGATTTATATGATGGTCCTGTACAGTTGCCTTAGCCTTAGTAAGGGCCCTGTGCTTTTGCTGTAGGCTGATACACTGTGTTTGAGCTATATTGGTTTCCTAACGACCATGTACATTCTTTGTTAGGTCGATGGTCTTCTCCATGGTAAATCCCCAACGATTACCCAGTAACCAAGTCGAGAAGGTAACATTTTTAAGTAGATTTATCCATGTCATGTAAGAAGAGATTCTAATCAAACTTCTAATATTGGTAGTTGTATTTTCTTTCAGTTTTCCCCTCTTTCTTAATTAGTTTGCCCGGTCTGGAATTTCTGCATGAATATAGTTGTATCCTTTCCATTGTTGTCAATGGCTATACTCAGTGTTTTAAATTGTTAACCTAACTCTAGCTCTCCTGAGGAAGCAATTATCTGTGTTCTTTTGAAGTTTTGATTGGCATAGCAAGCGTGGCATGTTAAATTTGCAGGCTTGGCATGCTCTTTCCAGTCTTCAGATATCTTCTAGGACATACATAACATCTGGGAAGACTTTGCCGGTCAAGGATGATCATGCTGACCTTTCTGATAAAGTTAGCGGAACTGTCTTAAAGAACTCAACCAATAGCAAAGAGCATTCTTGGAAAAGCGATAAGAAGTTAAATGGATTGTCGACTGCCAGGATTGATGCGTCAAATAATTATATGTCAAATCCGGTTGTTTCGGCCCATTATGAGGCTGCAGAAGGGGGACGTCCAGCTGGGCATAGTAAAAATGGCACTTTAGGGGTGAATAAAGCACGTTGTGAAGTTTTTGCAGCAGCAGTAAACAGGGACAGCATGCCTAATGCACAAATGAAATCATCAGGGAGAGTTTTGTCTGATGAGCTAGATGACGATGACATTCTTGAGGTAATTTTTTCCTTCAATGGATAGCTGCTGATCGAACTGAAACTTTGTGAGAAGGACTAGTCTTTTCTTCTGATAGGAATTACTTTTCAGTTTTGTTACTTGAATTGATTAGAGGCGGTAGGTTGGTCTCATTTTGACTCTAAGTAGGTTTAGGTCTCATTTATTAATGTGTCCAGACCCTGTCCTTATTAGAAAGAATAAAAAGCAGCTATATAATCCTTAAGGAATGGTGGATTAACAGTTCGTGATTGGGTCACTGATATTGTTAGAAATCTGAAAAGCTTTCTTCTTAGTTCAGTCAGTCGATAAACCATCTTCTTCCCTTAGTTCAATTGCCATCAAACACTTCGTGCCTTAGTTCAATTTATTTGATGTCTCTGTGATTAGCATTTATCGTATTGCCTTCGCCATGTTCGGTACTTCATCAATTTGAGGTGGGTTTCAGAGTATTGATGTCGACCAGATAGTAATGGAGCATTATCAATCCACTTCGACACCTCAACCATCAATGCATAAGCTTCCACCCATAACTCCAAATGTCGAAAAGAATAGTTTACGACAAGATGAAAGTTGTTTGCCTGAGGAGCTGCGTTCGAATTGCAGTCATGGGTTGAAGGTGAGTTGGCCAGTTTCATTTGTCCCATTAAGATGCCGTATATTGTTCTCTTCTGTGCTTGATATGCTCAATATTGTAATGGATACAGCTAGGCCTTTGCCCAGACGCTGCACATCATTTGAAGGAAATGAAGGACAATTTAATTGCAATATCCAACGAGCTCCTTGACAACATGACTGAACTAACTCCAGAAGTGGTGGAGAAGCTTCGTCATGATAGGTTTGCTCCTACCCATCTTCCGTCTCTTTGTAAATTCCTTTCTGCTTGGAATCTAATGCATGCAAAATGGAGGAATGAGAATCTGTTAGTTATAATTTCCAGTTTCTGTATAGATTCTATAGAAAAAAGCTTTAACAGGGGATGCAATAACTTTTAAATGCTGTATGTATGCACACTTTTGTTAGGTCACACCTCAATAGGCAAATTCAGCAGCTTGAGAATCATCTTCGTTCTCTTACGATGGATGAGGAAAGGAGAAAGTCTCATTTTTCTGCATCTGCAGCGCCTCCGACGTCTTCCCTACATGAAACACCTCGAGCATTTGGATCTAGGGTAGAACCTTTTAGACTAGAAGCCCATGTTCATCCACACAATGAGCCTGGCGGTTATGACAGATGGAACTCGCCATCAGTTTCTTTCACTTCAGATAGGTTTCCTGTTTCATCAGGTCCTGTGGATAGAGATCCATACATTCAAAAGCCTTTGGACGTTAATTATATTGAAGGTTCAATTGACAAAAAGTGGAGCAGCAGGAGCTTCCCGTGGACAAAAAGCTTGGAGGTGTTGCCCGCATAATACTTAGCTTTTATTTGCATATCTTGTACCTCTTGTTGCTTACTAACTTTTACTGTCAGGATCACAACAAAAAAGTATTTGGGAACCATTCTTTCCGCCCAAACCAACAAGAAATTATAAATGCCACAATGAGTAGATATGATGTTTTTGTTTTAATGCCAACTGGAGGTGGAAAAAGCTTGACATACCAGGTAAATTAAGTTCTAGGATTGGTATTTTTTTTGTGTTCATGCAAAATTACTCTAGCACAATTAGTGCTTCTTTTGTTTCATTTGCCCTGGAGATCCATAGAGAAATGGAGCCACTTGGCATTCTCTCAATATGCTGTTTTATTCCCATTATCCATGTAACTTTGGTACAAAACCTTCCTGTTTTGATGTGCATGGTTTGGAATGTGTGATGGCTTGTGATTACATTATGTCAAGTTTTTTAAAGCTTGTACGTTACTCTGTTTTTTGTTTTTTTTTCACTAACAGCTTCCAGCTCTAATATGTCCAGGGGTGACATTAGTTATCTCACCCCTTGTTTCGCTTATTCAAGATCAAATAATGCATTTGTTGCAGGTAACTTACCGGATTACCATGTTCTTGTCTACATTATATATCTCCAGTTATCCCGGTTTGTCGGGACTGTTTCTCTGATGTTCTCCTGTACTCTTTTCTTGTAGGCTAACATACCTGCTACTTACTTAAGTGCTAACATGGACTGGAGTGAACAGCAGGAGATCCTTAGAGAACTCAATTCTGATTATTGCAAATACAAGCTCCTATATGTCACGCCTGAGAAGGTTGCCAAGTAAGTGTCATTCCCCTCACAAATGATGCAAGAAAAATGGGTTTTTAAACTCCTGCAGCATAGCTAAGAGGCAGCTTCTGGTATATCTAGATTTAAAATCCTTAAAAGTTTCTGGATAGCTCAAGACAAATAGAAACATCATAAATCATACCACTCAAAGGATTAATTAAATCAGTTAATGGTGCTGCTGTGCTTTTGTACAATACGGCTCATAATTCAACGTAGGTGATGAAGGCTGAACGCATATCTATAAATAGATAAATCGTCGAGCAGTGAAATATCTAAGATAAGTTGGAAGTGCTCTCAGAATTTGTACATGGCACTAGAGCAGGATCCAGAGTTCGAACATCACCAGCCCTTGCTTTACCTCCCCAGTCATAATCAATTTCCACCCTAAATCTTAGGCAAAAGTCCAGCCTAGGCGCGGGAGTGCTAATGCATTTAACTCTAAAGGACATTTCATCTAATAGCTTGACCATCTAGAATATAGTTTGATGCTTGTTCTGACGCAAGTCTCTCTTGAAATATCTAAATAAAGTACCTAATACTTGAATATCTACTATTTTTAATTTTCAAAAGTATGTATAGCATTTTATTCTCCAAGTAGTTAATAACATATTCTTTTACATTTCTAGCAAAAAAACATATTCTTTTCATTCTTCTGAATATTTCAGCAAGCTCTTTTTGCCTCTTTTTTGAATGCAGAAGTGACGTCTTGTTGCGGCACTTGGAAAGTTTACATGCTCGTGAACTTCTTGCTAGGATTGTCATTGATGAAGCTCATTGTGTGAGCCAATGGGGTCATGATTTTAGACCCGACTATCAGGTCTGGAGGAAAAAGCGTTTTTGAGTTTTATGCTACCGGTACTGCTCCATTTTCATGCCAATCATCTTGTATTGTTATGCAGGGTCTTGGTATTCTGAAGCAGAAGTTCCCCAGCACTCCAGTGTTAGCTTTAACTGCTACTGCAACAGCCAGTGTCAAAGAAGATGTTGTCCGCGCGCTTGCTCTTGTCAACTGCATTATTTTCCGGCAGAGTTTTAATCGTCCAAATTTATGGTTTGCATCTAAGTGAGACATTTTTCTTTCTTTCTGCTGTGGAAATTATAGCTGATTGTGGAAGTTTTCAGGTATGTTGTCGTTCCAAAGACAAAAAAGTGTCTGGAGGACATAGACAAATTCATTAAAGAAAATCATTTTGATGAATGCGGGATAATTTATTGTCTCTCAAGAATGGACTGCGAGAAAGTTGCCGAAAAGTTACAGGTTGGTCCTGTTTGATGATGTTTGCAACCATATTTAAGAGTTGTTTGATCATATAGGTTGATATTCACGTGGAGACAGCTTGCTTTTTTTTTTCAAATATCGAGTCACTAAATTTGTTGAGCTAAAGACTTGTTGGTGAGGCTAGAGCATAACCTAACTGGTTGGAATAATCTAGCATGAGAGTTCAGTACTACTCCTTACATGAAATTACTGAATTGCCACCAAAACCTTTTGACAGCATTGTGTTAGCATAGTAATAACAAAATTTATCCCATCCTTTATAATGAAATATTAGACACGATGGTTAAATTTCATGCTTGATATTGATACAAATTGATGTTGTCATGATTTTTGATATTGACTTACATTGATGGAATTCGGATTCATCTAGATGGTGGTTCCCTTGATTGAAATTTGGCCTAATTTCATCTACATGTGATCACATGCCATGATCGCTTGCTATGATTGGATAGAGTTCATTTTGTAAAAATTATTTCTAGCCTAAAAAAGATGACACCTTGGATTTAATTACAAGTTTTGGTTGTTGAGTAGTGCTTACAAGATTGATTAAGTGTATAATATATACCATTTAGCTTCCCATTTTTCAATTTTTTACTTCATAAAGAGGACTATTTATTTTGAATGGATGAAGGGCAAACAGAGAGGACTATTTATTTTCATAGGATGAAAAAGAATCCCGAGCTTTCCTACCGTCACTCACTGAGTCTGCTTAAATATGATTATTTCCGAATTGTTAAAGAAACTGTATCCCTCTCCTTTCTTGAATGACCCCTCATTTCCCCTTTTATCCAAATACGTTGAATTTCCATGCAAGTCTGATTTAACTTTCTTTTTCTGCTCAACCAAGCCCATGTAGATTTTCTCTCTTGGCGAGTGTAGGACTCATGAAGCTCTGTATACACTGCGGGGCATTGCATATGTACCATGTAGATTTTCTCTCCTTATCCGTGTGTGTCTCCACCACATGCATTGCATTCATGTTCAGTTGCTTAGGCTTTTTGCGTATTTCTATATGCAGCAAGGATATGGTTATTTATTATACCATTCCTCTCTAGATGTTGTGGTTTGCTTACCCTTCCACTCAATTATTCCAGCTTCATAATTTGTTCTCTCTGTTTTTTAAGTACGCTAATGACATTTCAAATTCTTCAATAAATATTTCTTATATTCCTATATTCACAGGGTCACAGCAGGCAAAGCAGATTTCTTTTATATTTCTTTCTTTTGTTGGATAAGTTGCTCGAATAAAAGCTAAGACTTGGGAGATCCTTTAGTTGTTCACAATTTGTTAAAAGATGCATACATTTGTCAGGAGTATGGACATAAAGCAGCATTTTACCATGGGAGCATGGATTCTGCCCTACGAGCATTTGTCCAAAAGCAGTGGAGCAAAGATGAGATCAACATAATCTGTGCCACAGTGGCATTTGGAATGGGTATTTCTCTTTTTTCACTAGTTTCTGATTGTGGTAATCAAATGCGATAGCATTTCGACCATGGACAATGTGCCTTGTAGGTATCAACAAGCCAGATGTCCGCTTTGTAATTCATCATTCCCTCCCTAAATCAATTGAAGGTTATCACCAGGTACATTATGAAATATGATGATGCTTTTCTCAAGCATTTGAGTGCTGGAAGTTTCAATTGCTGAACATTAATAAAATCAGTGTGTAATTAAATGGTTTGGGTTTAGCTCGTAACATGGTGATATTTCTGGATTTTGGCCATATCACAGGAATGCGGTCGTGCTGGACGAGATGGTCAGCGTTCGTCTTGCGTGTTGTACTACAGTTACAGTGATTATGTAAGTATGTTGATACAGCGATTCTTCTTTGAATTTTTGCACTTGAATTCCTTTTCCTTCTCCTACATCTCTTAGCATGTTTATGAACATTATTACTCCCAAGACTCTATCATACGAACTTTTCTTGTTCATGCTCAAATTTGCAATTTAAAAAGCTGGTTAATGTTGTGAAGTTCTTTTTTTAAAGTACTTAAAACTTCAAATTGCTTTGACCATTTCTTTTTATATAACCTTTTGAGTACATTATGGCACGTCAGGGAATAATAACAGAACTTCATGTGTTCTATATTTTCTTTGACAGATTCGTGTAAAACATATGATTAGCCAAGGAGTAGTAGAGCAAAGTCCATTCTCAAATGGTTATAACCGTATCAATACGGCGAATTCAGGAAGGATACTTGAAACAAATACTGACAATCTGCTGCGCATGGTATTGTACTGATTCAAATGATGCTTTCTAAAGTTCTAATTATTGAAGATGGTCTGAAAGTCATTTCAACTGTTTCAGGTCAGTTACTGTGAAAATGATGTTGACTGTCGACGTCTCCTGCAGCTTGTTCATTTTGGAGAAAAATTTGATTCCAATAATTGCAGAAAAACGTGCGACAATTGTCTCAAGATCAAAAATTTTGTTGAGAAGGATGTGACTGAGATTGCAAAGCAATTGGTTTGAATACTTACTATTTGTCCTTTTCAGTTACTGTGGTGGTTTGCTCTAATCTCTTATGAGCTAAGAGTTTTGTATTGCTCATATTTGAATGTGGAATTTCTGTTGCGTAGGTTGAGTTGGTGAAGTTGACAGGGCAGCAGTTTTCTTCAGCTCACATATTAGAAGTTTACAGGGGTTCTTTGAGTCAATATGTATGTTGAGAAAGTAACTTAGATATTCTCCATTTGTTATCCTGTTCTTTGTCCGCTTGATTCTCAAATTAGAGTGTTAAATCAGGTCAAAAAGCATCGGCATGAAAAGTTGAATTTGCATGGAGCCGGGAAACATCTAGCAAAGGGAGAAGCTTCCCGTGTGCTACGGCATCTTGTTACTGAAGATTTACTGGTGGAGGATGTTAGAAAAAGTGACCTTTATGGATCTTTGTCATCAATATTGAAGGTAAATATCGCTGCTATGACTCTATGACGCCATGAAATTCATTTTTAATTGAGATGAGAAGAAAATTTTCTTCCCTCTTTTTGGATGCTTGCTTTTTGCTTTTAGACTTGAAACTATGTTCCTTTGTTGATCTCTGTTCAGGTGAATGAATCCAAGGCTTACAATCTTTGCTCTGGGGGGCAATCTATCATACTGAGGTTTGTCATTTATTTTGCTGTTCTTTAGTTGGTAATGAGATGGGCATCCCTTCATTGAACGAAGAAATTTTTCTGTTTTCAGCGTTGGAAATTTATCATCAGCATCTCACAGTGATTATTAATCATTTGCCCACTTATGTATCTGCTATTCTACTCCCACAGGGTGTTGAATTGCTCTTTTAGGAACTTTTTTGTTCCATAATCTTAGCTAAAACAGCTCTCATGTCTTAGAGACACGTAGTAAACACCAAATTTGAATCTTCTCATCCCTGTTCAAATTAACGCGACATTCACGTACGTTTTACTCAAAATTCGTGGAGCTTTGATCTTTCCTATTTTTTATTTAACAAAAAGATATTTCAAAATAACCTTTTCTAGCCTTTGATGACAATCAATGTATATAAATTGCAAGCATCTTGTGGGTCTACTAAGGACTTAATTATCGAAGCAACAATTTATTATAGGTATTTGGTGTGGTCATGGACTTTCAATGGTGTTTGGCAAAAAAAAAAAAAAAAAAACGAAAAAGCACTTCCGAGGGTGTTTATTTGCTGCCATTTATTGTAATGACCCCACTATCTAAATTACTGGTGGCCAACAAGATCTGCTGTAAATTTTTGTGGTAGATGCTGAATCTTGTCTCATCCAACCATTAGTGTTTCACTTTTGCATCTTGTCCAAGGTCTTTCCTTCAACGAATGCCCCTCACAATAATGCTCTCTCTCTCTCTCTCTACGTCACTGTTTGCAATGAATATAGTTGCTTAATTTCATACCCATCATACCTGTCTTGTCAGGAGGAATTTATCACAGGATGTGATCTCTATTCCAGCAAAGTGATTATTGCGACATATTTATGACTCAAATGTACTTTTCTATGCTTTGACTCATACGGGAAATAAATGCAAATGCATTCAAGACTAGTAGCTCTGGGGGATAGCTGGGAATTTGAAGGAAGACTGGGAGAAATTGATATATCAATGAGAAATTTGGAGTTCACTTCCATTATAATTTAGTTCAGAGATACCTATTTAAATTGGTTTATAATTTCAAGTAATGTTCCAAGTTCATAATGTGATCTTATGCTAGAAGAGTGAGTAAAAAGGCTATGAAAGGTCTCAAAAATCTTGAGTTTATAATCTCAGAGAGAAAATGGTGCTTAATAGAGCAACGGCATGGAGTATTATGTAGTCGATTCCCCTTTGTGAGAAAGCAATTTGTTGTGGTTGGCCTGCAGCTGTTGTTGCTGCTCTTTTATCTTGAAGTCCCTTCAATTATAATTCTTCCTTTAGGATGGAAACTAACACCTTTTATGCTATTAGACTGTAAGTCCTATATGATTCTTGCAGATGGTAAACCGGTTTGCTGAGGTCAAATTAGCAGTATTTTACACCTTTTTCATTGACACACGGATGAGTGATTTATTCAACCAGTTTGATTGATCAGTAGATACGCACGGATGATATGGTATTGTGTGACAGAACTTAAAGCTTTAGGATTAGAAAGATTTGGACTACAATTTTTGCAATTGTAGGAGTAAAGTTGCTGCCTTCAGGCCCGGTGCGACGCAAACTGTGGGTTTGGAGAGTGACTTTCAGTTTACATGTTGAAAGAAACTGATTACCGAGATGATTCCGCCTTGGCTTTTGGCTTAATAGGAGAGAGAAACAAAAGGCCATTTCAAAGAGTTGAATCCTCTTGGGATCCTTTTAAGGATAATTGGTTATACACTCTTCACTTTTGGTATAGCAGGAAAGTTAAGTTTCATACATCAAATTTGTTTAAAATGTTAGAAGCTGTCTTTTGTGTGTAGTTTTGTATATGGAAGGCTTCTACTGGAAGCCGGTTTGTATCGGGCACTACCGATGTGGCACCTTTTCAAAAAAAGAACTTGAAGCTTTACGATCACTCAGGCAAGGTTGGATCACTGTGTTGTCAAGCTTATTGCTCATACTTGTCCCGTAACAAACCTATGAAATCTGCATGACTGCTGGGGGATTTGCACTCGAGTCTTTTGAGTAGCCATATTTTTTAAGAGATTTAGCCACAGTATGGCCACCATTTTCCATATTATTTGTTTGATCTTTTTTAAGAGCTTAATAATATGTCTTTAATGTGTAAAATACTGGGAAAATTTTGCAAAGCAATTTTTGCTTGACTGTAGTGCCACCATATTTTGCAGATTTCCTTCCGTGGCAAAGATGTCTAAGTCTAAGAAATCTGATGTAACTCCTGCCAAAGGATTGTTGACATCTGGGAAATTGAGTCCTCAAAGAGACAGTCCTAGTCCTGCTCAACCTCAAGCTCAAGGAGATCTGGTATGGGAATATATGCATAAGCACAAGTCTATACGTTGTCCATTCTCCGAAGAACAAGAGGAAGTTGCTTATCTCTCTTGACCGCTTGTGGAACTCCTTGTGTTTCAGATTTTGTCAGCCAAATTATACACTTCATTGCGTATGCTACGGACTATTCTCGTTAGGGAAGCTGGGGATGGGGTCATGGCATATCACATATTTGGGTGAGCTTATCTCCTTCACGAGTTTTGTTTGAAAATTGTTTGTTTTGTGGTGCTATTGTGTGAATGTTCATTGAGACCTCACTTTTTTCTCTTTGGGTACTGGACAGCAATGCTACGCTTCAGCATATCAGCAAAAGAGTTCCCAGAACAAAGGAAGAACTGCTTGAAATCAATGGCATTGGCAAGTAAGTTATGAGGAGACTTTATCTTGCATGCTCCACTAATGGCAGATAATTATTTTTATGTTTCTGTGTAGGGCAAAGGTAAGCAAGTATGGAGATCGGTTGCTAGAAACCATAGAAACCACCATCAGGGAATACCAAGGAACAGATAATAGAAACAGCAGCAGTAGCAACGATAGTATGGATTCCATGAAAAGGAGAAGAGAGGCAAATGGAGGCGCGAAACCTAATTATGAAGAGGATGATGATTTCACGAGAAGCACTGGTCGCTCAAAGAAAAGAGCCACGGTAATTGAGGCCCAAAATCACAATAATCGAGATGTCAAAGAGCCAGGGGATGACATTGCATGTATAGATGATTTGGATTTTGAGGATTCTGACTTTGATGTCGATGTTGATGTGTCGAACGTTAACAGTGCAGGGAGAATGCTGCCTTCATGGTCAAAGTCCTGAGGGTTTCGACATTGATATAAGCTCTTAAGATTATAAGTTGAAAGAGGAAAACCCAGACATCTAGTGCAGTTTGAGATTTGGGCTGTTCGGATCAATAGTTTCTGTGCTAATATAAGAGCAATAGCAATATGTTCGCTAGTGGAAGCAAGTTTTAGTGCCTTATCTTGGCTATTCTTCTTCAATCTAAGTTTGTGGCAATCTCAGAGGAAATGAAATTGCTCTTCACATAGGTGAAATACTGAACGATACCCACAAAGAGGTGTAATTTTTCAATATGTGCACTTGTTAACTTTTGTTTCAGTGCATTGACAGATCGGGTTCAGTTCAGTGGTGGTGTGAAACACTGGGCCTTTCTGTGTGCTGACTCGACAGATTTCTTCCTATGAAAAGCGGAATCGTTCGAAGATGGAGAATGTACAGCATGGGAATTCAGACAGGTTTAAACAATTATTATGTTTGTATTGACTAACTCACAGAGCATATTGAGCTTGCTAGTCAATAGTATGTATATATTTGATTGGTTTTTGTAATACAATGGGCGGTGAACTTTTATGTAATGTCAAATTCGAACATGCTAGGTGACCGATGGAATGCTTGGTGATTTTGAGCATAGCTGCAAGTGGCTGGATCACGAAATAGTTAAAACTCGGCGTATTAATGTCATGGTTTACGGTGTCCAGCGGACCAGCCTTATCATAAACTAACGTAACTGTCGTGGAGGTAGATGGACTAAGGTCTATTCAAGAACTTGCTTTCATTGGCGAGCTCACTTAAAACAAGAATCGATTGGGCTTCAAGAGTTACTTTGCATAATCTCCAGTACCTTCTAATGTTGAACCAGTTTATTTGGCTCTTGGTAGGTGTTAGCAGGGGAAAATGGAACTAGCATTTGGGATGGCAACTCGGCTAGGATTTGCATATGCTAAAACAAGAACATGTGAGTATTGAGCTGGAAGCAACATGAGTTATAATGACAACCCACTCTCTCTATCTGAATAAGAAAAATAACACAAATGGTTCATGAACTTTGGCTCAATGTGCAATGTTATCCCTTAATTTTTAATTTGTTTAATATGGTTAAATTTAATGTGCAATGTTGTCCTTGAACTTTTAATTTGTTTAATGTAGTTCCTGAACTTTTGGTACGCACTCGATTTAGTCCATGGACTAGATAATTTAGGAACTAGATTGAATCTCGAGATATAATAATCCAAGGACTGAATTGAGTATTTATCAAAAGTTTAAAGACCATATCGAACAAATTAAAAGTTCAGAGACGATATTGTAAATTGAACTGAAGTTCAGGGATCACATTGAATAAATTAAAAGTTCAATGACGATATTGCACATTGAGTCAAAGTTAAAGAATTATTTGTGTAATTTTCCCTTATAATTACAAGTTACCAGTATTAGTTGACTGTCCATAAAGACCAGGTTGACCGAGTGTTCAAAATCAGGGAAACCTAGCCTATAACAACTGGAAAAAGACATGGGTAGCAGACTGAACAACCCTGTTGTCTCCACAGATGTAGCAATCTGATGATGTTCCTTCACACCAGATAGAGTAATGAGGAAGACTTTAACGTACAAGGTTGGTGAATGACAGCCAGCGAAGATGTTAGCCATTAAAAGCAAAGCTATGGTCAAACCACGCAACTATCCACGAAAAGATAAATAAAAAGAACATCCAGGTTAGCAAAAACAATGAGAAAACATCATCTTAATCAAAAGAAAAATATGAATGATGTGTGTTTTCTGAGCAAACAAGAAGAATCATTATCGCCTTCCTCTTGTAAAAAAGTGAGAGGAATCTGTCCTTCTGATGGGATAATTCTTGCTTTATATTAAAGCAAATGCAATGCAGATCAGATATTCTCCTTTGTTTCTTTACTGGGAATAGCCACCTTGCTTCTCTTCAAAGCCAAGAACTTGCAGAGATTTTTCCACACTGAATATTTTTTTCCCTTTCTGGATGAAGAGAGCAGAAGTTTGTGTAGTAGCTTCAAGTACTGTGGATTCTAGTTGCAGAACTATAAAGTGAGGGAAGAAGGGAAAAAGAAATTACTTTTGTAGAGCTTTTAAGGTGATTCATTTCAACTCTTGTGGGTTCAAGGACCTCGTTAACTTGGAATTGATGATTGCGATTATTGCCGAAGAATCAAGAGATTTACTCGAAAAACATAGAGAATAATACATAAAATTGCACGAGAACTTGTGTTCTTGAACGAGCCCAATGTGGTTCTTAGATCTTTAAAATGTGATTGAATTGGTCTATTAAACTTATGGATCTTGTTAACAAGTGCCAAAAATGCACTTATTATGTATAAGTCAACAAAGACGATACCTTTCGATAAAAAAAAACGAAGATAACACATTGCAAATTGCGTAGTTTCTTTTATTAGCTACTTAGCAAATGCTTTATGGGCACTCGTCAACCACATCCTAAACTTAGAAAGTCTGTCAATACTTGGAAAGCATCCTATACTAGTTCAGCTGAAAGAGCATCGAAATCAGGAAGTCAAAGGAAACCTATTATCAACCAAAAAGAGAAGCAAATTAAAGGAGGAAAAAAGAGAGAGATACTATTAGATAATAATTTTTTTTTCGTGATTTTCACTTATGTATACTTGAATTATGTTCCTAGAGATTAGAAATCCTAGTCACGCATTCATGAAAATTGTGTCGCGAGTACACTTCTATTTGTGATGGTAGAGATTTTTGCTTTCTACTTAAATGTTGTTGATCATACGTAAATAAATCAGTTATAATTATTGAATATTTTCTCTACGGGTGTCACACCAGGCAATCATAATCTGCATTTGATCAACTTAAACAACACTTGAATGCAACAAAAAGAATTCAAAGCAACCAAATTTGATTCACCTGAATCTTTTTACTAGGCAAATGTGAGACTACTAGAGCTGTCTTTACATCTTCATAAATAGTACTACTAATAAAAAAAAATGCCTCCAGAAAAGGGAAACAATTGGAACCAAACCAATTTGACAACTTTCATCCTACCCTCTTCTCTCTCTCTCTCTCTCTCTCTCTCTCTCTCTCTCTCACTCTCTTTTGTTTTTTTTTTTTTTGGTGTGTGGGTGGGGAATCTAATGATCTTACCCTCTTGCACCTTTTCCTCTATATCAATCAATTGATTGCCTCACATGTTTGAAATTTTGACAGCAAACACACACACACACACACACACACTCTCTCTCTCTCTCTCTCTCTCTCTATATCTCTATCTACGGCTACACAAGTCCAAAAGATTCTTTCTTGCCTCAACTATTTCATCAAACAAATCATCAAGTTGTACCATCACACTCTCAACCCCACTTCTCAAACACCCAATCAATCCCTTCAAGTTCTCAACCTTGTCTTGCACATGCTGCTGCCCCAGTTGATGGTGCTCAGCCCCTTCTTCTCCCCTCTCCAACACTCCCCTGAGCTCCTCCATGCCGTGCCTCGCTCTCCTGAACTCGTAGAGAAGAATCGGCGGCGGCGGCGACCGCCGGCTCATCCGGTCGATCTCCCCGGCCATCCTCTGTTGGATCCTCAACGAGGAGATCATGAAATTTGACCCGAACACGGCGTGCCCCTCGTACCCGCCCTGGTGGAAGATCGAGTCTGGCCAAGTGTAGACGAGGCCTGAGAGGAGGACCATCAGGAGCAACGAGCTCACATTCCTCATCGCGTAGAGAGCACCCCTGAAGCCACTGAAACCATTGAAGTTGGACTCCAATGAAACGTTCTCGTTGAAGCATAGAGAGAGTGGTTGAACTCTTGCTTCCATTAAGTGCTTGTTCTCTTCCTCCAACACCAACGCTTCTCTTCTGCATTCATCTATTGCCCGAAGCGCCTTTTTAATATTCAAACGACATAAAAAAGAAACGAAATTAATAGGGTTGTCTTGGTGTGGTACAATCAAGTTATAATCAGGAAACATCTGAGTTTCAAAGAACACCTTGCGAATAATGAAAAAGAGAAAGAGGGCAGATTTCCTTCAACATGCTGATGAATATATAGAGTGAAGTTACCTGGCGACGATCCAAGTGATGATCATGTAAACCGAGGATTGACGAAACGACATTCGAAGCGGTCGTGTAATACCTCTCCATCCGGGAGAGGCCGAACTTGATGACGTTGCAAGCTTCCCAGATCCTGGCGCTCTCGTCCATGTACTCGTCAAGCCACTTCTCGCCGACGGGGAGGCGGAGCTCGTGGACGAGGGAGGTCAGCCGAGAGTGGACCGACTGGAGCGAGTGGAGGACTTGCTGCAGATGCTGAATCGACATGAAGTTGTTGCTGTAGGTCGATGAAGATGACGACGACGATGACGACGATGGGAAGGAAGCATTCAAGTCGTCGAGTGCTTGTGTGAGGAAGTTGTAGAAGCCACTCACCGATGAAGTGGTGGTGCTCTTGCATGATGATGATAGTGAGTGGGGATTCATTCTTGAGGGTACTCAGAGAGGGAGAGAAAGAGAATTAGAGCTATGGTGAAAAGATATTAAAAAAAGGTGATGGAGATGGACAGGCGTATTTATAAGGAAAATCATATGTACGGATATAGACATCAAGATTACAATGTCTATATGCATGTGAATCAACATGTATCGTCGAACTAACAAGATTACGCGTAAATAAATAGTAAGTTAAAATTACAATATGAAGTTATCTAGTATGACCTGAATGGGTGTTCAAATATTCGAGTTATTTCAGTGCTTGCGATGATAGATATCTGTTGAAATCACGCGATATAATTTAATATATTAATTTTAGTACATATCTAGTGGGCTATTTGTGATTGGGAGGAGAGAGAGATAGAGAGAATTTATAAAGTGGGTTAGTCTTGAAAGAAAAGAGAATTTATTCACATGTTTCTATGTTGAAAGGGGGGTTAAATTGTTGGGTGCAATAATGGGTGTTTCCCAAGAAGTGGAGGGAATGATAATTTGGGAATCTCTGGAGACCATTTCTTTAGTGAGTCCTTGAATTGGTACAAGAGTAAAATGATTCCACTTTATGATTCTTGGGTTGAGGCTCTCGTGGGCATTTCGAATAGAGATATGTGGTTTTGATGCATTGACAAGTGTACCCAATTTCATCTAGCAAATGATGTGTCTGGTGAGTAAAATTAATTTCATAGCATCATGCTCTCTAAGTAATCAATCTAAACATGTCATTTCTTATATACCCAACATCACTTAAAATTTTTTTTTTAATAAAAATCTAGTACCCTTCATTTGTCTTTGAAAGATGATAATGAATCTTAACTTGTCAAATTCCTTAATTTGGTGACAAATTATATGTTTATCACCAAATTGGTGATAAGGTTTTTGTAGAATAAACAAGTGTTTATCAACACAATGAAACTTCTTTTGGGGTTGATTATATCTCAATTTAGAAGTCATCTAAGAAGGGATTGGTAACAATCTTGCAGAAGATAATTGGTCGGTTGGCAACATCGAATATACCATATATCCGGTCGAATTTATAGGTTGCCATTGTGCATAAGTTTTTAAGTTTTCATTTATCGGTTGATTTCATCTTATCCGACATGCTTTGAAAAAGGCATAATCTAACCAGAAGTGATAAGATCTAATCGAATTCCGCAACTAAGTTTGAGGATTTCTAGTTAAATTTTTCTCTTTGTTTTCTTGCGTAACATTTACATGAACACGCTTGACAAGGGAAACTACAATTCTAGCTAATTGTTGTAAGTTGAGCCACACTTCTTTTGATTTCACATTCCAAAAACTACACGTCGTATCAAAAGAAATTGTTGCTAATTATTTTGTGTTAAAATAGGGAAAATTACCATCGATTCAGAACTTAGGAGAAATTCTAAATAATGGCATGAAGTGCCATCATTTTCTCAAATAAGGGTTTTGAAGTGGATTTTATTTTAAATAAGAGCCTAAAGTGGCTATGTCAGTTTCAAAGAAAGACTTGACTATCTGGATGGTTAAGGGCATTTTCGTCATTTACCATTTTTTGAATTTTTTTTTTCCGTTTTTCTTTTTCTTTTTTTCCTTTTTTCTTTCTTTTTTTCATTTTTCTGGTTTTTTCTTTCTTCTACCCATCGATTCAGAACTTAGGAGAAATTCTAAATAATGGCATGCAAGTCTTGCCATCATTTTTCTAAATAAAGGTTTTGAAGTGGATTTTATTTTAAATAAGAAACTAAATGGCTATGTCAGTTTCAAAGAAAGACTTGACTATCTGGATGGTTAAGGGCATTTGGGTCATTTACCATTTTTTGAATTTTTTTCCGTTTTCTTTTTCTTTTTTTTTTTTTTTTTCTTTTCCTTTTTTCATTTTTTTTTTTTTCTTTTTTCTTTCTTCCGATCACTAGCCACCGAAGCGATGCCCGGGAGGGCCGGGTAAGGCCTCCCTTGAAAGCCACAGGTGAGGGCTTGGGCGAGGTGACTCTCGCCGGAAAGAAAAAAAAAAGAAAGGAGAAAAAGAAAAAATAATTTAAAATTAAAATTGTCTTTGGATAGAAAAATGCCCCTGACCGGTCGGAATATTTAGCCAATCGACGACCGACGATGTCAGACCTTTATTTGAAACTATCATGGCCACTTCAAGCCCTTATTTTTAACTGAAATGGTAACTTTAGACCCTTATTTAACACAAAGTCCACTGTAGGCCCTTATTTGAAAAAAAAATGGTTAATACCACGAAAAACTCCAAACTGGTACACTTATGAAAAATTTACCCCAAACTAATTTTTTGACCACGTAAAATCCCAAACTGTTACATTTGTGACAAATGTAACCTTTGTTAAATTGAATTAATACCACGAAAAATCACAAACTGGTACACCTGTGGCAAACGGAGGGTAAAACCCCAAACTGGTACACCCATCAACTGTCATATGTCGTTCAACTCAGAAATTTCACTGTAAAATTTAAAGGAAACTAATTGATGATAAAATTGTCACAGGTGTACTAGTTTGGGGTTTTTAATGGTCAAAAAATAAGTTTGGGGTAAATTGTCATATGTGTATCAATTTGAGGTTTTTCGTGATATTAGCTCTTGAGAAAATGAAGACACTTCATGCCCTTATTTGAAATTTTCCCCTGAACCTATTGTATATATATATCAACTTAGTTCTAAACTTTTTATATCCTAAAATTTTGCATGAAATCCTAATATAACCCTCCCAACCAATTTTCATCGGGAAATCCTGACAAGCAATATGCCATGTAGGACAACCGGTGATGTCTAAATCACCATGTCAGCGATTTTCAATGAAAATTGATTGTAAAAATCATATTGAAATTTCACGCAAAAATTTAGGAAAAAAATAGCAAAATTAATATCCACACAATAGATTAATGATTAATTATGATTGATCGTGGAATTTTTCCATCAGAATATATGACACTGTTTGTGCCAACATCCTAGTAACTCGTAAACCGCATATGCTTGGAAGTTGGAGAAAGGCCAAATGATCACCCTAGTATCCTTTCATGATGAGAAAGAGAGAGATATCATCAAATTCCCATGTACGACTGATGGGACTCTGTGCATCGAAGATTGATTGATTTCTACAATGTGAAGAATCATCTTCTTTTTGTACCCAACATCTCAATCGAGGCATCTTTTAACTAGTTAAAGTTAAATCGGAAGAAAAATTTTCTTTAAGAGCATACGTGGGCTTCCGCGACAATTACAGGTACCTAGACATTGGATACGTCTGGCACACAAAAGTAAAATTTTTGAGCCCACCATCCAAAAATTGGAATCAGTACCATCGATTATCTTCATTAATTATGTGATTAGGGAAAGGGGGTTTGACTCCATGATGATTAAGCCTAATCAAACTTCGAAGAGAGATCTTGGATTTGATTCGTATCTCTTCTTTCTCGTACTTAACTCAAAAAAAAAAAATTAAAAAAATTCATTCGGATTTATAAAAATAGAATATTAATGGGCAATGATTTTTCCTTAAATGTCATAGGAGAAGTATGTTTTGTTCATTAGGTGCCCTTTGTTTTATTCTTAAGACTAAGATTACAAACGCAATGTATGAGATTAAGAGTTCATCAAGGCTTTGTACTTATTTACCATTATTTGGTTAATGCCTGTGTGGCCCGGAAAGGAAAAAAAATTAACATATGAATTCTATTCTATGCTATAAATAAAAAGGGTGTTCATGGTTTGATGTGGTTATGTTTGAAAGTACTTCTTTTTTTCCGCCCATCGATTTGGACAAATCTCGAGTCAAATCTAGCAAAACCAACAGAATTACAACTCGAACCAGAAAACTATGGTTGAGTTTCAAATCGTTACCGTGAGACCGACGTACAAGTAAGAAGTTCAACACATAACTTAAACTACCTAACTTCAACTATCAATATTGATGGTGCATTTGTTTTACGGAAAACTCAAGATTTGAAAAATATTTTCCGTAAAATGATTGTATGTATCATTTATTAAAATAAATGAACGAAAAATATTTTCATCGTTCACGAAAGTAGTTAGGCATAAATTGTTGTCGATAGTGAAAATATTTTTTGATGACAAATCTTTTTAAGCGATATAACCAATCATTTTTCGAAAACTGTTTTCCAAATCTTGAGTTTTATGTCAAACAAACGCATCCTGTATGGTTCGATTTTATCGATTTCCAAAGTTATAAACCAACACCAAACCAATAAAACAATAATAAACATATCCCAAACCAAAACCATATCAATCAACAGACAAACCAAATTTCACCAGTTTGGTTCAGCTGGATTCAATAGTTTTCGAATTTTTATTAACACATTAGTCATTACCTCTGAAGCATATAAAAGAAATCCCTAAACCAAAAGGAAATTTAGAAAATGGGGACGAAGTTCGTAGGAAATCTTTGAACTCGCCAACAAGGTCATCTCGTCCTTTCAGTTCATGAAATTTGTTCCGTCAAAACGAAATGCTTTGAATGTTTGTGAAAAGTCGCATTCCCATATGACCATTTGTATTTAAATACATTAGGATTCCGATTCACGAATAAAAACACTTGATCGGAATACGAATTCATAGATATCGATTGCCCAAAACCTATTCTTGATGAATGAGTCTTCAATGAGATTTCAGTGTTTGGACGGCTGAAAAGTTACCCAACTTGTTGAAATGAAGTCCCTAGGAGGACAACTTTTCCATAAAGGAAAAAAGATCTGTGAAGAGGGGACCCCATTGTTCATGACGCAAAGGGAGACTTTGTTGGGATACAACATTATTACAGCTTGGAGACTTTCCAATTGAAACTACTTGCGCCATAGGCAAGGCGTTTGAATCCACAAAGAAGGGTCCTCAGAGCAGATATGAACCGTACCCACCAAGATATCCCACTGAGTCCATCCAACTTTTTTTTTTTTTTTTTATATAAAGTAATATGCTGTTAGGAGCCATAGCGGAAGTTCGATACCGTCGGAGGAGGAATTCATCATGAGGAAGCTTAAGTCTGAGCTCGTCAATATATTCAATTGGAGTTATTTCTCTCGAAAGTTTAAGTCAATGAGTTATGAACCGACTTGGATATTGTAACT